TGTAGATAGGGGACTGTCTAAGGATAATGAATCTAGCTAATATAAGGATAAAGACACTATAATCAGACCTATTACTCTGCTTAGGAGAAGCACTAGATTAGGCAGTCTAAACTTTGTCCTTAAGCTCTGATGCTAGCCATTTCTTTACTACTCCTATCTTATCTTAAATATTAGATGAAGATAAGGAATCACACCCTTAAATAATACCAGTCTGGGGGTGCATAACTATCAGGATCTAATATATATTATTATATATAGGACTTAGAAGAGCACTAAGCTGTAGCAGAGCTGCACCTCTAATTCTATAATATAATATCTAAGAATAAATAGCATTAGAGCCCCCAGCCTATAGCTTAGTGAAGAAGAATGAATTTAAAGTATTTATATTAAATCCTTCTCTTTTTGTATGTTCTGTAAGGAGAACCTAGTATGTATTAATAACTTTATTATAAAGCTAACTAGGATAATTATAACATTCCTGAAGTGCTTAGCTCATCTGCAGGTACTAAAAATTATTAGGAAGATATCCTGATCCTTAGAAGATAATGTATGCTTTATGAACTCATCTAAGTTAGTAGATATTAGTGTAACTAGTAAGAGGTCCTAAGGATATTCCTACTCATGAGTAAAGCCTGGGATTTCTATGATAAGAGGTATTAGATAACTGCTAATAATTTATTCATAAGTATGTATTACCTTGAATTTTCTTTTCTGTGTTAACATCAGAATATAGATCTTAGTTAAATTCTTTAAGATAATAAGACTAACCCTAGTAATATTTCTTATAATAGGCAGCCATATTCTGGCTAGTGATAGTGCCTTACACTATTTTATAGTTACCTAGTGTTTACATCTCAGCATCTAAGTAGTTAATAAAAATATTCTTATCCTACTATTGCTAATTACATATACATAATCTTTGCAGATCTATTAAGTCACTAGCTGAAGAAGATAATATTTTACTATGCCTCTAATAATTATGCTTTTATAACTATCAGGACTAGCTATAATAAAGGAGTACCTTCTAAAGTACATAACTTAAGGGGCTTATCATAATCTCTATCTAAAGCTGCTCTCTTTAAAAGTCACTCTTTAAAAGCATTAAGCTTATAAACCTATTTCCTCTTCTAGGTCATGTAGTTTTAATGAGGTTCTTTAATAGAATAGGTATCAAAAAAATACTGTTATAGGAGTAAGATACTATTATAAGATCTGTTCTTATAATAGGGATGAGGGCATTAAATAGCCTCCTCCTTTCTTCTGCTAGCTAAATATTTATTATTAATATGGTTTATTAGTGTTGATTTCTCCCACTATTATTAGAATTATTCTGCTAGTGTTTTTATATGGTCACCTAAGCAGAAGGGATAGAACCCAGGAGTAACTAATATAAAGTAGAATCTTAATAGTCTATACTGAGGTTATAGATAATCTAAATAGAATTAGCAGTGCTCAGCCTAGGCATCCTCTATATTAAACTATTTAGTATATAGGTAACACTATTTAAGAAAAGATTACTTTACTTATTAATGCACTCTCTTACTATTTATATAAAGCTGCTAGTATAGTATAGTATTTAAGGACTTCCTTCTGTATTATAGAATATGCTTTGACTAGTTTAGTAAATTAATACTGCCAAAAATTAGCTACCATAGGTAGGCTTAAGATGTTTAAATAAATCTAGATATTTCTCTAGAGCATACTGGGCATCTCCTATTAATTAGTGATTTAGAAGGATAATATGCCACTCTCTTATTAGAGATATAGATATTCACCATATCCTATAGACACTGTCTTCTAATCTTACTAGTAATTAAGGCTTTAGTAAAAAGGTTATCACATAAATAATCTCTCTCAGGCATGTACTTATAGTAGATAGTAAAGAGATATATTAAATAATACTCCCTAAACTTATTCCCTATGATGTATTTATTATAAGAAGATCTCTATTAATTATTAATAAACTTAACTTTCTTAGCTTAGCACTTCTTAGCTACTTTTATATAGAGCTTTTCCCTCTTAAGTACTAACTCTTCATGCTTATTAGGTTTTCCTCTAATCTGCTGAGTAATTATATTAATCCTATAGTAGATCTCTTTTATTTTATTATCATTCTTAACCTGCATAGTGGCAGCAGCATTAAGCTATTATAGAATATTAGTGTTATAATAATAAGCCATGCTTTCTTCTATTTCTAGATATTTATAGTCTAGCTTTAGGTTCTAGAAACTAGCCTAGATATTAACATGCTTAAATTTTGATTAATACTTAAGGAAGATGTCTGAGTTCTAGTAATCTAGTGCTTAGCTTCTTACTACTTAGGAAGCCTTTACTATAGGCCTGTTAGCATTTATTAGAGTTGGTATAAGTAATAAAGTATCTTATAATTAATTATATTTATAACCCCCCCTCTAATCCTGTGTATTCTTAACTGGTCTTAGAAATAGGCCTATTAGGTAAGTAATATAAAATAGTGCTATATTAATAAAAATATTAGTATATAAGTAGGATGCAGACTATTAGTAATTACTATATAAAGCACTAGTAGGGTTTATATATGCACCTCCTATTTAAGGGTCCATGAATCTCTCCCTTTTGATAGTCTTTTATCTAGTAACTTATCAGCTATGTAGATGCCCCTAAATGCCTTATCTATAATACCTACAGCCATAATATAGAATATGAAATTTCTTCTAAGTATATCTTGCTCTAGTATCTAGTTTCTAGGACTGTATTACCTTAATTAGTTATGTAGTATTAAAGATAGAGAAGATAATTCTTATATAACTATCTTATTATCATAGTAATAGCCTTTAAGGAACTCTGGATCTATAGTGACCTAGTACTTAACTTCTATATTTTTTGAATCTTATTATAGATTAAAGGAAATGTGCTATGTAGTAATTAGTATAGGACTTTTAGATAAGTAGAGTAGTAGGATAAACTTTATAGTAGAGATACTTATTAGTACCTCTATAAGAACTTAACTTAATAATTACACCTACTCTCGCACCAGAGCTAGAGAATAAAGAGAGTGATAATACATCTTAAAATCTGGTATGCTCATATATATAGTTATGGTTATTATCTTTAAATAAATAATAAAGAAGTAGATTAAGATCCCTTCTAGTTATAGGAAACTTCTCTTAATGTTTAGTAGTAAGCCTATACTTTAGAGTAAGTTTATTATAGATATTCTATAGAAGTATTAGTAGTATATACATAGCATAATCACCTAGGGTAACCCACATTATAAAGATTAGCCTTTACTGTATCTGGTAGCTTTCTGTAGGTTGTTTTCTGCTATTTAGTAATAAAATAAGTAAGATTAAGATAGATAGTATACTGAGTGGGTAAGTCTTCTTTATGTAATGTAATAAATACCTCTAAAAATAGCTTTAAGATTTGAATAGGAGGATTAAGTTCTTCCTTAGTAAAATATTAATTACCTGGTTTATTTTAAGAAAGCATTCATCTATATATCATTAGTAATTAGGCATAAAGCTATAGTAATGAAGGACTGTTTATTTATATAATTTCTAAAACTCTATAGAATAGCTATATCTGTCATTAGTAGCTGGAGCCCTTTTCTTATAGCTAATTTTATTTAATTTATTCTTTTATTTTTCCTAGTACTCTATTATAAATCCTTATAACTTAGTAAACTTATAGAGCTCCTCCACTTTTCTCCTTAGATTATTATTATTTAAAAATATATCATGTGACATATTATGTAAGGAGTCTGAGAATATAAGGGTAAAACTAGGATAAAATAGATCATAAAAAGCCACTGTTTATAGATAGGAAAGAAAATAATAGAGCAGAGAAGAAGCCCTCCTATTTAAGCTAATGATAGAGGTACTAATAATAGGCTATAGGGAGTCTAGTTATTATAGAATTACTCTCTTACCTACTAATTACCTATGCTTACCCATACTTACCCATGCTTATTCATACTATTAGATAGCATTACTTAGCTCACCATCACTCACCTACACTCACCCTGTGGTTTAGTATCTCTCACTTATAAAGCAGCAGGCCTTTAAGGGCGCATAAACCTTCTGGCTGTGTTGATAATTGTGGCTTAAGTGTGGCTGAGCAGACGGGAAGCCCTGTTCTCCACACCCTGTGGTCGTATGTGCTTGAAGTTATACAGAACGGTGTTGTATTGAGCACTTCTGTTGAAGATAAAGGTAGCTTGAGACGAATGACTGACTCCCTCGCCAAGATTCTCGCATGCTCATTTCGAATTCTTCGAGATCCACGTGTCTGAGTATTGGGTGTATGATCTGGATCATCCTGTTTAGCCCTACTCTCTGCTGATTATTCAAGCAGTGTCTTTGGAAGCGTTTGTTGTGACGGTTGTCTGGATTGGACCATATATATCCCCTGTGTTGGTCCGGTTTGGGTTGCAGAGAGCAACTTGGGTGTCACACGTGTATGTCAACAGACAGGTCAACCCTGACACTTACCGATGGAAATGGTGCGCTGACTACCTGGCAAGTGCTTGATCATATACTAACAAATGTCTAGCGCAGCAGCTGCGTATCCTGATGTTACAGTCAGTAGCGAGAGGTACGATCTTCTCTAACTGGATTAAGATGCAGGAGAACATGGGGCCGCCTACCCAATGGTTGAAGGGCGTCAATCAAGTGAATTAGAGGGATAGGGTCAATATTCAATACACTGTGTTCTAGAACCTGTCTATTGCCCAAGGGAGTCGGCTGAACGGGACGTCTGAATAGAGACACACACATTAGGGGAGTGTCTGGTTCATTAAACTTCCCAGAGGCACACATTTGCCCACGATATACAATCTTGCTAAAACACAAAGTCGCATGAATGAGAAGAACAGTGTAGGTAACCGAGTATGTCAATTAAGCTAGAATGAGATAAACCATGCATTAACCCTATTCTCCACTCACTGTCAACAATACATACACTCTCCTAACCACCTCGGCGAAATTAATACTAGGAGACTTAGTACCTCAGCTCTTCCCTTAAGCCTTCCCAGCCAAGGGCTTCCAGGCACAATCGACCTTGTTGCAGCACTGATCTCCATTCTTCCAGATACAGTTGTTCGCATTGTCCCGGATATCACACGGGACCTCGGTGAGGTCGAACGGCACACACATCTGCGGATCCTGCGAGTAGAAGGTCATGGCAGGAACCTCGGCGGGACAAGCAGGCCCAATGCCCGCTGCAAAGCCACCGAGACAGTACTTGCCGCACGGCCACTTGCTCAGTGCGAACTGGCCAGCCAAGGCGAAGTTGGGGGTGCGCCCGATATGCGCGCCGTTCTGCGCGTTGTTGAGCCATTGGCCCTTGTTAGCGCCGGTGGCGAGGTCGCCGTACATGTCGCGGATGTAGCTCTTGTCCGAGGGGTTGATGGTCTTGCCGGGGGTGCATTTCTCGTCAATGCAGAGCTGGAACTTGCCGTATCGCTGCACCATACTGTCTGGGGCGGCGTAGTAGACGTTGTCGTTGCGGAGGCCGAGGCGGTTGCCGTTCTCCGCTGTGAACGTGTAGCACTTTCCTTGACGGGGTTTAGTACAACGGGCGTAAAGGCAAGGGCTGAGGCTGCCTAACTTACCAGACTCGAGTCCCGAGTGGCACACGCCGGGGATGTCCCGCTTGGGATGGCAGGTTCCGTCCTGGGCCTCCTCGGTGCCCTCAGCGCAGGCACACTTGCCATTCACCAGCTTCTTGCCGTTCTGGCATACCTGCTTGCACAAGACGCCGTCGAAATCAAATCCCTTCGGACAGCAGTGGTAGCCCGTGGCCTTGGATCCAGCCAGGTCATGGCCGTCGGCGCAGCAGTCAAACGCCGTATCGGCGCTACCAAGCAGATGCTGTCCAGCCAGACAGCAGGCGAAGTACTTCTTGTCGCCGCTCAGGGTCGGGCCCGTGCCTGGGGCAGCACAGGTCTTGGTCACGACGCAGTGCATACCAGGGTCGCAGTCGGGGTCATTGTACTCGATCTTCTGGCCAGTGATCTTGGCGTCAGGGCTGACCTCGAAGGTGAGGACGTTCTGACGGTACAGCTTCGCCTCGAGGGGCGAGATCTGAAGAAGGATGGCGACGAGGCCGAGGGAAAAGAGCATCATGATGAAACAGGTGCTTTTATATAACAGACCTCGGGGTTGACGGTGTGTGGGGGGTGGTGTGGATGGATTGACAGGAGCCTCAAGTTTTTCAGGGGCTTTTGGAGTGGCAGGAATGTCAGGAGTGTCTGGCGTAACGATAGTTGCAGGAGTGCTTTCGATCTGGGACTCGTATGGAGTGCGCCGGGTCTCTTGAATGTGTTCGGTGCGCTCAACTGTTCGTTGTGGTGAACTGGAGAAGGAGCTCGACCGGCTGCTCGCGACCCTTTTATGTGTCGTCAGGGTCTTTCGATGCTGGGAACGGGGGAATGGATAACTGTCCGACATCTTTGTTCGATGTGTCTGAAAGGGTTGCAGTTCCCATTGAAAAGGCACTCCCCCGATACGGATGCCTCGATGATCTTCTCTTCCGCCAGCCACTGCCAGGAAACTGTGCCCTCAGTCGGCGACCCCGTCGCCCATCCGCGAGCTCAGCTGCAGATGAGTGCCTTTTGGCTAGTATCCGACGAATCAAAGCTGTAAGTACGTCCTCTCATGCTGTCTGCTGTGTGGATGGCTGGGCTCCTAAGCGCTGAAGAGTATTGATTCCGAGGAACTATACTCCCCATACCTCTCATTTGATGCATACAACAGCTACTATCGGTCCTCCGTTACACAACCCCGCGCAGCAAGATGGCTACACGGCATGATAGGTGCTGACGCAGTGTGACAGACCTGACAGGCCGGACGGAGCCGTTGTAGTCGGTCTGGACTCTGGATGAAGACTGGAGTCATATGATATGCGGTACCGAGTACTAAGCACCCTGAACCCACCCGTATTGAGTTCTGTAGTATTCACGGACGACCTCTATGGTAAGTCTCCACAGCACGAACGGATTCACTTCCCTCAAGCAAGATTACTTTGGGCAATTGCAGCTGGATTATCCCCTGTCATAAGTATCCTGCATAGTAGCCAACATCGCTTATCACTGGTGGACAATCTGCATGTTTCAGCCATTGTGACAAATCGCGTCTCTACGGGCAGCGGTAGACAGGGGATGTCAGCTAGCCACTCCAACTGAGCACCTCTACCTAACCTAACCTATTTCCCCCCAGCCCAAGTACCACAGCTCCTCGTCACTGACAACCTGAAAGCAATGCTGGATGTGCTTACTCTGTACTATCCTATCTGCGTGATTTGAATCTAGCCCACCTTCCAGCGACGCCACAATGTCCCGCTCGGAATCAGCGGATGGGTGAACCTCTTCTTTCCATCTGTATGCAAGGCTGTCAAGTCTGAGCAGAATCTAGCCTGGTCAAAGAATGTCCATGATTTAATATGATCGACTCCAGCAGGTCCACAACTCGTATCCGTCCTACGGCTCAAGGAACAAGCGTTCGTGACAGCGACCCTATTAGTGTGCCGTTCTCCCGCAGGAGTTCCATACTAAGCATGGGCCTATTAGTTTAGTGACATCGGCCCCGTAAAGACTGGCTGATTACATGCTGACTAGGCTCGAGGGAGATTCAGCTACAGTGTACACCTGGTTGTGGGGTACAGGCACGGTGGGAGGTTCATGCATGATATCCGAGCGGATTTGACAGGTCATTTCTGCGGCTTGCTGCAGATTATCAGCATGAACACTGGAGGATTGGATGGCATTGGTCATTTGTGGGTGGCCCATTCGCCTAACTCTATGAGGGTGGATTCTTCTTATTGGCACTTTGGCAGTATTGAGTGGTCAGAACAACTTGCTGTGTGTGACTGCATGCTGACCTCGAAGCTACTAACCAGTTTGCCTTATGTCTATCAATCTAACAGGGCTAGGGGTACGGGCTGCTTGCGTATAGATGGGTGTGCTAAGCCCCGATTGTTGGCTAACATGCCCTGCTAAAGCCTTCCCTCCTGGTTTGCCCGCTTATGTCTGATCAAGAGGCTCGGTAAAAAAAAAAGCCTTGAGAGAGACTCATACTATCCATTGGGTTTCGTATCTCGGCTTTCCCCTGCCCTTAGTACCGAGTATCAAACCAAATACCCCTGGATTCAGCCATAATTAAAAGAGAATGAACAATGACGAGTACGAGAGGTAAAAATAGGCACGACCATTGACAAGCTGAGACGTACAGAGTATTTCAGCCCGGGTTTTACCCCTGGACCTGATGCACCTAAGACTTACGACGCTCCATTAGTAGAATGGGAAAAAGCCAATGGGGGGCACGGGGGGTCAGGACTTGAAGCTGTTGTGCAAGATTCGTATAGATCGAGATATCGGGGTCGGCCAAACACAACCCGCCCGTTCTCGTACTTCTGACGGCTTGTGTCCATCGCACTGGCAATATGAGTAGCCAGGCTGGAGGTGTTTGACTATGAACAGAGAACCAGGCCCACCTTGATCCTACGTTTTTTACCGTGTGAACGCGGTTACTCGGGTTATGGGAATGACCCTCGAGGTATTCAGGGACCGACAGATGCGAGAACTGACATGTGAATCTTGTCTCTGAGGTAATAACCAGGTTGCGACAGGCATCGAGTATATGATTGAGATTGAAGTCACGATGCGTGATGGTTCCAGTTTCCATGTCTCGGGTCACAAAATCAACCAAGGCCAGGGGGGACAAGGGGTCGAAGGAGAAGATCACATATTGCAAGGCAGAATAGGCAGAATTTGACCGGTTTCCATCTGCTTCATTAATTTGGTCGAGCAGTTCGTCGTACGCTGCCTTCGGATCCTTCGGGAGTGGCCCTCGACTCGAATGTCCTTTTCAAGTTCAAGGCGCCGGATTGACGATTCTTTTGAAGTCATTCAATTTGAACCTGCACAAAGATACTGATATCTTTACTATTGTCGATGGCCTCGACTCCGAGATTCGCACTGCTCTCATCACGTCTGCTTGATGTGAGAACCTTCAGGTTATCGGATTGCTCCTAGCGGACTAGGGCGACTTACTTTTGTCAAGGGATCAATGGCTGCCTGGACGTCGCTGAGCACAGGCCCATGTCAGATATGGCTCCTTGGACGGTCCCATCGAGTTGGTTCGGGACCTGCTGTAGTTCTTATCATGATGCGCATAATGAACGACCTTCTGACTGTCTTCCGTTGAAAATTGGAATACTATGAAGGCATGCTTTCCTGCATCTCGGACTGGGCCATTGAACTTTGACGACACACTTTTGAGCTGCATCCATCCTAATATCAAATACAAGGATCTGGGCAAATGAAGCTCGCCGGGAGTTCTGTACCCATTTCCTCTCCGAAAGCCGGGCCGCCGTACATCGGAGGGATCTAGCATGATCCACGGCCAGAACCTGTCTCGGCTAGAGTCTCTTTGCCTGAACAGAGGGAAGATCAAGTACTGCTCGATGCATATGAATGCATCCTATTGACACTATGAACCGGATCATAACCCTGACACCCATCATATATGGTCCCTTGAAACTTATGCAACCGCTTACCGAACCCCCCTAGCCCAGTAAACCTCGTATCTGTGGTATAATGAAAAGAACTCTTTCCATGGAAGCAAAAGAATTCTGGAGTATTGCGGGCTTGCGCTACAAGGCGAGACTGCGTGACAGTGTCAACTGCACGGGTATTGTTGGCATCGCCCATCAGAGAGACAACCCCGCCAGCCGATCCAAGCCAGCATCACCACCGTCGTCCACGCGATCGTCAGCTCCTCCGTTTTCACCCCCCTGAGCTGCGCTATCCTCAGATCCTTTCTCTGCGAGCTCCTTGGTGTAATCATCCGGGTCCCAAGCCAATACCCGAGTCTTCATCTCTTCGAGCTTGATCGCCACAAATCTTTCAATATCAGCCGTCTCTTCCGGCGCCAAGAGATCGAGTCTCTGCTTCCAAACATCGTCGATGGGAGAAGAGGTCGGCCCAAAGAATCGCTGATCAATCCTGTGCCAGTAGATCAGGTCAAAGGCGAAGTTATTCCGCGCCGCATACGCAATCCAGAAGTCTCCACTCGCCCAGCTATCTTGCATCGGACCAGAGAGTCGCTGCGTATTCTTCAGCCAGCCCTGTTCGATTGCTTTGTCCTCTTGGTCTCTCATCACGCTGAGAAAGGTGTGTAGGCGTCGTTCGTACTCGCGACACCAGTCGTCGAGGCCGCAGGGCCAGTATTCCGGCTTTTCGATCAAAAGCCACCACGGCGGCGCAAAGGAGAATTCGACTGGGGCGGCATATGTGAATTCCCAGTCGACAACGCCCGCGATTTTCAGGTCGTCGTTCAGGAGAATGTTGGCTGGGCGGAAGTCGTCGCACCAGAGTTTGAACGGGCCTTTGTCGAAGGATGTCCACTTCTCGGTTAAGCGATGTTCTCGGGCGAGTTTGCGGAACAGATATCGAGCAACCAGCTTGCGCCGACAATCTTCGGCTGAGTCAATTGCATCATTGCGCTGGTTGACGATGTGAGCGATGTGCAGCTCCGCGAGGGCTTCAAAGTAGGAGGATGCGGTGTCAAAAGTCGTGGCTGGTAGCTTTGCTTGGGGTAAGGATCCCAGTTGAACCAGAGTATTCATAGGCATTGATAGAGGTCTCTGTGTCACTTCCCAGGTGAAATCGTCAACCTGGTCTAGGGACCCTACCCGGGGTAGCTGTGGTCGAGACAGCTGAAGCAAAATATTTGCGGCCTCTCTGTAAAGAGCCTCTAATTTGGTCTTATTGATATTCGGGTCAAGAGTTCCTCGATCTTCCTTAGGGCACCCAGGCGTGTTCAGAGCATCATACAGGCTCGTCTCATGCTCGATATAGTCCATGATAATAAAAGGACCCAATTCCAGCGGACTCTCCTTCCTCGTCCCCCAGTGGTGGATAAACGGAACAGGGATGGAAGTCTGATCGTAGATGTATCGCATGGTAGCGACTTCATTGCGGACTTTCTCTTCCGGAAAGACGGTGGCACCTGGCTGGGGGAAACGTATGACGGCCGTGATTGCATTCTCGTATTCCATCTGGAACGCGATGTTGTACGAGCCTTTCTCCAGGAAGCTGAATTCGACCGCATCTCCCGGACGATGGTGTCTGACCAGGAACCTGCCCACCTGTTGGAGGACTTCGGGCTCAAGAAACTGACGAACCCAGCCATCGGCGACGGCTTCGCTTTTCTCCCAGGCGACATCGTCGTAGCGCAGGCGGGGACGCATAGTGGGCACGGACCGTCCGGGGTGGGTAAACGTTCAAGCTACCAAGGATCGGATGGATTCTGATGCTGGAAAGTTCCTGAGCGTATGAGTTGCGTGTGTCACTATCGAGATTGTGGAGATGGTGAACGAGAGCGAAAGTGTCCTGGTTGTTCCAAGGCTTTACGAGGTATTATTAGCCCCTCTTGTGTCGCAGGGGTTCTACCGCTGCACTAAAAAGGTGTCTAGACTCTACGTAGTAATGAGTCAGTAACAGTAGTTCTTCTGACAGGGGGTGTAGCTGATAACTCCAGCCGGTTGAGAAGGCTTGCTTCTGTCAAGGGAAAACTGTCTGCTCTGGCGTTTAACCAAAGTATTTACATGTATATAATTATAAAACGAATCACTTCCAATACCCTAAGATATCTGCAGTCTGCATATGGCTCCAATCTGGGGAATCCGGGGGATTGACTGATTCCCTTCTGGACACGGAGACGGAGCGTCGCACCACAGCAGCTCCGATGCTCAATTGGGCCAGACTGCAGAAGAAGCAAGCGTAAATGGGGTTCCTGGCGATCGATGTGGGGGATTTGGCGCTGGTCAATTACCGAAGAGCCGGATTAACTCTGGGGAATATGGGGATGGAGTCATTCTCTCTGCAAGTGCTGAGTACATCCACCAATTCCAGGTCCCTGCAGATACAGAATACGGGGCTCGCCATTCCTCATCCATCACGGACGTTGAAGTCGTTCACTCTATCTGAAGAGTCCTATTTGCTACTGTCTATCGTATTGCTGTGTCTGCTAGCTCCGAATGCCATCGCTGGATTGACCACGGGGGAGAGGCCGGAGGTGGAGGTATAAGACCAACATCCATCCACGTCTATCCAGACCATAGAAATCAGCAACCAACACAATGAAGCTCTCCCAAATCCTTACCTTCGCCAGCCTGCTATCCGGCGCCCTCGCGGCGCCCGGCAAGCCCCACGGCAAGCCCGGCTTTGCCAGCACGTCGGGGCTGCAGTTCTCCATCGACGGCCAGACGGGCTACTTCGCAGGGTCCAACTCCTACTGGATCGGCTTCCTGACCAACAAGGCGGACGTGGACATCGTCTTCGACCGCATGAAGGCGTCCGGGCTCAAGATCCTGCGCGTCTAGGGCTTCAACGACGTGAACACGGTGCCCGGCGAGGGCACGGTGTACTACCAGCTGCACGCGAACGGCAAGTCGACGATCAACACGGGCGCGAACGGGCTGCAGCGCATGGACTATGTGGTCAAGAGCGCCGAGAAGCATGGCATCAAGCTGATCATCAACTTTGTCAACAACTGGGATGATTATGGGGGGATGAACGCGTATGTCAAGGGGTATGGCGCGGCGGACCACAATGACTTCTACTCGAATGCGAAGATCCAGAAGGCGTACCGCCAGTATATCCGGGCGGTGGTCTCGCGGTATACCAAGTCCGACGCGGTATTTGCGTGGGAGCTGGCCAACGAGCCGCGCTGCAAGGGATGCGACACGGACGTGCTGTACGACTGGATCAAGTCGACGAGCGAGTATATCAAGTCGCTGGATGCGAAGCACATGGTCTGCATTGGCGATGGTAAGTTTCATCCTGCATCCCAGTTTGCATCCTCAATCCCATCCACCACGATGACTGACGCATGGTCACAGAGGGCTTTGGCCTCGAGACCCTCTCCGACGGCAGCTACCCCTTCACCTACGTCGAAGGCAGCGACTTTGCCCGCAACCTGGCCATCCCCACCATCGACTTCGGCACCTTCCACCTCTACCCGGACAGCTGGGGTACCAGCCACGAATGGGGCAATCTGTGGACGCAGGCCCACGGCGCCGCGTGCCAGGCGGCCGGCAAGCCCTGCCTGTTCGAGGAGTATGGCGTGACGTCGGACCACTGCGCGCTGGAGACGCCCTGGCAGAAGACCTCGCTGAACACCACGGGCGTGTCCGCGGATCTGTACTGGCAGTATGGCGATACCCTGAGCTCGGGCCCGTCCCCGAACGATGGCCACACGGTGTACTATGGCACCGATGATTTCAAGTGCATGGTGACGGACCATGTGGCTGCCATCAAGGCCAAGCAGGGATGGGTTTGAAGAGGGAGTTTTGGAGTCGTCTGGATATTTAGATAGAGATAGGGCTGTGGTCGCATATGAGTCATCTGTCGGTCGAATAATCCAACAACCATGGAAGGGAATATCAAGTTTGCTAATCTCTCTTCGGGTCCTACAATCTTGCCCTAGTAAGAATATAGCAAACGGTCGCGGAAATTGCCCGATTTGAGGTTCATTCAGGGTTTCCATTCGGCTGGCTGGTTACCTTTGAAGCTACTTGGAGTCGCCTGAGGCATGTGGCTCATGGCCTGATATATAGATATATATGTATATTATTGAATTCTTCTAGACTATCTAATCAAGTAGCCAACTAGCAGGACGTGAATAGACAGGACAACCGGACCGGCCATCGGACCGGTCGGGGAGAGAGATAGAGTTGAGACTGATAGGCATCAAACGGGCAATTTAGCTGTATCATTTCGGATTGCCAGCAAATCATCGCTCTCGATCCCCCAGGCAGAATGCCAGGCCCGAGTGCTTCGGGCGAGTGGAAGCAACGGTCTCTCTCTCTTCACTCTTCACTCTTCACTCTGGCACGACGAGAGTGAGACGACTAGTGCCAGTTCCCACGCGGCGATGTGCAGTTTCTTTTACGTAAAATCCGGGGGGGAAAGACTGGGGCTTCCCCAGATGTCTTGTCTTGATTCTGGAAGTTGAATGATATCGATTATAGACCATAGACCATATGAGAAATCATTTAGAGGTAATAGCCTAATACTACTAGAAGGATTCAATTGAACCAGACGATTACCGCAACTGGCTATACCGGTCTGACTGCATGTCCTCTTCTGTTCTCGAATCCCTTATCACCCGTCCAAGCCAGCGCCACCAAAGATACAACCCGCGTGTGCTTTTCCTCTTCCAGCCAAGTCAGTCTGTCTTACTTGGAACTTAACAGACACTCATTGACCCAATCACTGCGGTGGCCAAGCATCCATTGTGCCACTCCCCGCATCGGTGTCCTTATCAGCCTGTCGACAGTCTACACTCTACACCAATGGCCAGACAAGCCCAGCATCCTGGAGCCATGATTGTTTCTCAACCGGGCCGATATCAATTGGATCGAAGGGGCTTAACTTTCCTTTTTTATTTCGAGGTTTACGGCAGTGGGTACTGGGTCAACCAAATCAGATAGAGGGCTAAGTCGTGACACAGACGTTGGCCTAATGCCTGATGCCCAGGAGGTCTGCAACTACTTATAAAGATCGGCCATGTAGCTGTCGACTGGTTTCAATTCTGTTTTTTCCCTTTCTTTTTTTTCTTTTCTTTTCTTTTCTCCATCTTCCAACGTTCTGGAATGAATCTTCACAAAATGCCTCCAGAAGAAAAACCAACCGTCGCGGCGACGTCCTACGACCCCGAGGCCGGCGATGTCAAAACCGGCACGCTGCAGGCCATGGTCGCGCGCGACCTGCTCGACGAGCGGTACGCGATGACGCAGCGCGGGCTGAAAAACCGACATGTGCAGATGATGGCGCTGGGGGGCACCATCGGGACGGGTCTGTTCGTGGGCTCGGGACAGGCGCTGGCCATCGGGGGCCCGTTGTCGCTGTTGCTCGGCTACCTGTTCATCTCGGTGATGGTGTATGCGCTCGTCTCGGGCATGGCGGAGATCGGGGCGTATCTGCCCGTGCACGGCGGCACCATGAGCTACCACGGGTTCCGGTATGTGTCGCGCAGTATCGGCTTTGCCATGGGCTATCTGTACTGGTACTCGCTCGGGATTCTGGTCCCGTATGAGATCGTGGCGGCGTCGATGGTGATCGACTACTGGCATCCCGGCGTGCACATCGCCGTGTGGATCACCATCATGCTGGTGATCATCGTGCTGCTGAACTTCATGCCCGTCGCCGCGTACGGCGAGACCGAGTTCTGGTTCGCCAGCATCAAGATCCTGACCCTCATCGGCCTGCTCATCCTCTCGTTCATCCTGTTCTGGGGCGGCGGGCCCAACCGCCAGCGGCTGGGCTTCCACTACTGGAAGGACACGGGCGCGATGAACGAGTACCTGGCCCAGGGCGCCGCCGGCCGCTTCGTGGGCCTGCTGCAGTGCATCGTCAAGAGCGCGATCGCCTTCATCTTCGCGCCGGAGCTGGTCATCATCGCCGGCGGCGAGATGGAGTCCCCCCGGCGCAACGTGCCCAGCGCCGCCCGCCGCTACATCTACCGGCTCGTCTTCTTCTACATCCTCGGCGCGCTGGCCATCGGCGTCATCTGCTCGTCGCGCGCGCCCCAGATCCTCTCCGGCTCCGGCACCGACGCCTCCTCCTCGCCCTGGGTCGCCGCCATCCACAACGCCGGCATCCCCGTGCTCGACAGCATCGTCAACGCCGCCATCCTCACCTCCGCCTGGTCCGCGGGCAACTCCTTCCTGTACATGTCGTCGCGGTCGCTCTACTCGCTCGCCGTCTCCGGCAACGCCCCGAGCATGTTCAAGGCCTGCAACCGCTGGGGCGTGCCGTATCTGGCCGTCGGCGTCTCCGCCCTGTTCTCCCTGCTCGCCTACCTGGCCATCGGCAGCGGCAGCAACACCGTCTTCAACTGGCTGATCAACTTCACCAACACCTCCGGCTTCATCTCCTGGATCTGCTGCAGCATCGTCTACTTCCGCTTCAACAAGGCCGTCCGGGTCCAGGGCATCGAGAAGCCGTACGCCTCCAAGCTGCAGCCGTACGGCATGATCGTGGGCTTCACCGGCGCCGTGCTGATGACCCTCATCAACGGCTTCACCGTGTTTTTCCCCGACGAGTGGTCCACCAGCAACTTCTTCACCGCGTACATCGGCATCCCGGCCTTCCTGGTGCTGTATTTCGGCCACCGCCTGGTGTACTGGAGAGATCCCTGGGCGTGGCCGTCCGAGGAGGTCGACATGCACACGGGACTGGCGGAGATTCTGGCGGCGGAGAGGCCAGCGCCGGTGAGAGATACGTGGTGGAAGAAGCTGAAGTCGGTGATTGAGTAGGTAGATACGATAGTTTCCTTTTTTTTTTTTTTCATTTTGTTCTTCTAGCTAGGCGAAACAATTCCTCGGCTGGGCTTGAGTCAACCCACTTAGCAAATATCAATCAATATCACCCCAATATCCACTTCTATCGACTTTCAGATAAGAACACTGATAACTGGATAAGATGCGCCCGGAGAAGACCTAAGAACTGAGAGCCCGATCGGAGGCCACCGGAGCCTCGGAGTCGTAGATATAAACACCCATCCCATCGATGATCCTCGATCTTCCAGACTCAGATCCAAGGAATACAGAAGAAAGAAGAACGCAGATCGAACGGAAATGCCCTCTCTCACCCCACTCGCGCACCCCTTCGGCGCCGTCCTCCGCGACATCGACCTCGAATCCCTCACCCCGGAAACCACCACCCTCCTCACAGACGCCCTACACACCCACCTCGTGCTCGTCGTCAAAGACCAATCCCACCTCTCCCCGAGGGCCCAATACACCCTGACCCAGCTCTTCGACCCGGCCGCCCGCAACTACGGCCACGGCACGACCATCGACGCCAAACGCTCCGTGCTGCACCCGGACCTCAAGACCGTGCCGCACCAGCCCCAGGTCCAGGTCATCGGACACGGCTTCGTGCCGTCGTACGAGGGGCTGGAGAGGATCACGCTCAAGCACCCGCACCACCGGACGTTCCATCGCTCCGCGGTCCCGGACGCGGACGACGCGCGCTTCACGCGCTTCTACCGGTGGCACATCGACGCGGCGCTGTACGGGCTGCATCCGCCGGTCGTGACGAGTCTGCTGGCGGTGAAGGTGCCGCGGGGGCGGAGGCAGGTGGTGCGGTATGACGACGGGACGGGCGAGGAGATGGAGGTGGCGCTGGGCGCGACGGCGTTTGTGAGCGGCGAGGCGATGTATGAGCGGCTGAGTGCGTCGGAGAAGGCGTTTGTGTGTGCCAGTCGCGTGGAGTATGCGCCTCATCCGTAAGTCCGACTTGTCCTTTCCCCACCTTGCGAGTTGATTTGATTTGATTCGATTTGAATATCCTCGAGGACGACGGGCGTGGGTGCGGGCTAAAATCCAAAATCAGGTATATCTGGATGTCGGGCGCGCGAGCCCTCCCCACCGGCCTCGGCCTCTTCTCCGAAGACAGGGAAATCCCCCTGGCCGACCTCCCGCCTATCGAGGAGGACAAGATCAAGATCCTCCCCATGGTCTGGAAGAACCCTGTGACGGGGAAGCCGGCGCTGCAGGTGCACCCGGCGGCGGTGCGCAAGATCCACTGCGCGGATGGACGGGTGATTGACGACCTGCGCGAGGTCCGGGAGATCGTGTACAAGCTGCAGCGGCCGGGGATCAGCCCGGAGCATGTCTATGCGCATGACTGGGAGGAGGGGGATCTGGTTCTGTTCTATAACCGGGGGGTGCTGCATTCGGTGGTTGGGTCGTTCCGCGACGACGAGGTGAGGTTGTTTCGGCAGTGTAATCTGGCTGCGTCCGAGGGAGTGGTGCCGTATGTTGCTGCTGCGTAGATGCGGATTTATTATTCTTAATGACTATGTTAATGCTGCTATTTGATGTTTGATCTGACCTCGGATGATGTCTCGCTTAGGGCTGCAAGCCAAATATATATATCAGACCCTACTATCACGCAACTCAACCCAAATGAATATCTACCTGCCCTTCGACCTGTACATTATGGTAAGCCCCCAATCCAACACACCTCTTATTCTATCCCCTATCCTAAGCGCATGAAGGCGATCGTGGACAAGTCGCATGAAATCCTGGGAGTATATCTGGACATAATACGACGCGTTGTTCGTGAGCCTCATTATCAGCCATACTTCACCAAGGACATTCGCTCTTTCTATGATGAGCTGGTCAATTCGCACACTGAAGGCTCTGAGAGGTTCAAGCTAAGTATAGAATGTGATGTTACTAACATCCTTCTTTACCTGCTTAAAACTATCCTCCTTAACTCTAAACACCTAGTGAATAGCAAGGACCCTAAGAAGTTTATATAGAGTACCTAGTACTAGAGGGATATGAAGCAGGTAATCCCTGCTTGACTCCCTGAGGAAAGTGCTGGCAACAGGAGTTTGCCATTGGCAGAGCGTGAAGGAATCATCCTTTCACTTATGAACTTTCTCACCCTCGGAATGTGGAATATGTCCAGCAAGCCCTTCTTCCGGTGATCGAAGAGTCAGCTCGGCAACACGCTCGTTGGTTGCGCTGTTTCCTGGCGCATCTGCATCTTACACCAGAGGAGACCCGGGCCACCGCCTGCTTGACGAGCTTCTGTCCTTTCGATCCAAGCATGACCGATAGATTGTTCAGGGACAAGCATCATTATCTCCCAAAATCTTACCTCAAGCAGCAACGAGGGTAAGCTCTTGCGTATCGTCAATACCCACATTTCATTAATATCAACGAGAAGCTCTCGAAAAAGGATAAAGACTGGCGAGAGACCTCAGCTGGTCAACATTGGCTCGCCATGCAGACCAAGCTGCAAAAGGATAGGCCGTTCGCTGGACTGTAGCATTGCATTAGCGGATGTAACCACTGGTCTTCCTACGGCAACAAAGGTTGTTTGACTTTGAAAGATGTCATGGAGGAATGCATCTACCGGGCGGGTGCGGTATTAAGACAACCAGTGAAGATCGACCCAAAGCTTGGCCGTCTGGTGATCTCGACCGATAGGACTTTAGAGCCGCTGAGATACCTGCGAGAACAGAGGGACAAAAGATATGCCGCCGCGGAACCTGAATTAAGTCACTATTCCCTGATTCAGAGATCGATGGAGCAAATCGTGGCAGATATTTGAGTCGTTGAGGACGCCGCAATGGGCGACTGGACTAAACCGGTCGCCAGCCATTCTCCTTTCGCGATTTGAAATGGCGTGGTCCGCTTTGCAGAGACTCAAGAAGAAATCATTACAGGAGAATAACGACTGGATGGCAATGATTCGCAAATGGAAACTAAGTGGTAGCGAATGGGTGCGACGAGCAGGATGGGCTTTGGATGAAAGGTATTAATTATATATGGTATGACTATTTTATATAGTATCAGAATTCGGAATCATCGCATCGCTCAATCCAAAATTCAAAGGATCTTACAGCAATCATCGAACGATGTAGAACCCGCTCACAGTGATTTGGCGATCTCGCATTTCCGCTGCGGGAGACCTCACTCCCAGCCGATGCAGCGGGACGCTATCGACAACTTTCTGTCCGCGGGCTCGAATGTTCTCTAATCCACCCTTGGTACGATCGATGAGACCGGCACGATTTTGCGCCTCTGGTCCCCAGGCCGGGTACTGCAGCACATTTTGCACATACGTCACATCATAGGAATCGGCGAGCATGGCGGCTTCGGCGGCAGCGTTGCGAGCCTCGAGCAACTCCTTCTCGGTTCTCCCCGTGGGTGGTGGTAGGTCGGGGCGGAGAAAGCCAAGTACGCGCACCTCGACTCGGGCTTGCGGAGGAAGCTCTACGTCCTCGAGAAATCGAAGCGTAGTGACTCGTTTCATTACCTGGGATAGAGTGACCCGGCCTTGTTGTGACGGGTCGAGGTTCCTGATTGCCAGCACAATCTGGTGCCAATGGCCACTTGCCCCTTCACTGTTGTTGTCTCTCGTGATGGCGATACGTGCCCAGCCGAAGAAGTAGCCGTGCAAGCGGTCGATCACCACATCTGGTATCTTACTAAGATGAAGTTTTTGTGCGTCGAAATAATCACCCCGCTGCAGGAGTGTGCCCTGAGCTTTGAAGGCCACCGGGTAAGGAGGGCTTGGCCCAGATTCCAGATGAATTGTCTGCTGCTGGCCTCGAGCCAGCCGCGCCGCAGGGTTCGAATCGCCGTCGTCGCCGCCGGAACGCAGCGCCGTGCCGATTCCTATGGCAGTCTCTGCGGCCGTCTGCGCCATCCACGATGGCCGGAGCGGGTCAATTCTCGCTTGCACTACTGTCGACACAGGGTCGATGACCCTCTGCACGGTCGCCTGCGCGTACAGGCCCATTACCATGGCCCCAACCTCCAGTGGCAGGGTGCTCAGGCTCGCACCCCGAATTGAACTGGGGCTGAGCGAGGTCGAAAGAATGCGAAACACGGGGCTGGTGCAGAGAACCTTCTTCTTCGGCCCCTGGCAAAGAACTACTTGGAAGTATCCATCCTCAGCCTCGGCGGGAATCCGTGCGACGACCGTTTCACGGAGCCTCTGTGTGTCTCGTACACGTGAGGAGGCCTTTTTAAGGAACTTGGAGATATCGCGCTGCCAAGCTCGCTCATCATTGGGCTCGACTTGGTTTGCATGGAGGGCCAGAGTTGGGGTGATATCCAACCAGTCATCTGTCAATCGGAGAAAGGCCTTGGCGCGCATGCCCGTCTTACCGGTCCAGCCCTTGTTCTGAAGCCACAAGGAACGGTCCGGTGGTAGAGGAGCATCGGAGAAGATAGAGATAGTCACCGAGGTTGTGCTCCCGCGGTAGAAGATCACGCCTGGCGAATGACGGAGAATAGAGAAATGCTTGTTGGACTCTGCAGGGTGGCTAATGAGCCCACCCAGGAAGTGTCGAGCTTCGCCGTAGGCTTTCTGGACAGTTGCTGAGGCTGGCGACTGGGATGGCTGTGGGTGGGGTGCAGGAAATATGTCTGTTGCAGCGCGATGGAAAGGGGTGGCGCTCCACGTACTGTTGTCAAGATCCCCATCACGACGACCGGAACGGGGGTCACCAATGGTATGGGCGGATGCTTTCGACCTCAGTGGTGGTCGCGGTGGCAGGGCAGGCGGAACTTCATGGGATGAGATTCTTGTCACACCTCTGAAAGTCGGACTGGGTGGTTGCAACAATCCTCTGTTTCCATCATCCCTGTAACTTTGATGGATGTTGGGGTTGGAGACGGGTTTCCGTCGAATGTTGAATTGCGGATGGTCAGGGGGGCGCAGGGATCGATTCTCAGTAAAGTCCATCGCTGTTGGAGCATCATAGAGCTGCTGGAGACTAGTTTCCGAAGGTGAAGCCAATCATTATTGATGAAACAACGGATCGTCTATGCTCTGTTTGATCATTCGAAGATGCATCGTGATGGAGTTGATGATGCCGATTCGGGAAAACAGCGGATTGGCGGGGCATAGATGAGTAAGCGCTGCGGTTATGTGCATAAGCATGCACATGCAGCAGATCATATACAAGCAGAAGTCTGAAAGAGTGATCTTGATCTGCTCTTCGTACCTCGACAAAAAAGGACACGAAATTTCAGGTATGAATGGTTTCAATTCCCCTCCTGATCAATAAATATGCACTTGAATATGCCTATTTCCACCGTGGGAATCACATGCCATCGGGATTAAATCCAACAGGCCCAAAGAAACCCACTGCCTGGCGCGTATGAACGATAGAGAAGAAAATGCAGTAGATGAAACGTCATCCTGTTTATCTCATATACAGTGTCAGATCTCCGAACCAATCTTCCGTATCAAACACTGTAGCCTGTTCGTAATGACCCACCATCCTTCGTACGCGAGAGGAGTCCGGATCGGTAGTATAAGGACTGCCGCAGTCAGATTCCAATGTCTCATAGATAGCAACACGAACGAACTCACCACACCCAGGTAATCTCTCCGTTCTTCACCCTCTTCTGCCACTTGGCGACGTCCGGCTCGCAAGGCCTGACAGTATTCCAAAGCATAGCTGCCGGCCATTGGACGTCGGCGACGATTTGTTTGACTGGGACGTTGGGACTGACAGAGAAGACAAAAGTGGCTTCATCAATTTCCAGAAAACCCTTTGGATCTTCCAGGCGCGTAATCCCAATGATCCTGAGCAGCTCGAGGTCCACGTCATCATAGGCCGGGTCCTGTGCAAAGCATTGAATCTCATCTGAGCGGTGATTTTGTCTTTTCTTGAGTGCCTCTGCGACAGTCTCGACCGCGGCATGCTGCATATGCGAGCGTGTGGCACAACGTGTGTTTAGACGATCCATGGTCCCCAAAGCAAAACAGACAATCTTCTTGATGGGCCGAGTGAGAGCGAGCGTCGCCAGCTGCTTCTGCAAGCTCTCACATGCTTCGCTTGTCTGCCATACTTCGCGCTGCCTCACAAATTCCTTGTGGACTTCCTCCAGGGGGTTCTCATGTCTTCTATCTTGACGCGTATAGCAAATCGCCACTGGCGGCTGGTCTTGTAGAATCTCGTCGGGCATGAATGGATTGATGGCGGTCATGGATTGAATGCTGCAGTAGGATATGCGGTACGAGTTTCTTGGACTTGTGTTAGTGCATGGGTGCATTGGTCCAGGATACTCCAACGCGATGCTTACGCCCAATCAACACACCAAGATGGAACCTTGAGGCTATGTTTCTGTGGCACACCATCCAGATCAGCGATGTGGACCTCATCGGAACCCTGGTCAATCTGGCGGCTAAGGTCTTCTAGCAGATGGCGAGGGAAGAACAGCTTTCCCGAAGTATAGGCCTTGAGAACATGACGGATCTTCTGTTCTGCGCTACCGAACTGCTCTTCTTCGACAGCCATGGTACTTGTCGACGAGGCCATTGGGGGTGGAAGAGAAGGGGGGAGAGAGAAGAGGATGTCTTTTCTATACGGGGGAAGCTTGTGGTGTGTTTACTGGCAATTGGGAAGGGTCAGGTGATTGGAGAGACTATCGACAGTGAAAGGGACTTTGAGATTGATCAGAGGGATTGTCTAGATGATGAGGATGATAATGATGATAGGTAGCTGGTATTTGTCTGTACCGACAGTGGTGGTTTAAATAAGTCCGTCACCAACGGGAAGGTGCATTCGAGACTCGTTTTGTAAGCTTCATCTAGATTTCTCCGGATCTCAAAATAGCCCAATTTGCTGATCGAAGATGTTGGGATCCTCCTGGCAAAAAAGAAACTAACCACCCTCCATCAGGAGTTTGTTTGCTGCACTGCTGGGAAGGGCTTCTTCCTATCTGGGTTGCACACAAAGGCATTGCTCGCATGGGCCTCACCGCCATCGTGGCTCCCCGACGCGACGATGCAGGCTGCGTCCAGCTCCATGAAGTTAGCTAAAGTACTATTAAGGGACTATCAGGAGCCAAAAGTTGGTGAATTGGTGTCAATCCAACAGTATCTGCGGCCATCGTGGGGGCTTGATTGGCCCCGGGGCTAGAGGGCGAGAGGGCGAGAGGGCCAGATCCTATTAATATCCCGAAAATGGTGTCATTAACCAGGGGAGACAAGTGATAACCACCAGAAAACAAAACCAACACGGCTGCTGTGTTGGGGGATATTAGGGATATTTTTATCTCAATCACTCTTCCAAGTTCCAACTGTTGGGTTGGTTACAGTCAGATGCCAACTAATTAACTGTCATTTGGGGATTTCCCGGATCCCAAGTCTCAAGTCTCAAGTCCTCTTTCACTTTCTGCCCTCCACGCACATCCTTCATGCATGTCATTCCCTCCCTTGACAAAAGAGCTCTTCCTTTTCTCTACTCTATCGTGCACATCCAACCATTCTGTTCCATCCGATTGGTGTTTTACCGGGTGTTGGTTCTTCGGGAAGGAGGGTGAGGGGCGAGTAGCGGAGCCTCTTGTTACATCTGCATCTGGAACTCCCCAGTCCCCAGAGCCCAGCCAGCCCAGAAAAGGGTGGCTGCCGACCAGTCCCTCCGACGTGGCTGCGACACCGATGAGTTGTCAAATCGTGAACATGTGGTGCAGCATCTCGGCAGTTATCGTCATGTCTCGCGCATCAAACAAGTTTTGAGTTTCGAGCTTCCCTTACGATTGCCTATGGACTATTGATTTGACTTGACATCGCACTGTTCCTTGCATCTGTCACAATCCATCACCTGCCGATCACATCGGAGGGCTGACGCTGCCCAGCTGGGCCAGCACTTCCTCATATATTTAAGTTTGATCGCCTTTTGTTGCATATGATACGAGGGTACTGAGTCCTGCCCTCTCGACACGCCTCACACACGCTTCATCCCGTCTCGGCTGCTAGCTGTCTCTTTTCCCTTGTCCGATTTCCCATCACACGCATTGACCCCCTAGGCCTGAGGGAGTTCGTTTCGCGTTTGACTTTGATGTCCTCCGCATGCACAAATCCATCACCGTCGTCATTACGAGCTCGGCGAACCACTAGAGTAGTTGATGTCCGCTATGATTTAGCAGGCTTGTGGAGGTGGCTCCCGACTCTGCAGGATTTTGCTGTCTGGGACAGTTGCCTCGATATTAATGTTGACAGTGTTCGCTGCACCCTCTTCCCTCCACCCCTGTGTCTACTCCCAATCGACGATAGAGGCTGGTTCGACTCGCCTATCTCCCGGATACCAGTTGATTTCGCATGTAGTATTGGCCTGATATCCGTTCGCCAACAACTGTTGTATATCCTTTGCCTACGATCATGATCGGCCGTCGGCGTATACTGCTCATGCACATGCTTGCTGGATCTATCAGATTCTCAGGATAATTGATTAGCACAAACAGTCCTCCAATGCGGCAGAGATGCAGCTCTACCCCCGTAGTATTTTTCGACTCATCGTGTACAAGCAGATCCTATCGCGGTTGTATTCTTCTCGGATATCACACGCTCGAACTGTAAATGACACCATTCAGGAGTTTCCCAAAGTTTTTTGGTGCGTATGATGATCCACATTTCAGCAAAAGTAGCTGTGAAAGACAACCCCAGAAGACAGGGACGATTTAGAGCAGTATATAGAAGATAATCGGATGATAGAATGAGAACACAGTGAGATGATGTAAGTCTGTCAGATGAGGATTGCAAAAGGGGGGTGTTTGTGTTACAATCACACGTGAGAGGTCTGCGTACAACATCGATTGACTGCCAGCGTAGGAAATCCTTCCCCAGTCAGCTTCCCTCCCATCCAAAGGCTTCAGATTGAGACTGGCCATTTTCACCCCCCCAAGACATTCTATCTCTCGGACTTGGCCCTGTTTCATCATCAAATTGATGTCCTGCCGTTGTGCTCCATCGAATTCAACTTCCACACTCCCTACTCTCTTCACGAGCGTTCTTCGTCTGTCGATGCCTATGCCTTGCGTCCAGACAGTATCGAGGATATGATATGTAATATGCTATTACATATATCTGCTACACGTCTTTCCTCTACTCCCTCAGATGCGTAAGGTAGGTCGCGTCACTCGAAACGGTCTTTCAATCGCAACATCTAATACTCTAGACAACTCTTGCAACGTTCGAATGAAGCCGGCTGCTCAGTTCAGAACAAGGGCCATGTGCATTGGCATTGTTCATCCTACTGTTATCAGACTAGGCATCGGGAGGAAAGATGGATCACACCATCAGGATTGATCTCAACCATGATCCTGCCTTGCTGTGTGACATCAAGTGAAAATTGGAAGGAACGCATGGTTCTCCAAGCACGGTCCTACATTCATCGAACTGATTCTCACATTTTTCTGCAATGACAGGAACAGGTGCACTAGAATTATTACTGCCAAGTACAACCTCATCAACCCCGTCGGATAAATTTGTACCACGACCTCGAGTCTCCTGGCGACGGGATACGCCTTCCATCACCACAAGAAGACAAATCCGTCGTTGCCAAACGATCTCACCATCTGTTCGTACTTTTGTCCTCACCGTTGTCACCTGCACGATTCAAGTGGAATCATCTGCACTTAATACAGATAAGCACATCCCTTGCAGGAGACTAAGACAACCCAGACCAATGGCAGCACCTGGAACACCTGCGAGATAAATTGACGGGGTATCCCATCCCCTATGAGGCCTGCACATGGGATGCCGCGAGCTTTATCGGCCAGCTCCTTAGCGAGGACATGTCGCGCAAGACGATAGTCACAAACTCACGATACCTTATTACAGGGTCGGTCAGATTCTACACCACTTCGAAACCCTAGTGACAAGCGGGTAAGCATTAGCACTGTGATATGCCACCCATTGCCGTTGCATCCGCGAAACAAAGCAACTTGGAATAGGGCTTCCAAGCTCCAACATGCTCCGCTTATCAACGCAGCCAACCAACACTCATGACTTTTCTGACTCCGCTGATCCCGAATGATATATCTTTCTCCACTTCTCCACTCAATCGGGTGACAAAGAACGTGCGAACGTCTCCAGAATCCTCGACTCCACCGTGGTTTGACCCCACACGTCTTATCAACTCAGCTCCACCAACCATCAGTATCTCCAAACCAACAAACCTCGGACAGGATCAAGTCGTTGGGGTAGGCATTTTGTTCCTTCAGCATCAATCGGTAACTCGGAATCATCGTGGAACTGTCATGTATGAGAGCAGCATGCCAGCTGTGTTGGAATCCTCATTCAACATGTTGTCCCTTGGCCTATTTTGACCACCAAAGGTTAGAAACACAGCCATATGGACTCAATCAAGCACGACGAAATACTCAGCCAAGGTCAGTGGGTGGGGAGGGAACAAAGCTTAAAGGCTTGTCTCCAGGCCGGCTTACAGGGGATTCCCTGTCATATTGGGGACAAGCGTTATCTATACCCCAGCACATCCATGCGGGGTCGCTTGTATAAATACGAGAGGGAGCAGCAGCAGGATACCCTCCTGAGCACGGCAAGACCATCTAAAAGATCTGATCGATTGTCAAGATGTTGCCTGACAAGACGAAGAAGAAGGCGAATGTGGACGAGGACAAGAAAGATGTCGAGTTGAACATCATCGGCAAGGGAGACGATGACATCGGGATCGGCGATATCTCTTCTCTAGATGAGGCGGAGATCTTCCTCCGAGAGCATGGCGTCTCGCATATTCAACTTCAAGAGATGCTTGATGATCCGGTTCGATCAAAGAAGATCAGAAGGCGTATTGATTTGATCCTCCTTCCGCTCTTGTGCGGCACATACACGCTTCAATACATTGACAAGCAGGCAAGCTTCCATTATTCTGATGACGCTGTACACCCACTCATTGCAGATAGGCTCTCTCATACAGTGCTGTCTTTGACCTGTTCAATGATGCCCACATTGATAGCAATCAGTACAGCTGGCTTGCCAGTATCTTCTTCTTTGGCAAGTGACCTTCTTTTTTTGAGTGAAAATCCCCTCTGACTGTTCCAGGTTATCTGTTCTGGGAGTATCCTGCGAACCTTCTGGCCCAGCGATTCCCAGTCGGAACGGTCATTTCATGGTTTGTGTAAGTTTGGAGTCTTGAATGCTCTACTGTGTCGATCACTGACTTATACTGTGGTAGTATCGGCTGGGGTGGCATTCTCATGATAACGGCCAGCTGCCACAACTTCACCGGGATGGCTATTTGCAGATTTCTGCTTGGGTGCTTTGAGGGTAAGACTTTTGTGGAATTCTTATAGTCAATGCTGACATCTCAGCGCCTATTACCCCCTGCTTCATGCTGATCATCAGTATGTGGTACCTACGGCAGGAGCAGCCATTTCGCGCTGGGTGTTTCTACTGCTGCAATGGAGTGGGATCCATAGTACGCCACATCCCTCTTGTACCTCTCGTTCCAAGATTTTAATGGATTGCAGCTCGGGGGCCTCATCACATTCGCCATCGGCCAGCTCGATGGGTTTCCTGTCTGGCGCGCCGTTTTTCTCATCTGTGGCGGCGTCACGGTGCTCTGGGGGGTCGTTCTTCTTTTTTTCCTTCCCAACAGTATCCTATCGGCCAAGCGGTTTACCGTTGAGGAGAAGATCCTACTCGTGGGTAGGGGCAAGCAAAACCATACGGTATGTTATAACGACTTGTGGAGACGGAGCGCTGCTGACATTACTAGGGCATCCTCAACCGTTCGATCAAATGGTATCAGATCCGGGAGGCGCTTGTAGACCCTCAGGTCTGGCTTATATCTCTCTTTGTCCTGATCAATGAAACCGGTAACGGAGGGGTCTCCAACGTGAGTCATTGTAGCTCTGGCTTTTTTTGAAGACTCCATGGCTGATACTCGACAGTTTGGAAAACTCATCGTCAAAGGCATCGTCTCGGAGCCTCTGTTGACAACGGCTCTGGGTATCCCTCAGGGCGGGTTCCAGATCTTCTATATTCTATCCGGAACCTACATCTCTTCGCGTTTCAAGGACATGCGCATCACTGTCATGATCGTCTACCTAATCCCCACAGTGATCGGCGTTTGTCTGCTCTGGCAACTCCCTCGAAGCAATCGCTACGGGGTTCTTTTCGGTTACTATATCGTGAGATGGCCCTTCCACCCCACTCCTCAAGGCGTAAGCAGAAAACTAACGATCTCAGATCGCGTCATATGTCACCTCTGTTGTTCTCTGCCTGCAGCTGCCGTCTAGTAACATGGGCGGATACACGAAGCGCGTCACCGCTACAGGCCTGGTCTTCATCGCATACTGTGTAGGCAGCATCATTGGGCCTCACGCGTTCCTGGCCCGAGAAGCACCCGTGTACAAGACGGGATGCAAGCTCATCCTGGGGTGTGCGGTGAGCCAGATGGCTTGTGCGGTGGCTTTGCGGTACTTGCTCGTCCGACGGAACAAGCTGCGGGATGCGGCAGCCGCGGCGTCGCCTGCAGCCGAGGAGGAGGTGCTGGCTGATCTGACGGATTTTGAGGTATGTCTTGTCGATATGGGATTGGTGCTGGTGCTGGTGCTGACAACGATAGAATCCTCATTTTCGGTATGTTGTGTAGTTGGAATCCAGCTTGCTGGATTGACACGACACCAAGTGAAGGTTTTGGCGAAGATGCTCTCTGTGAAAGAAGGATTTGTACTGGTACTAGCAATGCAAGGAGGACTTTTTGTTTCATCACCTATACTTAAGTCATGATGTTCAAGAAATTAGTGCAAACCTACACAGTATACCTCCAAACCAGTCGAATATAGTCCATGATCAACGCTCGTATCCAATCAACCCCTGCCGCCACCCCCACACGCCAGAAATCAGCCTGAGCCTGAACAAGTCAGCCTCGCAGTCGCATCCATCTGCATCTGCCACCCCATACATAACCCTTTTCATCCTACCACTATCATTCAAACCCGCCATCTCAATACCCTCAATAGAGACTCGACTCAAACACTCAAAATGCACATCCTCGTCGCCGAAGACAAGTACCCTCCCTCCCCTCCCTTCCCCAGTATACCAACCAAATCAACCAACTAACCCCCTCCACAGCAAGGTCAACCAAAGAGTCATCACCATACTCCTCACAAGACTCGACTGCACCATCTCCCTCGCCCAAAACGGCCAAGAAGCTTTAACCTACCTCCTCTCTACCCCGACAAATCCACGCCCGGATCTCATCCTCATGGACGTAAGCCAGCCCAGCCCAATTCCCTCCCCAGCCCAGCCCACTGGTGAATGAATGGATTGAATGATCAAACATACTAACACCGCCCACCGGGGCGCCCGCGGGGGCGGGGGGGGCGCCACAAAAAAAATAGACCTCCATGCCCGTCCTCGACGGTTTCACGGCGACGCGGATCCTGCGCACCCAGCCGCCGTACGCGGCCGACCCGGTGCTGCAGCGCACGCCGGTGATCGCGATGACGGCGGGCCGGTATGCTGGCGCGGCGGGGCTGTTTCATGGGGTGTTGCGGAAGCCGGTGCGCATGAGCGAGCTGCTGCAGGTGCTGCGGTTTTGGTCGCGCGAGGAGCGGGTGGTTGTGGGTGCTGGTGGAGGGGTGGAGTGGAGGTGGAGGAAGGCGTGGGGGTGGGAATGCGGCGTTGAGGAGGTATGGGGGGCCGAGGTCGTTGCTGTGATGGAAGCATGGAGGATGGAGGGATTTGGGGAATTGGGTATATGGATGTTGATGTTGGTATTGATATTGATATTGATATGCGTGAATGTTGGAGAGAGAAAAGAAAAACCTGGATGACGCCCCCCCTAAAAAAACAATAATAATAACAGAACTCCCTCGGAGGTGTATCGTGTATGTGTACAGTGCGCAGTGAATAGAGATAAACCCAGCATCTTTCACTCCCGGAGGTATTCCACCACCAGCTCCGTGTTGCTAACGACCGTCGTCCGGGTGCGTCGCTTGCCATTCTGTTCCATCTCGACGATCGTCGCGTCCCTCACGCCATACGACTTGCCGCCGGCCCTGGCCACGGCGCCGGAGAACGCCAGGCTATCAAAATCCACCAGCTGCACCATCCCATCCCCATACTGGAAGTCCTCGACGATCCAGTCGGCGTTCTGGCCGGCGAGCGTCGCCGTCGGCGCCGGCGCGCGCAGCGTCTTGGTCACCGTCTGCCGCGAGGTCCGGTTCTCGATGATTGCGACGCCCTCGGCGGGCGAGCGGCTCTCGACCTTGACGACGAGGACATCGCCGCGCGCAATCGGCAGGCGGAAGTCGTACGCCACGTCCGGGAACCACTCGTACCACGCGTCGTAGGTGTGCTTCCCGTCCTCGACGTAGAAGTCCACGCCCGCCTGCAGGATCGCCGTCGGGTACGTGTCGCCGTCGATCCCCACCCAGGCCGAGCCGGCCTGCATGCCGGCCACGCCGGCCACGGCCGTGGCCTCGGGCACGGTGAAGGTCGCCGTCACGGCGGTGTAGCTGGCGCCCGGTGGGGGTTTCTCGCGCACCGCGCCGGCCCAGTTCTTGCTCCAGGTGATGTTGGGCGATGCGTCCGTGGTCGCGGTCCGGAACTGCGTGTGTGGCTCGGCAGCTGGAGCGGCGGGTGCCGTGCTGTCGAGGGGATGGGACTGTCGTGCGAGTGCCCGCGCACGTATGCGTTCAAGCGTCCTGTCGCTGGGGGCAGCTAGCGCAGTACCCGCGAGAACAGCGGCAATAAGATTGGCGGAGAGCTTCATGGTGTATCAGAGCGAGGAAACCAGCGAGGGGATGGTATCAATTCGAAGCAAAGCAAAGGAAAGGGAGTCTATTCAGTCCCCAGGCGTCGCCATGCGGTGTTTTCCCTCTCCTCTTATACCAGATCTCGACCAGCTCGCATGCGGGTTCATCCTCCGAAAATAGCCCTCTTCGGGCTTCATCGGCAGAGCGAGTCTGCCTAGAGCATGGCATTTTACTCGTAAGCATTCCAAGTCATCAACTGGATATATACCCAAATGACCATGTCACTGACGGAACCAAGTATGATCGACCTGACATTCAGCCGGGGGGGCCTAGTAGGTTTTTTCCGCGTGCGTCATGTTCTTCGGAAGATCAACTCAGATCAGATCACAACAAATAACGCCGTATGTCAATAAACATGGCAGCAGGGAATATGCTTATGCTTGCTCATAATCTGTTTTGATCTCTGTTGTTCCATAGACCGGCCATCCCAGCACCCAAACAGGCAGATATGCAACCAGATCAAGCAGCCATGAGATGAACTAGCAACCACCCCAATTGTAAGATCTACCCCCAGTCTAAGCAAGAGTCAAGTGTCTTGTGCACGCAATCCAGTAAGGAAATGACAGGAAGATTAGCATCTCAAACACCCAGAGTGGATTGGCGCGCATTCCCGCCGCCGCAAGGGGGTGGTTGCAAACAACATCCCCAACGCGGCAATCGATAGTCCATTATTCCCATGGATGGAGATGTCGCGTGGGGTGACCGCAAACATATGCTCATGCTCTGGTTTCCCCAGACTGATGGATCTGGAGTACGGGGGTGTTGTTGACAGATGTGCTGTGGATGATCTCCCTGGGGTTGGAGATTGGAGGTCGTCGTTCCCTTCTGAGAGGATCAGATGGAAGAAGATAGGAATGCCCAGTCAATTGGTCATGTCAATCTTTTTGAGATTATACGATACACCCATTACAGCAAGTAGGACGAGGGAAAGGTCTATTCCCATTTCCCAGAGACTTCATCAACAACAAATATTTACATCCCTCACACATAGACAGTAGAACCTCCCCCCCCCCCGAGACCTACATCGGCAACATCCCCATCTCTTTCACCGACCAAAACCTCCTCATATTCTCCGCCCCGAGCGCCCTCACCTCATCATCCAGATGCGCCCACAGCACCTCCCCAAACGCATCCAGGAGCCTCTTCACCTCCGCGCGCTGCAGCTCGACTTCCCCCGCGCGACACCGCATCAGGTACGCCTCGAGCGCCTCCAGCCCCGCATGGATCCGCTTATGCTGGGTCAGGAGGGCCAGCTCGCGGCGGAACTCGGGCATCTTCTTCGCGAGCACGGGGAAGACGTGCTGCTCCTCGATGGAGTGGTGGAAGTCGAGCTGGGAGCAGAAGCTGAGCCCGGTCATGATGAGTTGGCGCGGAGAGAGGCCTGCGGCGCGTTTGCTGGTGCCGGTGGTGCTGCAGGCATCTTGGAGTTGGGTCCAGGTGAGGCGGAAGTGATTATGCTGTTTGGGGTGGGGGTGGACGGCGTTGATTAGTGATCGATGATTTGAAGAGGGGAGGAGGTTAATGCTTACGAATTGGTCCATGTGCTCGGCGAGACGGTTGTAGATGCGAAATTCTTGTGGTGAGAGAGGGGGAAGAGCTTCGCTGGTGGTGTCGGGGGTGTTGGTGTTGGTCCCTGAGGTTGCTTGTTGTTTCTTGGGGGCCATGGCTGTGAAGGGTCGACGGGGTGTGGGAGTTGAGAGGTGTGGTTTGGTGTGGATGGATGGGAGAGGTTGCAGTTTATGAGTGATGTATGCGCTTCTGATTGTGCAGACTGCTCTGGTACCACTGCTTGCCAGTGGTAAGTATCTTTTCCCAATCATGCAGTAGACTATCCAATGTGGTGAACGACTCTGCTCCAGCGACGGTGTATACTTAGAGATTTTTTATATATATATATATGGAGATTCGGCACTGCACAACAGCCGATAAGCTCAATTACAAACCCCTGACAAATCGATGCCCAGCCAATACCGCCTGGGTGTCTGGATGGGGAAACATGTCTGGTAGGCTAGGCTGGGACCAAGTCTCACAGGCTCAGTTGAAAGCCCGTGAATGGCAAGAGGCAGAACAAAAGGTCTTACAGAATAGTCGCTCAAGAGTAAGAAAGGTAGACAGAAAACTGATGGCATTGCTATGCTAATCTACAAGGTATGTTCCAGGTCCTCAATGGATGTATGCCATTTCAACATTCAGAAAAAAACTGAACATTGCCAAGACACAAATCTAGTACGTCGCTGGTCAGAGATAAACTCCACTCAATATCAGCACTTCTTCGGCACAACCGCAGCCATGGAAGGGCTGGATCGCAATTTGACATCCGTGCTAAGAAAAATCGGGACGCACCCGGCAGGCGGAGAGGCAGCCCGCCAACTCTCAACGAAAGGGAAAGGGGGAGGACGAAGGGTGGAAGATGTATTATTAGGTAAATAATCTGCAAGAATGACAAGGTAAGTACATAGAACATAAGTCATCTGCAGGGTCAGTATGGCCTGGATATCAAATTAAATAGCTGTAAGGTCGTCACGCCGTAGAAATACAAGTCTAGAGCTCCTCGTTGTGAAGGTGCTTGGGCGGACGGAAGTTGCCCTTTCGAAGTTCCTGCCACGCAAGATCAAAGCGTGCACCGAAGTACCAAGCAAAGCCAATCTGAATATTTGTGAGAAAAAAAAGTGACGATCCGGGACCGGGGTCGGCGGGCTTACCATGACAATGGAGACAAACACCACAATGACTCCCATGAGAGCCATCATGAAGAGTACATCTTGACGAGTCTCGGCTTCCAGCTTGGCCTTCTCCTTTTCAGCTTCCGACTGGACGCCGAGCACACGTCGCTTCGCCACCTCGGCCGTCTGGGATGGGAAGATGTTTTCGATGAATTTCTCAATCTATGTCTGGTTAGCCACTGCCGGGCTGGTGGTGGTGTCGGAGGTCAAACATACCCGGCCACAGGCGATGCTAATCTTGAGGAAGTTGGGGTCCTTGGGAGTGTTCTTCCGGTGAATTTCGCGCACATAGCGGCGGAAGGCCTCGTACAGGATCCGCAGGTTCTGCGTCGACTCGACCATCAACGTGCAGGCTTCACCCTTGGTGATCTTGATGTTACGTTCAAAGATGGCAGGGTTGCGGAAGCACAGCGATAGCGTCGCGATGGCCATGGACTGAGGGATGGCACAGAAGTTGAAGACACTCTGTTCCCGGAGACCGGCGAGGTAGAAGAGACATTCTTCGGCGTGTCCCAACGCGTTCAGAACCATCTCCGAGCTACAGTTCAGGGCAGCTTCGCGGTTCTCCGGCTTGAACAGGTCTTCCAACTTGGTGACGTGCTTGGACCAAATCTCTTTGGGCCAGAACTGACGGCGATCATCGAAATCCTCTCGGATGTCTCGAATGATGTTGGTCTTCTGCAGGAAAAGACCCATGGACTTGTACAGCTCGGGGCGCTTCAGCAGGGCCGGGTTGCCAAACTCGGCCTCGACGAAGAGGCGAGTCAGGCCCTCGCCGACCAAGCCGGCCACGTACCAGCAGTACAGGTCATATTCCTCGACTGTCTTGACGCTTGCGTCGTCCTGCGCCGCTTTACGACAATAGTCGGCCATCCCGTTGCCCATCCTGTCTGTGATGTCCTTGATGATGGCCTGATAGGCCGGCTTCATCTTCTTGAACTCAGCGATGACACATTGAAACTGAACCAGCAGCTCACGGTCCTTCTCCTCGGGCCGGTTGCCCGTGAAGTTCCAGCCATCCTGCTCCAGGAAATCCTTGAATCCGCGAAGGAGCGGCTCTTTGGTGGCCAGGGGAATTGACGTGTCGTCCTCGATGGTGTCCAGCCCACGAAGCGTCAGGTAGAAGATGCAGACAGGAGCCAGCAGCTCGGGATGAAGCTCCTTGATCACCGCGCTGAAGCTCCGGCTTGTCTTGTCCAGAAAATGGAAGCATTGCTTAAGGGTCTCCGACTCAGCCTTCTCATCACGTTCATGAACCGGATTGTGCCATATCTTCCTATCAGAAAGGACGAATGGAAGTCCGTAAGCGATGGCACATATTAAAGCCAAGGAGGGTGCTCAAAGCTATAGGCCAAGACCAACCATTGAAGAATCGACCTCAATTCTGAGGGATGGAAGAGGTAGTAAATAGCATTGGTTGCAGTGCCCATGGTAGGAGTATTTGTAGTTTGGGGGGAGAAAAAAAAAAAAGAAAAAAAAAAAGAGGGAGGCAGGAAAAGGGCGAGGACGGAAAGCCGGATGTTGAGCGAAAGAAAGAAACAAAAATTTAAAAAAAAAATTAAAAAATTAAAAATTAGCTGGGAAAGTGGAGCAGGCGACAAGCGAATCAACACGTCTTATTATGGTACAGTTTAGTACAATTAGTGGAGGACCAGAGGATCAGTGGAAAGAAGACACGGTTAGCGAAAGGGTCTCAAGTCTCACACTGTGGATGGGGGGGAGGAGGGAGGAAGGAAGAGATGAGGATGGAGAAGAGGGAGAGATATAATTATAATTGGAAGGATTCTATCTGTTCAGTTCCTCTCGCAGCAACAACAATAAGAACAACCAGTCGAGTTGAGCAGGAGAGCAGCAGCAGCAGAAGAAGAAGAAGAAGAAGAAGAAGACGATTGAAGCAGATGGACGAAGGAAGTTTCTTTCAGGGGGCAGTTGAAAAGGACCTGATTTGCCCAATCAGGCAGTCCTTTCGCGGCTGGCGGTGAGGCTCATGCCATTACGCCGTCAATACAGTCGGTATCGGTGAGCTTGTTATTGTGAACCCATTCTGCGGCTGTGGCTGAGGGCTACCCGTGACAGTACAGTACGTTACAGACCATACTCCGTCCAGTTTCTTCTTCCCCCGCCATGACGAAACTACCGTCGGAGAGCATCATCAGGCAGCCAAAAAAAAAAGAAAAAAAAGTAAGAAAGAAAGAAAGAATCAGAAAATCGTTATCCTCTTACGGGGTACTGGTTGATCCTGGATATCTTCACATACACGACTGTCGCGACCTGAAAAGAAAATACTAAATAACCAACTTCATACCTGACCCGGTGAAGTGCGAGCCACCATGGTCGCAGATACCGCCTACTACGACGCCTTGGGGGTGCCCCCCACGGCCACAGAGCTGGAGATCAAGAAGGCATATCGGAAACTTGCTATTGTCACTCATCCTGGTGCGCATTTCGCCTTGTCATAGGTGTGTGGCGGTGATTCTGACTTCTGGAATAGATAAGAACCCCGGTGATGAGACTGCGCATGCCAGATTTCAGGAGGTGCGTGGGTGGACTTGATCTCCATACTTGATAACCGACATTGGCGACTAATGCTGACGACGTGCCTTGGTGCTTTGCATAGATCGGAGAAGCCTACCAGGTTCTCAGCAACGAAGAACTGCGAAAGCGTTACGACAAATTCGGCAAGGAAGATGCGGTTCCCGGCGGTGGTTTTGGTGAGACCTGGCACCCAGCGCCCAGTGATCTCTATAAAGGCGACTGTACTGATTTCAACTCGTAGAGGACCCGGCCGAATTCTTCAGCATGATCTTTGGTGGCAGCGCATTCGTCGACCTGATCGGTGAAATCTCGTTGATGAAGGATCTGACCGCAACAATGGACATCACGATGCAGGAAATGGAGGAGCAAGAGCTCGCGGAGGCGGCGGAGGAGAAGCTCAACATCCACGACGAGGAGACCAAGGCAGCTGCCGCGACTGCTGAGGCAGGCCCATCCGCTGAGACCGCAACCCCCGCGCCCGCGGCTGCTCCGGCTGCAGAACCCTCGGCTCAACCGACCCCGGCCGCCGGCACAAGTACACCCCGTCGCTATCTCGGACAGCAGGCGCTCATGGACAAGTCGGAGGAGGAGGCTCGGATGGAGGCAGCTGGTCTGACTCAGGAAGAAAAGGAACTGCGCAAGAAAGAGAAGAAGAAGGGACTGTCGCGGGAACAACAGGAGCGTCTGGCGGCTTACGAGCTGGAGCGCAAGAAGGCTCGCGAGGAGCGCGTCAACACCCTGGCCACCAAGCTGGTCGACAAGCTCAGCGTGTGGACGGAGACGGACAAGGGCAAGGATGTGACGCGGGCGTTTGAGGAGAAGATCCGCCTGGAAGTGGAGAACCTGAAGATGGAATCGTTCGGACTGGAGATCCTGCATGCCATTGGCGCGACGTACACGCAAAAGGGTACCTCGTTCCTCAAGTCGCAGAAATTCCTCGGTATCTCCGGCTTCTTCTCCCGGCTCAAGGACAAGGGTACCCTGGCCAAGGAAACATGGACTACGATCTCGACCGCCATCGACGCACAGATGACCATGGAGGAGATGGCCAAGTTGGAGGAGAAGGGGGGAGAGGACTGGACGGACGAGAAGCGGGCCGAGTACGAAAAGAAGGTGACGGGCAAGATCCTGGCTGCTGCATGGCGCGGCAGCAAGTTCGAGATCCAGAGTGTGCTGCGAGAAGTGTGTGATCAAGTGCTGGGCGACAAGCGCATCAAGCTGGAGAAGCGTGTTGAGCGTGCTCATGCCTTGGTCATTGCGGGCAATATCTACGCCAAGGTAAGCGATTCGCCGTTCCACCCTTCGATCCCCGCAAAACTAATGGGTGTTCCAGGCCGAGCGTGATCCAGAGGAAGAAGGCGACTACATGGCCTTTGAACAGCTGATGGCGGAGGCGATGTCGAAGAAGGGCAAGGACGACAAGAAGAAGAAGAGAGACAAGTCCAAGCATGAGCACCACGCCGAGGAAGAAGCCACAGCATAGATACCTTTTTTTTTTCTGTTTTAATATGATTGCCACCAGCTTTTCTCTGCTGAACCAGGCCACTTCACTCCTCTCTTGAGTAGGTTGTTGGATATGTTTTTTTTTTTTTTATACCACGATCGCTGGAGGACTTAGCACAGTGTGAACGTCCAGTATTTAGATATTTCTAATGATAGATTGATTGTACATTGGATTTTGATTGTTAGGGGTTGAGTTGATAGTTGGATATATATAGTAGTAGTCCCTATGTATAATTGCTGGTCAACACCTAATAATCATGCTCCAACTACAGAACACCGGAGAAATACCGCCAAACAATATGACAGGGGAACTTTCGATATATCTTCGTCGTCTATCCCAAGAAAAGGGATTCCTGATATCGTTGTCAACCCCCAGAGAACCCGGTCAATGCCCGTCCATCCTGATCCTCACCGTCGCCTTGCAGTAGCCCAGCCAGTCTCGGAAATCGAGTTCCAGAAATAAAATTCCGTAGGAGTGAGACTAGTCTAGAGAAATAACTACACAGTCAAGAATTGCATCCTTCAAGCTCAACACCCCAGACTGGGGTCCCCGCCCTCCAGGTTGCTCACTCTTACCCTAATCCCCAGTGCGTGCATCTTGCTCTGTAGATACTATAATACTACATAGATAGCCGACGCTACAGATGACAGCATCGGACTTGGAGTTCCTCGGATTCCCTACACTGTACAACTACAAGCGAGCGCTCTAGCTGATTAGCGTACTCCTAGCCCAGCCATCCTTCATATTAGTACTCGTTGATGCTGCTGCTGATCTCACTCTCCAGCCATCAACACCATGCGGGGGGAGGCACGAGACAAATTGCCCCAAGCAGTCAAGTCGCATCGCTACTGGTGTTAATTTAAGTGGTATCCAGGCAGACCGATAGTGATCTGTTTGGTGTATCTAATTAGATCCTCCGTCACTCGTCGGAGTTGGTCCCTCGACGGCTAATGATTCAAGCCTGGCGACTGGCTCCAAGGCTCCCGGGCACTGCACTAAGGGAAGCTTTTCTGTGCGCCATCGTCCAGGCAATGGTCTATACGGTGGATGGTCTCCAATTTCCAGTTTCCCCACTCCTTCTACAGACACCATGAGTGGATAGAGAACCTTCGGGATGGGCCCGGGTTTCCTCGAAGAAGTAGGAGAGGTGTTGATGGGCAGGGGTCACCTACCATCTCGACAGGAGCTCTGTATGATTACCGATGAGATTGGGGGGCAACAAAATGATGACCGACTGAGGGAATGCAATGCATGAGAGCGGCCCCGCAGATTCCTGATTTGAGGACCAGCTTTGCATCCCAGACGGGGCAGCAGAGCAGGACAGGGGAGGGGTGTATCGTGTATAAATAGGGCGGTCTACCCCTGCTCTGTCGGTGTGTCTTTTTGTCGATTAGGGCGTTCTTCTCTCCAGCTACCACTACCGCCATCACACCACCACCACCAATTCCAATGCCTCCATCTGTGCTTTCCCCGGCCACCGCGCTGGCTGTTCTGGCCGCCATGGGAGGCGTCACTGCTGCTCCCACCAAAGGCGGACCCCCCCAAGGACCCGCTCCCACCGGCACAGTGTATCCATCGGGCTTCGACATGACTACCAGCTGGGCGAACCTCAGCCCGTACAAGGACGCGCCGGGCCACGGGCAATCCAGCGGGGTTCCGCGGGGCTGCGAGCTGTCGCAGGTGCACATCCTGCACCGGCACGCGCAGCGGTTCCCCGTCTCCTCGATCCTGGACGGCGGCGGCATGCAGAACTTCGAGCAGAAGCTGCGGAACTACAGCGCGGCGCACCCCGATACCACGGTCGCCAGGGGCCCGCTCTCGTTCCTCAATGAGTGGGAGAGCGTGCTGGGCCGCGAGACGTTGCTTGTCAGCGGCGCCGCGACAGAGGCGACGTGCGGCGCCAATACCTGGTCCAAGTACGGCCGGCTGCTGTACCGCGCGGACCCGGGGGTCGCGGTGTGGGATCCGTCCATGAATGTCTATCCCAATGGCACGGAGAGGCCGAAGCCGATCTTCCGCACCACGTCGCAGGAGCGCATCCTGGAGAGTGCTCGCTGGTGGCTTAGTAGGTTGCTTGCCTTCGAGCGGCCCTTGGGGATATACTAACCGGTGATAGGTGGCTTCTTCAGCAACACCGGCGCCAACAGCTCCTCTGAACAGTACGAACTCGTCCAGATGCCCGAGGGCAACGGAGTGAACAATTCGCTCGCGTCGGATCATTCCTGCACCAACGGCAAAACAGAAGGGTACGAGAAACAAGGTAGAAACCCCCTGGATCCAGGCCACAAGCTGAAACCCGTCCAGAACGCGCTCCGCCACCGAGTACATCCCCCGGTTCACCAAAGACGCGGTCTCGCGTCTCGCCCAGTTCCTCCCCGGCGACTTCAACCTGACCGCATTCGACGTGGCCTCGATGATGCTGACCTGCCCGTACGAGTTCGCGGCGCTGGGCAGCTCCGACTTCTGCTCGCTCTTCACCGAACAGGAATGGAAGGACTGGCAATACAACGTCGACCTGCAGTTCTACGGCAACTACGGCTGGGGCGCGCCCAGCGGCCGCGCCCAGGGCATCGGCTACATCCTCGAGCTCGCCGCCCGCCTGGAGGGCAAGCTCATCGAGACCAGCGACACCAGCATCAACGCCACCTTCGACGACCACGAGGCCACCTTCCCGCTGCACCAGCCGCTGTTCCTGGACATGTCGCACGACGACGTGATCGTCGCCGCGCTCGCCGCGCTCGGCATGGACTACTTCAACCACGGGCCCAAGGGCCTGCCCGCCGACGTGCCCCATGCCCCCGAGCGCGCCTTCAAGCTCAACCAGATCAGCCCGTTTGGCGCGCACTTCGTCTCCGAGATCTGGACCTGCCCGGCGCGCACCGACTTCCACAACCTCGACGCCACCCTCTACAAGAACCCGGATCTCTCGGCCCGCAGGGACACCGCGGATTACATCCGCTTCGTGCTCAACGGCGCCTCCGTCCCCACCATGGGCATGCCGGGCTGCCGCAAGGCGAAGAATGGGTTCTGCCCCGTCAGCGACTTCCTGGCGTCGGTGCCCCAGCTCAAGGAGGATGCCATGTACCGGTATGCTTGTTTCGGGGAGTATCCCACGGGACACCAGGTTGGGAATGGCCAGCCTGAGTAGACAAGGTTTTGTTACATAGCTCATTAGGGGGATATCTGTTACCTAGGGATGATAATGTTTATGTCACTTGTGTGTCTTCATTCACATCCAGATCAGGAGTCCGTTCCATGGAATCATCCCCAGGCAGCAGGTCTTTGGCTTTTGGGGGGGTGCTATGGTTCTACCTGTGCACCAAGACTAAGAATAGCCATGACGGCTATATCAGTTTCCATTCACGGTACAGTTGCCTGCTTTCACCTGTATACCTTGTCTGTCTTCTATCCCAATCCAATGCCCCCATCTCTACAACCTCTCTACCAATCCATCTCTTTGCTGGCTCTCTCATCAATCCAATCTATACAAAACACCCATCACACCTCCCAAACCAAAACCAAAACCAAAAGAATAATGACCACCCTCCTCAGAACCCACTACTCCTTCGACGACATGTCCCCTACACACCCAAACCTGCACCGCTACGAGCCCATCGCCAGCCACAGCGACAGGGATATCGATGACGACTCCATCCCCATCCCCATCGACCCAAACAGCAACAGCCGCGTGCGCATCGCCGTCCCCGCAAGACTCACCCTGCATAGACCTTCCGGAGCTAGAGCTAGCCCTAGCCCTAGCGCCAGCGCCAACTTCAGCATACACGCAGACACAACCACAGACACACCCGCAAGTCCCACAAGCACAATCCCCTTCCTCTCCTCCGCCCCACCCCCCGCGCTCCCGTCGAGGCTGCGCGTGCGAATCCGCGGGCACCGCAACCTGCTGCGCACGGGCGAGGTGAAGCTCGACCGGAGCACGCTGAGCCGGGCGCGGATCTGGCTGGGGATCTACGGGATCCAGGTGACGCGGTTCTGGTTCCCGCGGGCGCGGTACGGGGTGGACGGGCTGGAGGGTGGGGTGGGGTGTGTTGGGATCCGGGCGAGCGGGGAGATTGCGGCGGCGAGGTGGCGCAGTGCGGTGCGGAGGACGGTGGAGGTTGTGTTTGGGGAGAGCGATGCTGTGAAGGAGGTGCCAGTTGTGGCTTTGTGTGGGGAGGAAGTGGAAGGGGAAGGGGAAGGGGAAGGGGAAGGGGAAGGGGAGAGGATGTTCAGTGCGTGCGAGGTGTATCTTGCACGGTTGGTTGCGGTTGAAGCGAATTGAATCGGAGGATGAAGGAGGATGAGGTGCGTGCAGTGCTTGATTGCGAGTCGGTGCCATGTCTTATGGGACGTTCGGGTCATCATTTGAAGGGGGAACGATTTGCTTGGAGTGCAATTTGCTATGTTGATCTGCCATCATGTACAGTCATGTCCCCTGGAGGAATACGGGACGACGCTGCGGCGCTGGAGAACAGCTATCGCTCTTGAGATTATCATGTTGCTTGGAACATTGCTGTGGATATTGGCTGTGATATTCCTGTGACGAGAACAGGGCTGAAATGATTGTATCATCTTGATTGCTTGCTCTATATCACAAGATCGATCCCACAATAGAGACAGATTGGAAATCACAAAACCACAAAAGACAGTATTATCGCGCATCGGGTATCTAACAATATACCAGAGACCAAGGAAACAGAACGGACACCAAGACCATGTATCTATCGCTTCGAGAAAACAGACGACGCTATGAAGAGGGAAGGGCAAAGGTGACTTAGAATGAAGAGGGCTCCAGGCAGACACAAGGCAAAGATAGGTGACGCAGTGGGAAGAACAGAAGGATTGGCCGGGCCTGCCCGTGAAAAACGTAGTTAAGGTATAAGAGACGACTCGCTCATCTCGTGTTCAGACAGGTCAATGGACGAATCGAAGTCGACGGAGGGTAATAAAGGATCTGCGGTGTCGCCAACCGAGCTCAAAAGCCCCTTCCCGCTCTCCCCAGTGTCGACGAGCTCCTCCGGAGGTAGGACTCTGCCGCCCAGTTGCACATCGTTGACATGCACACTATACTCCAGAGCCTTCTTGCCCTCCTTGATCAAGTCTTCCGTCCATTCAAGACAGCGCTTGAGGCTCTGGTTGATTTTCTGGCTATCTGCCAGCAATTCTTGATGTTTGGCAAGGTCGATAAAAAACCGTTTCTCATCCGTAGCGCGATGACGCGCATCGTGTTCAGCAAGAGCATCGGGACTGACGACGCCTTCGTCCAATGTCGATTCCTCATCGCTGAAATCTGACAATTCCTCCGGAGACCGGATCGACGAGACATCACTTGCCCCCTCATCGGCTTCGGCGGTAATTAAGAGCGAGGTGCCGGAGAACGATCGAGCAGATGGGGCGACAGAAAAACGACCAGAGCGACTGAGCCGGCGGTATCTGCGCAACTCTGCGTTCTGCTTGCGCATCTCCCGCTCCAGAGTACGATTGATAGCGAGCAGCGAGGAGTTGCTGATCTCCAAGTCCAGAATCTTGCGCTCGATCCGCGCATTGACCACGACACCGTTGTTCGCTGGCGCCGAACTTTCTGATTTCACGGGACTCTGCGCGGCAGAAGCCTGCGTGTCAATCGACGCCATAGACCCATTGCTGAAAATCCGAGGTCGAAGCCCCGGCATCGACTCGGAAGCGGCATGGTTGCCATCAATTTGCGATTCCGCCGGGGATACAATGATGGGACTTGGCCTGAGACCCTCCTTGAGATAAGGGCCGCTGGCGGACGAGCCAACGCTTGATGACTTGAAATGCCTCATAGCGGAGAGCGGAGGCCGCACGGGGAAATTGAGCGAGCTATGCACATGGGAGCCAATCTCGGACACATCATCTCGCTGGGAACCCACCACGGAGGCGACGCCGTCAGACGTTCTTGTGGTAGAATCGGCGAGCTTGGCCGGTCTTAACCGCGGTGATGGCAACGCAGGAGACTTCGCGGCCAACACTGGGCGGGCGGACCCTATCGATCGTCGTTTCAGGGTCGGAGCGGTGGCGGCTGCCTCCCCATTCGGGGATTGTTGCTCCTGTTGCCCATTGGCGTAGACGAACGTAGCAGGTGAGGATGGTTTGCTTTGAGACTTGGATCGGAAGTCCACCTCGGAGGAACTCGGAGATCGTACATCGTAGGCATGAAAAAACATCCGCGAGCCGGACGGAGCGTCGCAGACAGAATTCGGCCGCGAGACATGAGCGTGCTCGGCTGTGAGGGTCTTTGTCCTGTCGGGCCTGGACGGTTCCAACCTCCCATTCGCGCGGACCGGGCTCCGTTCTGTCCGCAGGACCCGCGTGTTCGAGACATGAGCGACCCCTGCATGCGAGTATGAGATCTGCGGCGAGCACTGGACGGTCGAAGGGGGATTCTTCGGGGACGGCACTCCATCCCGTCTGCTAGTGCGAGAACCCGACCGAGGGGTAATGTTTGTATTCAGATAGCTGGTATCGGGCTCGGGAGTCGAGGAAGGGTGTTCGGAAGGGACGAGTCTTTTCGGAGTGCGATAGCCACCAGGGCTCGCAAGCTTCGGAGTCAAAGGCGATTTGGTATTTCGATGGAAGGCCGCACTGAGCGTTGGCGTGAAAGGTTTGGCGAGAGAGCCGTTGGATTGTTTATCGGAGGTCATAGTTGCGGGCAATAATCGAGGGGCGGAAAGGAGAAAGGCAACGACTTATGGCATTGCGACACTTGCCGGAGATCTGCCAGCATGATGGCACTCAGCCAGCAGAGAGATCGGCGCTTGGAGGGGGGAAAAATGACAGACAGACAGGTTTATTGTATTGAGATATCGATAGACAGATAGATTGATAGAAAAAAAAAGCACTGGGGGAGTGGGATCGATAGACGTGGAGGCAAGGGTGACAGACTTGACGATAGTGTCGAATAACAACAACAATTGTTTTAGTGCCAGTCGAATTGCCCAAAGCGGTCAAGCGGCAGATAGTCTCGTACACCGCAATTGTTGCTGTTGTTGCTGTTGTTGCTCCAGGCGAGTATCGGCACATTCTTGAATGCTCCTCGATAAGAGACTGAGAATCCATGACGGACGGACTGAATGAATGAATGAATGAATGAAGGAGAGTCTGCTGACTGCATCCCGGGAAATTGACGTCGTCAAGGTCTCCGGATCCTGGAATCATGTAACTGTTCGTCGCCCCCCCCGCATGGGCTGATCAGACAAACGCCCATCTAGCGTGTTGGGCCATTCTGCTCAATGATCTCATGTGGGAAAGTCTCGTAAAAATAGAGCGATAGATATCTTCTTCCGAGATCTTACAGATCGGTGACTCACCCTTATTTCCCGGGTGTCGGACGGGACATCTATACATGTTGACCAACGTCTACTCCGGGATGTTGTCCTGAGGATGTTCAGCATGTTCGCTTGTGCAAAAGACAGTGCAGACATCAAGATCATGTACGCAGTGCGACTACGACTAAGATGTCAAAGCGGGAGATCCTTGTCTCACTGTAAGAGCTGTCGCGACCATGGATGTGAGAAACAGCCGTCGATCATTTCGCTGAGACAGGAGGCCTCCGTCCGGTGCGTTTGTGAAGAGACGTTGCGCATCTATCACTCTGAAAGGACTAAGGGGTCAATCTGGAAGGGATTCAATGGGAGTGACATGTCTCACTCCAATTAAGGTGGACCGGGACTGAAAGCAGCAAGACTCGAGAAGCCTCGTGTTTTTTTTTTTTTTTTTTTTTTTTTTTTTTTTTTTTTTTTTTGTTGGCCATCTCAAGAATTGATTGCTACTCATCAGGCTCATGTCTCCTTGCATGTAGCAAAGCCCCCAATGCGATCAAGGTGTATTGTCATTTGACCAAACTTGAATCGACGCCATATCAAGTGAAGAACAGTCGTTTTTGTCGTGGATCAGGCACTTCATTCGACGACTCCTTTGTCGCCTTTCTTTTCCGTCCGGATATTTTCGATGGAGTAGCTGGAGAGTCCTCGGTGGTATCTTGAACGGCTTCTCGGATCGTCTCCCTCGACAGGCAGAAATCGACATGTTCATTGAACGCTCTATCCTCTGCGATCTGAGGTTTCGAGCAGATTGGACAGTTCCAAAGCTCGGGTTCGGCTGGATTCGTCTTCTCGGTCTCGCACAGCTCCTGACTGAGTTTCTCCAACTCATGAGCATCATCCTGCCTTTCCTGGCGAGCGGCTTGCTCAAAGGCTTCCTCCGCGCTCAATTCCTGCTCGGTAGTCGCGTTCGGTGAATCTCCAGATAGACTTTTCGGCCTCAATGGTGGACCGAAGAAGTTGACCTCCACTTTCTTGGTGCTTACTAGATTGGTACAGCGCAACCCAAGGAGTCGGAGCTTCATGTTCGGGATCTCTCGTTCAAGTTTGGCCAACATCGGAAGTGCAAACGAGTGAAGGTCTTTGGCGAGTGACAACGCCCTCGGGGGCTGACATTGTCGCGAAAGCACCTCAAAGGAAGCCAGTTTGACTTTGAGAACCAAGGTGCGTCCTTTACATTCGTTCCGAGCGAGGTCCTTCTCCAGTTCCTGCGCCGTGTCCCAGAGTTTCCCCCGTAGCAATTGCTTGTCTCCGAGTTCATTGAATGTACGCTCCGTGCCGACGCTCTTTCGTTCGTATTTCTCCACGGGCTGGATTTGGGTTCTCCCCAGGCCAAGATAGCACTGGATGAGAAATTGAAATGCCTTTTCACCGAACAGGCGGGTCAGATACGCACGCTGAGGCCAAATATCACCACATGACTTGATGCCAATCGCATCAAGTTCACGTTCAAAGACACGACCGACACCGTTCACCTTGCGAACCGGTAGCTCCTTCATGAACTCCATGACGGCGTCTCTGTCATTGGGCACGCGAAACTGCCCATTCGGTTTGTTGCGGTTCGATGAGATCTTCGCAATCTTCGCGTTGGCTGCTATGCCTGCGGAGACGAAAATCTTCGTCTTCTCCAAGACCTCCGCGCGCATGCGACTGACAGCTTCCTCCGGATCCAGGTTGTTTTCGTTGCAATAAGAGGTAATGTTGAGGTACGCCTCATCAATACTCGCGCTCTCGAAGAGAGGATCATATTGCGCGAAGATCGCACGGATCTCCTGCGCTTTAGCGGTGTATTTCTCATAGTTCTGAGGGAGGCAGATCAAGTGCGGACAGAGTTTCATGGCCACGAACGTGGCCATCCCGCTGCGACATCCATACTTTCGCGCTTCGTAGTTACATGTGCTTAGCACTCCTTTGCCTACTGCCATGGGAACCGTCTTCAGCTCTGGCCGGTCAAGCTCCTCCACCGCGGCGAAGAATGCATCGCAGTCAACGTGCACGACATACTGCGATAAATCTCGCGTAGATTCAAGTTCACTGATCAGCTCATCAGCTTTTCGCAAATCGTGCGACAGGTCCATCTTTTCTAGACGAGCTTTCTCTTTCAAGATACGCTCGATTTTCACGGTCAGGACCCTGTCACGATTCTGCTCGTGGTTGAAGAATTTAGAGCCTTTAGACGCATTGTAGATGATTTCAGATACCTTTTTTTTGATTTTCCCACTTAGTCTCTATCTATCACAAGTAACAGAGGTGGTATAACTCGCTCACCTTTCGCTGGTCAACCGCATCTTGACCCGCCTTTGTCAAAGAAGGGCCCAGTAACTGATACTTCAGAGTCTCATCCTCGTCAAGCGAAAGCTTCGCATTGCCCACACCGGTATTATCAGGCGTCTCGTCTTTCGACGCCATTTTTCCATCCTCGTAGCCAGTCTGGCACAGCTGTCGACCGAGGATGCGCAGGAATTTCCTAACGAGGCAGCTATTGGAACGCCTGTGCACGTGACTTCGCGTTGCGGGCCGTGATGCTGGACGTGGTTCTCCCAGCGTCAGTCAGCACAGCGACTCTAACGGACAGTGCCTTGAGGCGTCTTCGCTAGGTTTGCTGCCCCTCATGTGGATATTGGACTCGGAGGGGGATTTCCTAGAGGGTATCTATTGATACTTCTCCGGAGCCGTTGGGCTATCTCTTAGATTGTCACTGACAGTGTCCTAGGAAAGCGCGTGTGGCTGCGGCCTGGGAAGAAGTATCTCTTCGGTCGGATAAGGCAAGATGGAGGTATGACCACCTGTGCTCCGACCGACAATCATGCAAGAGAAGAAACTGATCTATCAAATGGCTTAGTGCGGCATGCTATACAGCATTCCTCAATATCCCGGAAACACATGGTGATTGAGGTGTCGCCAGTGAAACCCGGCGATGGCGTACGGCGTCCCCCGTCCTCTTATCCCCCCAAATCGTCGCTGATTCGGTCTAGTCGCACATCTACACTAAATCCGAGATCACCGTCCATGATCAAAACTCCAAGTGCGGAACGATAGTCGATGGCGAATCAATACAGGGGGGAAGCAGGAAGCTAAGCGGCGAGGAGCACACCATCAAGCTGGGGAGATACCAGCATGCGTTGCGGTAAGCACAACTGCTGTGACCCAAGGAAAGAGCGACAGCTCATGGAATTTCCTCGCTTAGAATCAAATGGCAGCCGACGGTTCTCAGTTTCTCCTTCTCCTCCAAGGAGCTCAGGGCGAAGGATCCTCTGGCGCATGTGCGGTCGCGTCTCGAAGACTTGGATATCAAGACTATCATCCCGTATGGCGTGGATCAGACTACGCACGTTGTCCAGAGCAAACGCAATACAGCCAAGGGACTCCAAGCCTTGGTGAACGGGAAATACATCGTCCAGGAATCTTACATCGATGCGCTGGTGTATGCTGCGACACCGAGCGATCTAGAGAATTTGGAGTCGCTATCGCCGCTGGAAACAGACTTCGACTCTGCGTGGCCGGACCCGACGGAGCATCTTCCACCCCAAGGGAGAGAAGTCGTGCAGAGGCCCGTTGAGGCATTTGCTCCGAATCCAGACAGGATCAACATATTCGAAGATTACACGTTTGTCTTTGGGGACCCTTCCCAGTTTAGCAATCTACAAGATCCGATCAGCAATGGCCATGGAAAGGCACTATTGTACCCGGTGGAGAACAGCGTGACTACTGCAGAAGATATTGTGCAATTCATGAGAAACGCTGCTGGTCGCAAAGGCCTTGGCGGAGCAAGCGACGGCCCTGGCGGAGTGGTGCTCGTCCGTTTTCGGGCCAAGGCGCCCTGGGAGACCTGGGCGATTGAGCTGGGCAACCAGGTCGCCCTAATGACGAATCAGCGCGTCATTGAGCAGAGTGAGTTCCTAGATGCAATCCTAGGTAACGATGCGTCCACGTTGTGTCGACCGCTGCCCGAAACCACCTCGAGTCCAGAGATTGGACAAACACCGACGTCGCAACTAGCGGCGGATGAGACGGTCGACGTGATTGCCGATTCTCAGGCAGTCGAAGAGTCGAGCCAGCCGAGCCCGCCGCCCCGCAGAAGAAACAAGTCGCCGAGGATTCGCGCCATCAGTAGCAAAGTGAAGTCATTCGATGATGAATTTGATATTGCTTCGATTCCGACCTACACGCAAGCGGGAATTGATCATGTGGTAGAATCGCAATCCGCAATGGATATCGCTCCAGCATCTGAGCAACCCTCTCAGCACCTGAGCATTCTCGACAACGAGGAAGATCTAGTCTCGAGCCTCTTGCCGGGAGCCACGGCAATGAAACGCCGGCGCGCGGAGACTGTGCAACGTAGCTTGTCAGATATACAGAGTCATCCGCCGGCCGAGGAACCTCGCAAGGCCAAACGACAGAAGCTGGACGTGCTAGAAGCGGCACGGCAGCACCGCGACGCAGAGGAGGATGCCCAGCGGAAGCGCCGACAGGAGGAAGAAGCGTCTCTTCAGCTTTCGCTCAACGAGGCGGACGTTGAGCAGTTGAAAAATCTGGCCATTGTGGAAGAGATGGAGATCAAACCTCGCGCGCACACCGCCGAGGACAGTCGATGGGACGAGCGATGGAATGGGCGAAAGAATTTCAAAAGATTCCGGCGGAAAGGCGAGCCCGGTCAGACTCGGCATCGTATCCAGGCGGTCATTGTCCCCTTGGAGGAGGTGACCCGGCGGGACTTTGGCATTGGCGATCATTACTGGGTCAGTAGCCGTCAGTCGACGGAGCCGCGACCATCGGAAACCCAAGGGGGGCGCCCAGTGGCGCATGAGGAGGCATCCCGTTCTCGGCCTCTCTCTCGGTCTCTCTCTCGGTCACAGTCTCGGTCGCGGGCTCAATCTCAGTCGCAGACCCATTCTATCTCCCAGGTGGAGTCGGCGACACCAATTTCGCGAAGTCAAAAACGGGTACGAGAAGAGCAAGATTCCGACAGCGATGACGAGCTTCGCTTCCGATTCCGTCGTCGGAGGTGAACATATATAATTTAATTTCGCTACATTGCAATCGATGGCATCGACTATCAGAATCCTTCCGCACTTTGTAGGGTGTAACTGGAATCTGGGGGATCTTGGCTTGGCCAGGACTGCGGGTCAGCCCACAGTGAAGAAGCCTACGAAGGGCCCGCCTGGTATCCACGGCTGTTGTCAGCCTAGACTGAGAAGAGGCTAGTCGTGCTCCGTAGTGCTCGATAGGCCCGTTATTATTAATAACTAATAGATGGGTATACTCCGTAGGATCATGGAAATATAGGATGATCACACTAAGAGTCTGGCCTCGGTTGGCGGTGCTTGTGGTATCTCATCTAGTAGTTGGAAGTTTGGAACAAGTCCAGTATCAGCCACTCTGAAAACGAGAATGTTGGACTCTGACAGTGTTTTCTTCCCTGTAACTAACTATTCGACGTGTCTGCAGGTTGCTGCAGTGGCTTTTCTGGCTGTGCTGGCGACGATGGCTTGGAACTTGGAAGAGTAAAAATAGCGTAGGATGTGTGGAGTTGGGCCACCGCAGGATCGTCTCTGAAGTAGAGTAGTTAGTGAGACTAGACTAGAATAATTCGAAAGATAGAGAGATAGCGTGATAGCGTGATGGAAAAATAGATAGATAGATATTCTGTAGGACTCGGATGATCTGCAGGAGATGATGATATATCAACTGCTGGACAGACAGGACACACACTGATGATTATTGTTGTTGTTTGGCCGCAACACCACTGAAGAAGACAAAGACAGTCCGTCACACCTCCAATCTCTGGTCTTCCTCTTCCCTTTCTCTCATCTGTCCATCATTCCACCATTCTTCTTCTTCTTCTTTTTTGTCTTCTTCTATCCGGTTTCAAAATCCCCCCCTTCCAACTAATCACTTCCTGCGCCTGGTTGCGTCGCTTCATTTCCTTCACCTTCTTTCTGTCCTTCTCTTCTTCCATCCCCCCTCTCCAAAACTACACCATCTCCTCCAAGAGCTGCCCAACAACCTAACAACAAACAACCTATCTACCACCACTATCGACTGCCTTTCCTCTGTCTTGCACTGCATGACTGGCATTGAGGCCCATTTCCCACGCAGCATTCTTGCTGCCGTGATCCGTACTGGCTGGCTCAGATCCTAGTTTAAATCCTTTGCTGGCTGGTATTTCCTCTCTATCTACCATCCTCCTCGTTCCTCGCTTCCATCAAAATCTCGTCCTTCCATTAACTGGGGTCGATATCTTCTTCTTCGCGGTAGGTCTGGATATGGCATGATGTACTTTTTGGTTGACCGACACTGACCTCCTGTCTATTCTATATAGTTCACCTGATTCCCTCCCCCCCCCCCCCCCCCTTTCCTTCTACGACTGTACGACTCGTACCTCCTTCGGCGTCGGCTGTCTTCGTTCCCCATCCTTTCTTTCTCCCAATGTCCTCTGAACTGCTTTCGTCACCTTCATCGCCCCTCATGATCTCCACTATACCTCCTCCTCGACCCGTCTCGGTCAATTCGCTGGAAAGAGCGCCAGCCATCCCGACTCTTTCATACCCGCACGCGAAGGAAGCAGGGATTCGAAGCGCCAGTGCTGGATTCCAGATTCACGATGATACAGCCTCTTCTTGCACTACCAGCCTTGGTCAGCCGGACTGCCAGTTTGCGGATTCCCCGGTGGAGGAGGAGATGCAGATCCAATCTGTGGACACTCAGTCATACAAGTCTAAAGTGCGTTTCGATGATCTGCCTGTTGAGGTGCACGATGCCATTCTCGATCATCTCTTTGGGGAACGTGTTTCGACCCTCACCATGGGCGTTCCCGGCAAGTCGGCCCGCAATTGGAGCAGATGTCTGCGTCATCCGAGGAGGAAGGCTCTGTCCGATCTGGCTCTGATATCGCCGGTATGGAGAGTCTTGGTGCAGGACCGGATCTACCGACATAGTCAGTCCAATCGCTTTTCCCCACTCTTTCTTGTCTCGAATAGCTAACAGAACATGCGAGCAGTCAAAATCAAAGGCACTATTGACGAATTGTCGGAAAGTGCGAGTTGGTTCGACTTGAAACCCCACCTGGCCATGTATGTGCGTCAGGTCGAGTTCTGGGTGCCGGTCTGGGGGAACAGGACGGCGAGAAATCTCCCAATGTATCAGCCGCGACGGCGTCTCCATGAGGAACATCTAGCGGTGATGGATGTGACGGCTCTGCTGCAGGCCACCATGCCAGGCTGGGAAAATTCCGATCCCTTCCTGCCGCGCGGCCATCCATTCTACTATGCAAGTAGCAATGCCACGCTTGAGGATATCTTCCATCATGTCAAGAATCATTTTCCCGAAGCTCGGATCCTGACGCTGGAAGGGGGCCACTGCAAGAAACCACCGATGATCCGGCACTTTGTCAACGACGCCTACGGCTTCTCCTCGATCGAGCGGCTGCCCCCGCTGCCGAACATCCAGATCCTCGTCATGCGTGGGGCCTGGAACATCATGCGGGAGCATCAGCACTGGCGCAACATCTCCCAGGCCCTGCCGGGCCTCCAGGAGTGGCACTGTGCCTACGCCAAACCCAAAATCGAAGGTTACGAGACCATCGCCAAGATCCTGGTCAAACCACCACCCACTCTGCTCCATTTGAACATCAGCCTTGAAGGATTCTCGAACAAGGAAAATACACACCCTAGCTGGTTCAGTGACGGGGCGCAGCCGCCGCACCTGTGTCGCTTGTTGGGCGAGATTGCTCCGCGCCTCATGTCACTCTCCTTCACGGGCAAAGTCTGCGCGTGCTTCTTCCAGGCGACGAACAGCAAATCCTCGTCCAGCCGGACCGAAGTGTCGAAACTCCGGTTCCTCGATCTGGCGGTGAAAACCTGCTGCCGCGAGAAGCGGGCAGGGGCCGTTTTCCCGTTCTTCGACGACTTCTCCGGCATCGGCAACACCCATTTCATCCAGTCGTTCGAGAAGCTGGTCGTCGGCGCCGTTCAGAGTCTCGGCGCGCACCCGTCCCTGAACAACATCCGCATTCGTTTCATTGATCTCGACTCTGCCTGCCCGCTGCTGAACCCCTACTTCCAGCTCGCAGACAACACCTGCACGGGTCTCTGGAACGAGCCCATCCTCCACAAGCTGAACCAGTTCCGGCCGCAGGCGCGCTTCGTCGAGCTGCGCGATGGCATCTACCCGCAGTATGGACCCAACCACCAGATTGTCGGGGCGGTGATTCCGCGATCGCGGCCGCTGAGCATCCACTCCTGCGCGTACAAGATCATCGCGGACGCGTCGAAGTCATAGCATACCTAAGCATGCCTCCCGACCAGCGTGGCCTGGTCCTCTTTTCTGCCTCCGCCCATACGACCCATACGACCCATACGATCCTTCTCCCTTCCAAATCCCTTAGCCATGTGACTATTTCGTTCAGAGTATAATACCCTTCTGTTTCTGCTTTCATGGATATGTGACTGAACGAGTAAATGAGATGAAAAATAATGACTGGATGATCAAACAAATCAACACCTGAGCATCTGCTTGTATCTGTTGAAACTATTGTCACACATCATTTCCAGTGCACCTTAGCTAGCCTACTATACTCTATACCTTTAAATCTATCTATACAATAACCATGCCAACCACGAACACTTTACCTCTACAGCTTCCCCACATCCGTCACAATAATCCCCAGGATCCACACATTCACCACAAAGAACCCCAGACTCGCCAGAAACAGGCCCGGCACGAAGGTGGACTCGCCGAGAAACTCAAGCCCGTAGCCCTGCTGCAGCCAGAGCGCCTGTAGCACCCAGAGTCAGTATCAGCATAGCATACCACCCGAGCATCTGAAATTTGAGACATGCGACGGATATGGAGAAGGAAATGGGAGAAGGAGAGAGGGGAAACATACCTGCCCACCAACCCAAGCCAAGCCAGCCACCACCCCCTTCCACCCCCTAACCGACGACTTGGGCAGATAAAACGGCAGAAAGACCAGATACCAGAGAAAATACTGGCTGGTGCAGACCTTGTTGAAGGTGACGAAGGCGAAGGTCTGCGCGAGCATGGCGCCGGGGAGGGACTTCTTGGCGAGGGCTATGGGGATCAGCACGACCGAGAGCAGCAGCTGCGGGAGGAAGGCGAGGGTCTCGAAGCGGGCGGGGGCGGCGCCGGCGGCGGAGAGGTACAGCAGAGTGCTGTAGGGGGAGAAGTTGTGGCGGTGGTCGATGCGGGTGAGGTGGTGCAGGTAGGTGTGGTGGGCGAAGGCGGGGCCGTAGAGGATGTACATGGAGGTGTTGAGGGCGGAGAAGGTGGCGAGGGCGACGAGGGTGAGGTGCAGGCGGGCTGGGGTGAGGAAGGCGCGGGCGTGGGCGACGAGGGCGCCCGGGGTAAGGGTTGGCTGTTTCGGCCGCGAGCTTGAGCTCGAGGTTGACTCCGAGTCCCAGTCCATCCACCAGACGATCGACGCCCCGTAGATAAACGGGTAGATCTTAAAGTGCACCGCGAGGCCGAGCAGGACGCCGGCGAGGGTGACGCGCTTGCTGAGACTGGCCCACAGCAGCGCGACGACCAGCACGCCCAGCAGGCCTTCGGAGCTGCCGCGGGTGCTGATATTCGCGACCATGGGATTGAGCAGCCAGACGGCGGCGTACTTGCGGGCGCGCGCGGGGGGCAAGCCGTACGCGGCGACGAGCGACTGCGCGATCAGCCAGCCGGCGAGGACGTCCGCGAGGGCGAACAGCGCCTTGCCGAACGAGAAGAGGCCCGAAATGGACCATGTTGTCGGCAGCAGCAGCCAGGCGAGCAGCGGCGTGTAGCGGTACGTGTCGCGGGCGTAGGGCGAGGCGCCGCGGGCGACGAACCGCGCCGCGTCCGTGAAGACCAGGTAGTCGATGTCGGTGTATTTGACGGCGGAGTGGGCGTCTTGCCAGGCGCCGTAGACCAGCAGCACGGCGCGCAGGGCAATCGAGGCGCCGTACACCTTGGCTGGAGAGTCGAAGAAAGATGTCTTTGCCATTATGACACCTGGGTCATCCCCCTGTGGTAGTGATTGCTTCGTGGAAGTCAACTTGCGGGGAGTTGAGAGGGTCCACGTTCCAGAGCCAATCCACGATCCAAGCTTTGCTACGCAATATGAATGGATTGTCCTGGCTGACTATTCCATGTCCATATAATTGTCTTGGACCTACCCTCTGGAGCTGCGAATTCGTTGTGTTGACGAGCAAATGGATGCTTCGTGGTTGGATGTTGAGCTGTCACTTGCAGCACACGGCTGAGTCAGCACAATCTCATCGGTCAGCGATATCCCGACTTCAGCATGAACGGGGTACGAGCAGATCGAAGTCCATGGAGGATGGCGATATTGATAATTGGAGTGTGTACGGAATACAAATATAGGTTTATTTTCATATCTCACATCCTCATCAATTTGCGCCCCGTCCCAGCCGTTGTGCCAAACCAACAATCCAACCAAAGAAAACCACGAGAAGTATGTATATGGAGAAAAGACCGGTGGGAAATATACAAAACATAGGATATCAAGTAGAAGAGTACATTAAATAGACAGTATGGGTGAGTCCACCAAGGATCTCGATCTCACACTGAAGTCCTGCCCATTCAAGGTTGAGCATGCGAGTAAAATGGTACGGATGAGTTCATATAATATGTCGAGTCGGTCATTGGACTGCCGAAGAAACCCGGTGCGTTGCTGCCGTACTTTGCGTTCTTCTCGTCCTGCGCAAACGACATCTCGTTCGCGTTGTCTGCCTCCGCAAACCCGGGCCAAATGGTGGAGTCGCTCCAGCTGAGGAAGTCCCAGAGTTGCTGGCCGGCCGAGTCGTCCATGAATGCCGCCATGGGGTCCATCATTGAACCGTCGTTGGCGATACCAACGCTCCGACCGGAGTCCGTCTGAGCTAAGGCATTTCCTGGCATCATCCCTGACACGAGGCTTTCGCGATCGGGCAAGTTTCCACCGGATACGCCGTTCGGGGCGCCTCCCATGTCGGATCCTCGCTTACTGGCCTCGAGAATGCGTGAGACGGCCTCGAGCGTGCGCTTCGCTGTCCGACTCCAGGGCTGCAACCGCGCCAGTAGAAGCATCGCGGTTTCCACCTGCGACTGACAGGACTGGAATGAGGCGCGAGGGTCACTGGCCGTAGGGTCATTGAGGAACAATCCTAGAAGTGGGACCATGGTGGCTTGGAAGACGAGCCAGACGGCGTTCCAGCCGGACATCTGATGTGACCGGACCGTCGAGGAGATATCTTGGATCGTGGCTTCAGCGATCTCCCTGCATCGCTCAATGGCGGTTCTCTCTTCCGATCGCAGAGCAATGTTTGGGACCCGCCGCATCGCGTAGCTTAACAGGGTCGGCCGGTACAGAAGCATACGCTGGTTATAATATCGCCATCGCATGACGGTCCGCGTGTTCATGATCGATTCAGAGCAGGGCTCGTGGTCCTTGAGGATCGAAGGCAGGTTCCCATACCATTCCAACAGCAGACTGTCGAGATGGGCCATTTCGGCATGCTTCGTCAAGGGTGCGACCGCTAGTACTTCTTGTATCTGGGTCGCAATCTTGCAGAATCGCACGTTTTCGAGGAGGGGGAGAATATCCAGGACGTTTCCCTAGAACTATTAGATACGGAAATACGACAGTAAAGCGCCAACTTACGCTTTCCCGGTGATTGGGCAGCTTGACGGTAATGGTCGGTCCCAGACGGCCCATGCTGGGCCGACCAAGGGTCATACCGCCCCATGTGTCCATGCAGAACAGCGACCACCATGTCCGGCGTTTCATGTCCATGGCCAGGATCTTCTCTTTGTTGGAGCCATCAGGGCTGTCTGAGAACTCCTTGTGCAAACCCAGAGCGGCTGCCATGCGGAGGGCGGCTCCCATGAGCGAGTAAGCCAGGTTCGGTTGACTTGTGTAGTGTAGATAATAGCCTCCAGCCAGGCCTAAAGTCTGAATCGTCTCTAGATGGGACGAGCCCAATGAGTCCAGGTTCAAGTAGCTCTTCGCACGCTGATAATAAAGTGCATGAGACATGTCATCAGAACTGCAGGCTGCTATGCTGCCGAGGGCGAATACAATGTTCAACAATCCCAGCCAGCGGTCATCTCGCCTGCACCCTGAGAGGTACGTTTCGCGGAATACCTGTTCATCCAGCATGGGTACAAACGGTTGGAACCATGTGAAGTAGGCGTCGAGTAGCTGCACTTCAGTTACTTGCATCTGAGTTTGCGGAGGTGTGATCGGGTGCTGCTGCGAGGATTGGATGTGCCAGTTTTGGTCCTCCGATCCGGCTGGGTAGTCGCGAACCGAATCTCGACGAGGAGCGACCGGTGGAGTTCGGGAAAAGTAGGAGAGAGAGCCTGGGTCAAGCCAAACGATAACCTTCGGGACGGCGTGGATCGATGATACGCCTAGATAGGAGGAGGGTTGTCGAGCGGACAGGGAGAGGGCATTAACATCGTCTGAGATAGCGTTCGTAATGTCGTCACTGCTTCGGTTACGACTGTCGTTGGATTCCTCGGGCATCGTCTGCAGCGACTCCAGGTTGCCATCTTCTTCGGAAATGGGCGACACGTGTGCTTCGACTGATGAGGATGTAGCTGGAGAAGCAGGATGATGTGCCTGCTGCTGCGATGGACCCTTACCCGAGAGCTCGAGCAGCTTTTCCCGGGATAGACTGACAAGAACCTCTGGGGAAGTGCTGGGAAAGAGTCTCTCCAGAATGCTTCGATATTCATCCAACGTGGTGGATAGTTTTTCCACATGCCTATACGTCTCAGCTCACTTACTCGACTACACCACCACCAAGCGATTCCCGAAGCCGAGGTAAGGCAGACAGGAGGCGACAGAGGGAGAGAGGGAAAGAGAGAGAGAGAGAGAGAGAGAGAGAGAGAAAGAGAGAGAGCAAAAAAGGGAAGTACAACACACCTCCGAGATGGTCGAGGATCCGAATAATGGCACTGATCGGCCTTCTTGTACCAGCGACAAGCCTCGCAAGGCTTCTCGCCATCGCATTTGATCTTGCGGTGCCGACATGACGTGCAGGCACGGAGGGTAGTGACTCTCCGGCTAACAGATGGCTGGCGCTCTCCCCGAGGCTTCGTCTGGGCCGAAGCACCGGGGTTCTCGAAACCCTCAAAGGTGTGGAACATGGCTGGAGAGTAGAAGTGCACTCTGGCGATAGTATTCGAGTCAGACGTCAGGAGACTGAAACACCACGCAGCTGAGACATTCTAGGCCGACTCAGCCAGAGGTTGCCATCTACAGATCGAATCAATGTCAATTTCTGCGTTTTATCTAGTCAAGACCAAGAGCGTAGTTCCGAAAAGCGATGAGAAGTAGATAAAGAGCCGATGGAGGATTGGGGGAAGGAAAAATTGGAGATCAGATTGAGGAAACGGGAGCACACTGGGTGCAGATCGGAGTCGTATGATTCTCTAGTTCAAAAGGGATGGAAATAATGATAATGATAATCCGGGAGGATGATTCAGAAAGAATCAGGAAAGAATAGGAGGATGGAGAGAGAAAATGAAGAAGAAGAGGGAGAAGAGAGTCGAAACTGGAGTGGAATCCGGAAGGAGACAAGCGAATTTCTGCTGGTCGATGGGATTATCGGGGAGGGAGGGGGGCGAAGGAAGCACTCTCTGCCTTGAGTACAGAACGAACAATGGTGATAGAACAGACAAAACGATCATGAACTATGGAGTAGCGTAGGTAGCTACTATCACATACTATGATACTACCAGTCCCTGAAAGATCGTCACCATCCGTCTATATTACTCAACTGCTGACTTACTACTGACTGTCCATCTGGTTCATTCTCCCCGCATTATTTCCTGGGGATGCAAATCGTCTCCTGCAGTCTCCAGACTTCCAGGCTCGAACGTCGGGGGTTCTCTATCTCTCTCTCTCTCTCCGCCCCCTTTAATTTATTTCCTTTTCGTCCTAGATCGATAGACTATACTTTGCCCCCTCCAGAAAGACAAACCAACTCAAACCAGTCCTCACTAACTACGAATGGTGGGTGGCCAAGGCATCCAAAAAATGGCAACTTTCTGGACCCGACCACTAGTGGCTTTTTGGTCCTGTTGGCATCGCCAAAAGGGCCTAGGTATCTAGTCTTCCCACTTTTATGAATGATCGAGTCATTCTTGCATGGGTAGTTGGTTCGACCTTAATTCCCCCAGGGGGGGGGCCGCGTCCGAAGAGAAGACCAAGACCGCCGAGGATATGAACTCTATTACGAAGGAGTAGTTTGATTCAGGAGCCAGGATGCAGCCCAACGCTGCGCCAGCCATGCGAGAGAAAGTCTAAATGAACCAGCCCTTTTGGATCTTTTTGGTCTGGAAGCCGGGATATCTCCTCCCGCTTGACCTTTACTCTATGGCTCGCTCCGTCTAGATATACGAAGGGACTAAGGGGGAAAAGGAACTGCTGGAGTATGGGGGATAGCAGACTCGCTTATGCCCGCGCTGGGGCCTCCGTTACTACCTGCAAGCTATTGAATAATAATGAGCGTCAAGGGCAAACGGTAGGAGTTCTGAACGGCGATGCAGCAGGAGTAGATCACAATCCGCATGGCGCCAATTGTTTAAGTAGAGCCATCGGGGAGACGTTAGGTATCATAATCATGGTCCATCTGTCATCCTTCCCCCGCAAAAAGGAAGACCCATCTAATCCCCAGACAGGACAATGATCAAATCATCTGATCCTCTCGCGGACTCTCATGAGTCATGCCCTTAGCCCCCATATTCAGTAGCAAAAACAGAAAGGCTTACTGAGTCGACGAGAAACACCCAAGTCGGTCTGCTGCGGAACGGCATGTTTCTCACTGAGGGGACATCGAAGCTCTGTGATGGAAATGGCACATCGAAACCAGAAACAAAACTACCATCCTCCATAGAACCATAATCCATGGACAGCTGCCTAGTGCCTACTGCCTACAGGGGGTTTCACTTATAGGGTCAGACCATCTTTAGCGCAGTCGTTAACTACTACTGCCGACGTTCAAAGTTAAGCCACGACGGTCCAAATCCTGCAGCAGGGATTGCTAGCGGAGGAACGCAGACTGGCTGATGCATTAAATTGTGAAGCATGGGACAAGAATAAATCCGGAAATAGTCACATATGAGAGACTCGCATAGCCGGAGCACATCTCGACCTTCATCCTAAAGGAGTCAAAACTCATATTCAGGGTAGATATCCCTCTCGTCTCGCTTGTTTATCTCAAAGTGCCCTATTTTGCTTGGCTCATTTTGCTCCCCTTGTGAAATTCTGGTCGACGAGATTAAAACCAGAGAAACCAAGTCCGTCGCCATGTTGGGTAGATTAAAAGGCCACCCACGGCTGGAATCCGGTTTCAAACCGCCCCCCGCCCCCAAAACAAAAAAAAAGGAAAATGTGTCCAGAAAAGCAAGTCGAGACGCAGGACGAAAGCCAAACAATGACAGAGTTCAGACTTTGGGGGGGGGATGCAAGAAGGAACAACTCTGTCACCTGGATATCCTCTGATTGGAAGGGTAAGTTGTTGATTATTTGTATCATTGTATGAGGGATATTGGTGTGGGATTTCCAATTTTCCATACATTTGTCAGATCTCAGACACCAATCGACAGTCTATGGTGCCAGCTGACTAGTCTACTCCATCTGAGTGCGAATATGGAGTCACTACGCATACAAGTAACAAGATCAGCCAACAGCGGTGGAAGCGAAGCCATCGCGCGCCGTGGAAAGAGAGCTGGACGGAGCTTCCTCCGTGTCTTAAACGACGGCTCAGTGCGGGGGGTCTCCACGACGGTTGACCAATGCTGAGGACTGCTGGAACTTCGGAAGGCACGGATTCAACATTCCCTGTACAAGGATTCCTGGTAGTATACTCCGTCACGACTCACGAGTCGGTTGACAGACTCGACTCGGGACTCGGGACTCGGGACTGTGTACACAGTTTGTACCCCTGGCAGGGCTATGACGATCTTTTTGATGGGCATTCCCTCGAAGTGGAAGCAGACGGCCAGTCTTATAATCAACACTTTTCTGCGATGCTGAAGTCGACACGGTGTCTGCTCCGTATGTTTACCGCTGTCGGTATTGTAGAATGTGCACATGACCGCCAACCGACGTCTAACCGGTTTGGGAATGGAAAACGCTCCGAGAGTATACCGCCCGATTAGGAAGGGATCCCACGTGAGGGGCGGAGGCATCTCCGTGTATCTTGTCATTCCGAGCTCATGGAGACGCTGAGATGCGACTGTAGACATGCCACACTGGCTCTAAAATGGGCGGCAGCGCCCACTGCTTAAAGGATGAGACGCAACACGTTTTCTTCTCTCTATTCCTTCTCAGTTGAGGCCGGGTTCTCCTGAAAAGCATCAATTCCGCTCCGTTCAACCCTCCGCTACCCCCCGCATACTACCCCAACAATGGCGGCTCTTCAACGTTTCCCTCTTTCCAAAGGCTGGAGCTTCAAGGATAGTGAGGACAAGTCTGAAGATGCGTGGATGCCGGTGCCTGTCGTTCCCTCGGTCGTTCAGCAAGATCTGCAAGCAAACAACAAGTATGCGAAGTCTCCTGGGGAAGGTGTACAATGAATAGAAACTAATCATGTTCTTCTTCGACTTGGCACAGATTAAAGGATCCTTACATTGGATTTAATGAGTTGGAGACAAGATGGGTCAATGAAAAGTCGTGGACATACAAAACCACCTTCCAAAAGCCGGCCGTCCCGGCTGGTTCAGCCATTTTCTTGGCCTTCGACGGCCTGGATACATTTGCTACTGTCAAACTAGATGGTAATGTGATCCTGGAGAGCGATAACATGTTCCTGGCGCATCGCCTCGATGTCACCAAGGCTCTGGAAGCCGAGGGTGATCACTCTCTCGAGATCGACTTCGACTGTGCTTTCCTGCGCGCGAAGGAGCTTCGCAAGCAGGACTCCAAGCACAACTGGGCCTCTTTCAACGGTGACCCTTCCAGATTGAGCGTAAGAAAGTCTCAGTACCACTGGGGCTGGGACTGGGGTCCAGTCCTCATGACTGCGGGTATTTGGAGAGAGGTGCGCCTCGAGGTCTACACTGCGCGCGTCGCGGATCTCTGGACCGACGTGCAGCTGGCATCGGACCACCAGAACGCTCAGATTACTGCGTTTGCCGAAGTGGAATCGGTAAACTCTGATGCGCACAAGGCTCGCTTCACGCTGAGCTTGCACGGCCAAGAGCTTGGTCGCGAGGAGGTCAGCGTGTCCGAAGATGGTTCTGCCAAGGTCAGCTTCGATGTCAAGAGCCCATCCCTGTGGTGGCCTCATGGCTACGGCGATGCTACCCTGTATGAAGTGTCAGTATCCTTGGTCAAGGACCAGGATGAAGTCCATCAAGTGTCGAAGAAGTTTGGCATCAGGACCGCTGAGGTTGTTCAGCAGCCTGACAAGCACGGCAAATCATTCTTCTTCCGTGTGAACGGCGTTGACATCTTCTGTGGTGGTTCTTGCTGGATTCCGGCTGACAACTATCTGCCGAGCGTCACGGCTGATCGCTATCGCAAGTGGATTGAGCTGATGGTCCATGGCCGTCAAGTGATGATTCGGTATGTTTTGATCTCTTGGTCTTCTTCATCGTGGCATGTGCAGCAGCGCTAACTGTTCAAAGCGTGTGGGGTGGTGGTAACTACGAGGACGACAGCTTCTACGACGCATGCGACGAGCTCGGCGTGTTGGTTTGGCAAGACTTCATGTTCGGCTGTGGTAACTACCCGACCTGGCCCAACCTCCTCGAGTCGATCCGCAAGGAATCCGTCTACAATGTCCGCAGGCTGCGTCACCACCCCTCCATCGTCGTCTGGGTTGGAAACAACGAAGATTACCAGGTCCAGGAATCGGCCGGCCTTACCTACGACTTCGAGGACAAGAACCCTGAGAACTGGCTCAAGACGGACTTTCCCGCTCGCTACATCTACGAGAAGATCTTGCCCGAGGTGGTCGAAGAATATTCTCCTAGCACTTTCTATCACCCTGGTAGTCCCTGGGGTGATGGTAAGACCACGTCCGATCCTACCGTGGGTGACATGCATCAGTGGAATGGTAAGCCAACTTGCGTTATATTCTTTGACAACTCTCGCTAACAGTTGTTCAGTCTGGCACGGCACACAGGAGAAGTACCAGATCTTCGATACCCTCGGCGGTCGATTCAACAGTGAATTCGGAATGGAAGCTTTCCCTCACATGTCGACCATCGACTACTTTGTCGAAAACGAAGCGGACAAATTCCCTCAGTCGCATGTTCTTGACTTCCACAACAAGGCCGATGGGCACGAGCGTAGAATCGCAACATACCTTGTTGAGAACCTGCGGACAGCGACCGACTTGGAGGTATGCAGGATGCCTTCTTATCTTTGACGGAATACAAGGCTAACTTTCAATCCACAGACTCACGTCTACCTCACCCAGGTTGTTCAAGCTGAGACAATGATGTTCGGATACCGTGGATGGCGTCGCCAGTGGGGTGACGAGAGACACTGTGGTGGTGCTCTTCTGTGGCAGCTGAATGACTGCTGGCCCACAATTTCATGGGCTATTGTGGATTACTTCCTGCGCCCCAAGCCTGCGTTCTACGCCGTGGCTCGCGTGCTGAACCCCATCGCTGTGGGCGTCCGCAGAGAGCACCACGACTGGAGTGTGACGCACGCCCAGCCCCCCAAGACCAGCAAATTTGAGCTCTGGGTGGCCAGCAGCTTGCAGAAAGAGGTTCAGGGCACGGTTGAGCTCCGGTTCCTTTCCATCAACACTGGTCTCGAAGTTCGCGAGCGCATTGTGCATGAGAATGTCAGCATTGTGCCCAACGGCACCACGAACCTGATCGTGGATGGCCTCATCGACTACAAAGTTCACCCCGAGCCCCATGTCCTCGCCGTCCGCATCTGGGTGAACGGTGAGCTCGTGGCCCGGGATGTGGACTGGCCCCAGCCGTTCAAGTACCTCGATCTCTCGAACCGGGGTCTGGAGGTGAAGCTGGTGTCCGAGTCGGAGAACGAACAGACTCTGCTTCTCAGCGCGCAGAAGCCCGTCAAGTGCCTGGTCTTTGAGGAGCGCGAGGGTGTCAGAATCAGCGACAGTGCGATTGACATTGTTCCCGGCGATGAGCAGAGAGTTACCATCAAGGGGATGAAGCCTGGTGATGCTCCTCTGAAGTACAAGTTCCTCGGACAGTAGAGGCCATTTGATTGTGGGTGGAACGGAATACCTCGGCTGGTTGTATATAGTATCGAACCCTGCATGCGATCATAGAATCACGCAACATATCTTAGAGAATATCGAGAATGGCAGAAAAGATCAAGAACCTTCATCATCAGAATCATATTATTGTATTGGTGAGATTTGGAGTCAAGATCTTATCAGATAAGGATCTCCTCGATGGGGTTAAGCGGGCAGAATGACGCGCATCCGCTGTCAATTATGTATTCCAGCAATCTTCACCACCACTTCCCTTCCCCCACCACCTCCTCCGTACTCTTCGATTCCTTTCTATGGCAGGAACTAAACGATCCTGGGAAGGCAAGCTGGTCAGCGACGAGAGCACACATACCAAGATGGCCGCCGCACATCTTGAGGAGTCCTCTTCGCTCATCCTCACGATGTTCGAGACGTTCCGCGACGAGCTGGACGAGCACCACGATCGCCGCGAGCGAGTCATCAAGACCAGCAGAGACATCACAGCGCTAAGCAAGAAGATGTGTGTTATCCTCAGCGCTTCCGATGTGTTCTTAGAGATCTCAATGCACCGATACTGGTACTGATACCGATACTTACTAACGCTTCTCCAAACCCCAGAATCTTCTCACTACAGCGGTACCGTCCCTGAACAAAACCTCAACCCAATCCACAAATCCCCCCCCCCTTCCAAGCTAACAGCAAACCCGCAGTGTCCGCACCATCAACGCCCCCATCCCCACCCCGATCGCCAAAGAAACCCAAACCCGCTTCGACCAAATCACCACCCTCTTCCGCTCCGTCATCCCCGACGTCACCGGCCTCAACAGCTGGCGCTATCAGCGGCAACTCAGCGGCGCCATCCAGGAATTCATCGAAGCGCTTTCCTTCCACCACTACCTGCAGACGCAGTCCCTCATCTCCCTCCCCGAAGTCGCGGCGCAGCTGCCCGCCGAAATCCTCGTCACGCACGAAGACTACGTGCTGGGCCTGTTCGACCTGACGGGCGAGATGATGCGGTTTGCGGTCACGGCGCTGTCGACGGGCGGGCAGGCGAAGCCGGCCCGGAAGGAACAGGAAGGTGGCGGTGATGTAGTCATAAATGAGGGGGGAGGGGAGGGGGAGGCGGGCGGCCCGGCGGATCTGCCGAGGCTGCCGCCCTCGCAGGCGGGCATTGTCGTTGATCTGCGGGACATGCGGTCGTCGTTTGAGTTGATTAGTGTGCCGCGGCGGCATGGGAACCATATGTATCGGGATATGGGGAAAAAGGTCGATGTGATGCGGAATAGTGTGGAGAAGGTTGAGAGGGCTGCGTATGGGATTCTGGTGCGCGGCAGTGAGCGGCCGTCGGGCTGGACGCCGGATCTGTCGGGGAATGTTGATATGGAGGTTTATTGATGGTATGTCACTAGATATGAGCCGTGGACTTCGAGGAAAGCCATCATGCATACGGTTCGGCCAACAGCTCAAGGAATTGACTACACTCATCAATAAACATGGCATTATCAATCTCGTTGCGCATATACATCATTTACCAAACCATCATGTACGAGGAGGAACTCCCCCCTCTTCAATCGATCAATCAATCATAAGAACAAAAGTTCAAAAAAAAAAAAAAAACGCCTCATGAATCCCAACCAAACCCAACCCACCTACACAGCAGGAAACCTCGGATCCTCGTCCTCCGTCAGGATGCCCTGCGTAATCAGCTCCTCCGGCTGCGGTCTCTGCTGCAGCCTCTGGTCCAGGGTATCCGCACGCATATGCTTCTCGAGTTCCTTGGCGTGGGCCTGCAGCGCCGGCGCGGCGTTGATATGCGGGAGAATATTGCCTGTGCATAGGCCGTCAGAACACAGGGAATGCCCCCATGAGATTCATTTCTGTATGTTGTTTTTTTTTTTTTTGGAAGGACGGGCGGGGGAGTACCCACGCTCAACAAGCTCGTCCCGCTCAGGCCGATGCTCGAGGTGTCGCTTGAGACTATCCGTCGTGCGCTGGCGAGCGAGTTCCTGGCCGCGAGCTTGGAGGGATCTAGGCGATGTTAGCGTTAGCGGGGCGTGTGTGTGTGCGTCGGCCAAGCATCACAAGCGCCTATTGATCGATACTCAACGATGGAGAGGGGGCGGGGAAAGGTGATACGGAGCGACGTACGGCGCCACGGTTGTGTCGAGGAGGATGTGTCTCTCTTTGAGATCCTGGGCGTCTGGGCGAGTCTGCAGATGTTTCTCGAGGGAGTTACGGCGGTCCATGGATGTAGTTGAGAGCGGGCTCTCGTCGATTTCGGCGTTGAGGATCATGTTGTCCATGGTGGGGGTAGATGTAGTACGTCTATGCAATGGGGGTGGGTGGTGAGATACTTCGGTGGAGCTTGGGGATGGAATTGCGGGGGACTTACAAGTTGGATCTGGAACTGTTAGGGGAGTTAGTTGATATGGAGTGATGGATAGGAATCAGAAGAGGCTGGTGATGATGAGCAGGAGATGCAATGGAATGTCTAGAAGATCTACTGATGAGGCTGATGATGGGCTGGTCAAGTGACGATGCGGAGGACAGTTCCACCTCCACGGGACCTGACAAGTGACGAGTGAACCTGAGGCAACCGCGGGGCAGCAGACACCAAGGGGAAAAGACTCCTTGTTCTTGAACCACGGAAGCTTTTGCATCAAAAAGTCTTATTTTGTATGCTATTTTTTTTTTCTCTCTCTTTCTAGAAACAACGCAAATTGGGCATTGGGCACAGCCTTCATCACCGTCCACCACAAACACTGAATGAATGAATGTAGGAAAAGCATCGACATGGATGTCCCCGCGTACCATCTGCTGTCCCCCGCGGGTGGAAATCCATTCTGAGAGCAATCTGAGAGTGTGTCCGACAAAATTCAAGGAATAAAGAAATCGTCATCTGTGTGCTTGCAGCTTGGACATGGGAGGAAAACAAATTAGACCAGACCTGTTGGACCGAATGAGCGATGGAAATCCACCTGCGTAATGGGAAACAGATAATGAGAACATCAGCCCTTATTCCCCCCTCCCGACGGAAAGACGGAAAGAAAAATTCAATGGCGCAGACGAAATCATCAAGTCCCTGCAGCTCGGTTTCAACCCATGTCCGATGCTATCGCAGCCCGATCGCGATCGTAGTTCCCCTCGCATAATGCTGTAAAGGATTCGGCACCGTGCTGTATTGCCTTTGCACTGGTCTCCCTTACTGCTCCGCATGCAGGCCATACGTTGAGGAAAAGCCCATCCATCTCATCGAGATACCACCGATCCAACTCGCGTCAGACCAGTCTAGACCAGTAGGCACCACAGGCAACGCAGATAATGACCTTCTCTGCTGTGCATAACAACCATGTAGGTGTCTTTGGAAAAGTTTGCAAAAGAACCGGCTCGCCAGTCGAACGACTGATGAACCGTTGTCTTCCCATCAAGGAACCCAGAGCTTACCCCGACCACGACTGTTACCACGAGAAGGTCCTCGGGAGGATGCACCACGACGGCCACGAGAAGCGCCCGCCAAACCGCGAGCAGCTCCGGCTTGAGTGCTCAAATCAACGGTAGGCTGCTGCTTGGGTGCGGGGCCCAGAGACCGACTGAAAGAGTCGGGATCAATGGGCTGCGTGGGGATCTCGATCGGAGTCTCTGCAGGAGGTGCCGCGACCTTGGTCGGAGCGAGTTTGCGATTGTTCAGAGTTCGTGAGCCGCCGCCCCGCGACACGCCCTTTCCGCGGCCCCGAGGAACGAATACCAGCTCATCTTCATCACTATCCTCCTCATACGACAGCAAAGACTTCGGTTCCGAAACTTGGGTCTTTTCTACATATTTGCAGCGGTTCTTGTATTCTCTTTCCTCGTACTGGATCGAGGTTCGCAGCTGGTGGATGTTCTTGACGGCAATCCCGAACTTCTGAGCCCACAGTCCCGTCACCCGATCGTTCGTGACAAGGATGCAGCTTTTCGCAGCATTGGATGCGTCGGGACCGCTGTGCAGGCGCCAGAGGATAGCACTTAGCAGCGGCCGAAGCACTGCGGGAACCATGGGAACAATCGATCCAGATGCCGTGCGCTGGTGTCCCGTCGTTTTGGGGGACTTGACGTCGTTGTGCAGTTCTCCGTTCGTCACCGCATGTGGATTCGGGTCCTCGGGGCTCGTGCGCGAACTCCGGGAGGAAGGACGAGAGCCAGGGTTGCTGTGAGTCCCCGCGGACGGAAGGGAGACGGCATCGGCTTCTGGTTTGAAGTTGAGCTTGTTGAGAAGCATCTGCGACAGATCATCCGAAGCCGCGCCGTTTCTTTTGTCGCCCCCGGTTCTTTCCGCCGACTTTTCCAGCGACAACTGCTCTTCGGCCGTCATTCCGTTGAGCGCCCCGGGTTCCTCCTCAAACTCGGGCAAGACGAATTTCTCCGCCTCCTCCCAACTCTCATACTGTTCCATCGGACCCTGCAGCAGGACACGCTCGGCGGAGATGTTGTCTTTCCCGGACGTCACTCGATCGAGAAAGCGGACAGCCTCGCGGGCGTTGATGGCGATCTGGGATCCAGCTCTTTTCAAAGCATGCAGGCGCTCAAGCGCTGAGAGCAACAGGAAAACCTTTGATGAGCGAGCGGGACGAGGATGGCGTGTCAGAAGGTCAATCTACTTACTGTAAAGCGGGACGATGAGGGTAATGGCGCCGCTAGTGGTCCATCTCTTGATTTCGCTAATATTGGTGGTGAGGGCCGTTTCGTCCACGGCACAATGGAAGACCTTGCGTCCGGCCGACATGGCTCTCGATGGAGTCAAGGGCGACCGTGCGCGCGTTGGAAATGGTAAGGATAATAACAACCAACTAGGGGAGCTCCTATACTAAACAACCGGATTCGATGGCTGCGACTGAGTCGCAGTGTGTGATATTAGCGGGATGCTCAAACACCATGGAGGGAGGTTTGGGTCATGGCGGAGGACTTTGGGAATGTGGGGGCAGAGGTGACAATGAATGGATAGGCATCAAAGGCCAGGCAGCAAAGATTGCAGGACAAGCAGGGGTGTTTACTTACTGTAGTACACTGATTCAGAAGTAACTCTCATCAACAGCATTTTGTGTTCTGGGACATCAAATGTATGTGAGGTAGATAGGAATCAAGGTGTCATTTGCATCCAACAGCGGCGGATCAACTCGAAGCCGCGGGAGAATTCGTAGGTGAGTGCCTATGTTGACTAAGCACTAAGCAATCATGCATGGAAGTCTGCGGTTTACTTTATGATTCTATCTCAAGTCATGCATGATCAACATTGGAACGTTGCTGGTATTGATCATTCACCACCATATCTCTTGTACTACTAGTTTAAGTGAGACAGAGAATCCCCATATTCACAGTGATACAACAACATTGCAGAAAAGAGAGGAGGATTTCCGCCATGCGCTACTGAGAGAAGTCCCAACCATACAATTATTCGAGAACTATCTTCAAGTCTTCTTGATGAGACCTTCGTGGTCTTTGACCCGCTGTGCCCACTCGCTGATGTATAATGTAAGCGTCCACGCCTGTAAAAAATAGGGGACAAAAAAGAATGGGATAGTCTTGGGAACTTACGTCCAGCTGCCATCGTAGACCCTCCGCAGACTGGGATCCCCAAACTCTGCGATCTTTAAAGCAGTCTCAATGACAGTAGCCGTCACGCCGGTGCCGCAAGTGCTGATCATGGACTTCGCCTCATCAACGTTGCGCGCTTCAAACACCTTGCGCAATTCAGAAGGGGGAAGATATGTCTTCGTTTCCGGATCGAGCAGTTCCTGGAACGGCAAGCTCCTGGAGCCAGGAATATGTCCTGACGATAGCCCAGGACGCGGTTCGGGATCAGTTCCCGCCCAGCGCCCGTAGGACCGAGCGTCCAGAATCTCGACCTCTTCTGCGCCTTCTTTCCGCTGTTCTTTGGCGATCTCTTTCAGCTCCCGGTAAGGAATCACCAGCTTGGCGTCAATCTGCGGCAGAGGATAGCTGGTCCGCTCAACAGCGGCAGGCTCTCCAGTTTCCGTCGGATAGCCTTCACGAACCCACTGCCTGTAGTTGTTGAGAACATGAACTCTGGGGTGCCCAAAGACTCGTAAGGTCCAGCCAACGCGAGGAGCACTGAAGATACCCAGCTCTTCGGTGTCGTAGACCACGACCTCATCGTCACGCCGGATGCCAAGCTGGCCCATTGCCTCAGCGAATGTCTCGACGGTAGGCAGCATATGCGGGTAGGGGGACTCGGTGTCCTTGATCGCATCCAAGTCGAAAAATTGCGCCTGGGGAATGTGATGTTTCCGGAAAGCGTCGATGCCTGTGCGACCCTCTGGGTCGTTGGGCATGAACCAGGCCGCACATAAAGGGATCACTCGTGGTGAAGTGGAGATCTTTGTGGTCGGATTCTTCTTCAGGGCCTCGTGAAGCTCTTTCGGAGACACAAGGTACGAGGAAAATGAGATCTGGCGACTCTGCGATTGCTGTCGCAGCTGCTGAGGGACAGACATGGTGGTGCGAAACAGGCGAGTTGGTGAAGAGGCACTACGGAAAGTCGCGAAGGCCATGCTTACGGCGGAATTCTCACAGGGATGCAGATGTCAAGATCACTATTCACATACCGAATGAAAAAGCTCGTGGGTCAAATTGCGCCATTCGACCTAGAGGGATGAGAGGGAGAGAAAGACGATGTCTTAGTCGTAGTCGTAATGTCGGTTGACTTATCAGTTATCTCCAGCTAGTTATCAAGCCCAGTGCGGAGTCGGCAATCGCTTTCTCCGCCATGGGAGAAAGAAAGTACGGAGTAAGTAAACATTAAACAACTCCGCGCTTATCGTCAACTCCGCTCCATCACTATAACTATAACTATAAGGCTATTTAACTCTATCATTCGTGTCGACCACAATATCCACAAACCACAACCTCCACATCACCATCACCATCGCCATGAAAGTCACTATCAAGGAGTGGAATGCGGTCGCTACATGGCGCTGGGATATGCCCGAGGACGAAGTCTGTGGTATCTGTCGCGTTCAATTCGATGGCACATGTCCGACCTGCAAATTCCCCGGCGATGACTGTTCACTATGTAAGTGTAGCCGTTCGATTGTGTTCCACTTGAGATTGCCCTTGGCAGATTACTGATGATTTTTCTTTCCGTAGTACTTGGGAAATGCGGACACTCTTTTCATATGGTGTGATTGTGGATCTCTATGAGCTCTTGCAGAGTAGCGGCTGACCGAAGGACTTTCCAACCAGCATTGCCTCATGACTTGGATCCAGCAAGAGTCTTCCAAGGGGCTATGTCCGATGTGCAGACAGAGTAAGTCACATCTACCTCCAATCTCTCGATCCGATGCTAATCCTATGTCCCAGAGTTTGAGTGGAAACAGAATGAGGAATGAGATGAAATTCTTGTGCTACTTGTTCACTTTTCACTGACTGAGACTGGGCGTTGGGATTCCGGCTGTACATGATACCCTTTTTTTTCACTCTATATCTTCCTTTGATCGTTCTAGGATCGGTAGTCGTTCTATTCCATTCTGCGCATCTTCAAAAAAGCATCTACCATATCTCATTTCTCGCCAGGTCACCTGATCTTATCGATAAGGAGTTGACAATCACCTGCTGAACCATCGGAATCAGATACTCCAGATCAGCTTGGACCGCACGATCCTCGCTGATCGTAGCAACTAGAGCAATTTTATCCTCATTTTCTATCCGACAATGTAGTCAAGGCAGCGCAGATGTCTCTCTCAACGAACACCACGTCTCCCCCTCAATACTCATCTTCACCCCAGCAGTCCTCTCGCGGTCTCCCTCGTCCAGCCGCGCCATCAAGGCAGAGCTTCGACCGACCCCCAACCGCACAACGCATGAGCCATACCTCAGAGCAACATGGAGCGTATGAAGCAGCGGCTGACGCTGACACCAACACTCTTCCCCACGACGATGGAGGTCGTCACGAACCCAGCCCCGCTACCCAGTCCTCCTTTCAACCCTTCTTTACACTGATCGAGGATGCCAATACCTCCGAGTACTATCATCCAACCGTCCACTACATCTTCTCCGACGATGATGCAGACATCGTGACGGAAGCAGCCCTGCGAGCCCTCGAGGCCGAACAAGACACCGCTCCTGATCCCGGAAAGGGCAAGACCAAGTCCTCGCGCGATCAGCCTCCGACAAGCCAAGCAGACCCGGAAGACGCGAATGCATACCCAGAGCACAGCGACAGCGAACCCCTCACACCAAGAAAGGAATCGCTTCTCCCTCCTCCAATCCCCGGAATCCGTGACAACTACATCATCCTAGACATGGAGCCTGCTCTCGACGGCGCAAACCATTCCGCCCTGGACGCTGCTCGCGGTGCCGCCGGCCTGAGATCCATCTCCTTCTCGCCAGCCGCACAAGGAATGCCCCTACCTCACCAGCAACAGCACCAGCAGCAGCAGCAGGGGTCCCCCGCGCCCCCGCCTCAGTTCACAATTACCTCTGCCGACAGCTTAACCCCGGCATGGCAAGTCCTCAACACCCAGTTGATGCCGGCGCCGACATTCGAGAACCACGCCTCCGGCGAGCAACCTTCTTCCAACGGCGGCCTCATGCTCAAGATCCACGGTACGGCCGGCCTGCCCGTGACCATGTTCGGGAAGGACAGGGACAAGGAGAGAGGCAGCCAGCGCCTGGAAGAGATGATGGAGCAGTTCGAGAAACGCCTGGGCGAGCTCAGGCAGGTCATCCAAGCTGGTGATCACGCCCCACCAGCTCAAGACGGTTTATTCGAGGATCACGGTGGATTGGACGATCCGGAGGCTAACGTTGGTTCTGGTTTGAACGTTGATCAATCGAATGAAGCTCGTAGCGCGGCTAGTAAGAATGAAGCAGGCACTGAGATTAATCTATGAAGCGTCTCGCGAAATCTCCTGTTTGCAATTGACTTCAAAGTGTAGTTGTAGGTTCTCAGAATAGTTCCTTGCTTGGTAGCTGTTTCATCTCTCAAGAAGGAAAATGGAAATTCTCCTAGACGAGCGCTGAATGGGAGATCTAATCAACCAAAAGACATCAAGCAATGCAAAAACTACGCCAGACACCTACTGAGTTAAATTCGAAAAGAAAAATCTTTGGACAATTTCTATGGCAAGAGAGTGCCTGACCAGCCAAAAAAACGCCCACGGAAGAAGCACAAAGTATTCAAAATCCTGTACATAAACGCCTAGATATTGCACCAAGTCCTACTGTTGAAAACAGCTCTTCTCAGATCCCAAACGCCGATGATGACTCAAGTGATCCTGGGTATCAAAACACCAAAATTAAAACAGTAACAGCTCTATGCACGCGAAGGGTCAATCAGTCCGACGGGTTGCTTCTCAACCTTCGACCGCGCGTGTTTCCGGTCAGAGGAACATTTTCTCTTCCTTCCATCATGCCGGCCATCTTTTTGGTCAGCATCTTTTGAGGTAGTTTGGGTTCGGTGACACCGAAGCTAGAGCAGTGACGTTTGGCAGGTGGGGGATCGGCAGCATCGATCTCATCTGCAATATCGGCGGCTAGAGATGCTCGCTCAGTGACTGCTGTAGACGATTTGGTGTGAATAGCTGTTGAATCATCATCCGCATCGCACGAGAGCTGTTTTGCAACCACATTGGCGTCCACTTCGCGAAGCCCCATGTTGGAAGGGGTCGTGATGGTCGACGGGGGTAGTTGTGCCTCTACCTGGTCCTCAACGTCGTGATAGACGAAACCTTTCGATGGAGACGTACCAGGAGAATTATTGACAGAGGTTTGAGAACCCTGGTCTTCGTTATTAAATGGTAAAATCTCGAGTTCCTTGGAGGTTCGCATCCTCTTCACCAGAGCATCGTGCGATTCGGTACGTGGGAGCGTCGTCGGAAATTCGTACTGTCGCTTCTGGGGAGTCACTCCAGTGGAGACGTACTCCTCAAGAGGCCGTTTTCGGACGTTGTCACGAAGCTTGGAAAGGGGTTTTTGCACGTCATCAGACAAAGGAACCGTCAACTCTTCAAGGCTCGCCTTGTGTTGGAGCGCCTCTTCCTGAAGAACGGTGATCCGCTCGCGGGATGCGTCCAAATGCTCTTGGAATGATGTATAGGATTGTTGGACGTTGGACGCCATGTTCTCTAGGCTAGAGACATGGGCATCGCAGTAGCGACCACTTTGGGTTCGTGCCTTTGCAACGAAATCGTCCAGTGCGCCCATTTGCCGGCTCATATCCTTCATCTGGGCGTCCACAATTCGGACAGTCTCCTCATGGACTGATTCGGTCACTTTCTGTATAGATACATTCCGTTGATCGAAGACCTGCTAGGTTAGCATATTGATAAGTGTTTTCATGAGTGATCTCTTACCTCCCAATCATTCTGCATCTTCGTCTTGACTTCATCACGAGACGCGATAACATCCTTGGCAAATTGCTCCGACTTGAAAACCCATTCATCGACCTGTCGATCATACTGCACCGTCGCCTGTTCCAGCGAATCCCCGGAGGTCATCATATCTGTCCGCACGGATTCGACTCTGTCCTTCAAGCGGCCAAATTGTCTCTGACGAGATTCTTCAATCAAAGACTTGATTTGAGACATGAGATTGTCACGCTCTGCTTCAGCGTGAGCACTTTCTTCTTCCAGGGTTTGGGCGAGATGAGAGGAAGCCCTGCGGTTCGCTTCCACAGTTTGTTGGTTAGCCTCTTGCAGTTGTAGGCGAAGCTTGTGTATCTCGGCCTTTTGGCCATTGACATGTGCCACCATGTCTTCAAACATGGATTTCAGATCTTTCCCGAGGGTACTGTATGACGTATGGAGCTTTATCGGTCAGTACCTCAAGTATTTGAATGCAATAACCGCTCTTACCTGTGCATGAAACCCCGAAAACTCGCCAATGACCTCCTTGGAGATACGGGCAGCGGCCGCAGACAGCCCGTTCAAGCCCTCACCGACTTTGCCTTTGACTTCCTCACGCAACACCTTGATCTCTTCGAGTACATCATTCATCTTGCCGTGCGAATCAGATGTTTGGGCTCGTGCCTCTTCGAATGCCTTGTGAAATGAGGCATTGAACTCGTGAAGTTCAGCGCCACTTGAGTGATATTCGGCTAACTCGCCTTCCACAAAGGTTCTGATTCTGGCGGTGATATCTTCAACAAGCTTCGAGTGCTGACTCCTGAACGATCCGACTCGACTGTCAATCAGACTAGTCACATCCGCAACTTCCTCAACCGAGACCTCCCATTTCTCTCGGTTCGTAGCGTCAAGATCTGCCTTTCGTTGGAGTTTCGCATGTAGTCCTTCAACATCGCCCACAGTCTTGTCAAGGGTCAAGACCAAATTCGAGCCGATACTATGAAGTTGGGTCTCCATGTCCTGGTGCGCTCTGCGCAGCATTTCTTCCTCTTCGAGGTTAGCTCTTGTGTCCTTCAGCACAATCTCTGTCTTCTCCAGGATGTCGTTGGTCTCGCTCAACGCGATCCGAGTGTCTTCGTGGTCATGTTTGAGGTTATTGAAGTTGCTAGTCAAGGTGAAGAGCTCCTGAACCTTATTCCGCAGACTGGATTCCATGGACTCGATCTTGGCCCTTTGTTCTTCATTGACAATCCGTCGAGACTCGCTTTCCATCGTCATCTGCTCGTACGCATTAGGTGACATGTAGACGCCATTCCTATGTCTTGTAGCGATAAGCTCCCCTTTGAGCTTCTCGATCTCTAATGTGAACTCGCGAAGAAGGGTCTTTTTGGCCATGTAGTTGATCTGAGGTTTGTTTCGAATGTTCTTCGCTCGGAAGGCATAGTCCAGAGTGGATATCGTTTCCTCCATATTGCTCCGGGATGGTGAGATTGTGGCAATGATGCAGGTTTTGGTTCTTCCACCGAGTGAATCTTGCAGCAATCGTGTGAGCTTCGACTCTCTGTTCCATGTTAGCTACATCGTCTGCAGCAGTCCCAGGGTCAAATCCGACAGCCTACCTGTAGGGGATGTGTGGACTCTTGTCAACCAAGGCGTTGATCACACGGCCAAGAGTGAGCAAACTCTTGTTAATCAATCCAGCTTCGGTCGCCCGTTTGTTTTCTGCGCCGCTGCGTTGAATATTTTCGCTACCAGCCAAGTCTACCAAGTTCAGCTTTCCTGAACTGACATAATCGTCGCCGGTCTCGGTGGTTCGTTTGGTATAGACGGTGATAGTGAAGATTGTATGACTGCGAGAACTCAGATCGTTGCATTTTGTCGCGGCAACCTGGCGCTTGTGACTACCCTGTTGGAGTAAAGTGATTCCAGCATGTGCCGAGTCGATCCAGGTTTCTTCCATTCCCTGCACCAGGGTGCTGGCACTCGAGCCCTTCTTTTCATTCTCGAAAATTTTGAGCTTGTGGTTTTCTTCGGCCGACAACAAATCTCGCAATTCCTCGTTGTATAGCTCAATAAAAGAGCATTTAACGGTGCTTTCTGAACCCTCGAGCTTGTGGAACAACGAGTACAGAACGCGCGGAATGATTCCAGCATTATCGGATAATATCCCTAGCGTATCTGTCATATCTCCTGACATAGTGTATGTCTTTCCTGTGCCTGTCTGTCCATATGCGAAGATGGTACAATTGAAACCAGCCAACATCTATGAATCCGTCAGCGGGGTAACTTCGAAGAAAGAACCAAAAGACATATCTAACCTCGTTAACGATCGGAAGAACGACATCTTCGTACACAGTGACCTGATCAGCCGCTGCGGAGAACACCTTATCGAATGTGTAAGCCTTGTTCGACACGGCATTTGGCCCCATCGACAGTTCCACTGTCTTTCCCTTGACCCCCTCAGTAGCCACTACCACGCCGCTGTTCTCTTTGATTTCACGTTCATTGCGCCCACGGCATCGCACAACGACGTGAATGCTCGTATCTTCGTTGATCTCACGCTCGTAATCTCTCTGGTTTTTTTTCGCAGTGATGCTGGCCGGCTCGGTTGGCGACTTCAGCCGCGACGAACTCGAAACAGCTGTTTTACCTGTCGTTGCTGCAGGTGTGGACTTTTCTGTGGCCGTAGAATCTAAACGTCTGGTCGTTTGCCGCGTCGCTGTTCTCCTGGTGGGCAAGCCGGAGGCAGGCCGTTGGGGGCCAGCCATCGTAACGGATCAACTGGACAAAGTTGCCGTATAATAGAACAAACAGCAATGGGATTCGCACAGTCCAGACTCGTCTGAATAAATGTACGGTCCTGATAATCCGCTCGATAAGATCGGATTGGATTGTGATTGAAGCGTCTGTTGTGGTTTTGGCGGAGACTGAAAGAGGAAAACGTAAACAAACCAATGAGGACGTGCACGTGCCACCTTGCGGTTTGAGCTTAAAGGGGTCATCATCCCCTCTCACATGATCGGATGTGGTCATCGCCTTATCTCTCTACGTTCTTTTAGTGCAGCACCTCCATAGTTGACATTCTCTGGTAGCCTCTTATTGAGGATTTATTGGCTATTATCTAGAAGATATTTATACTGAAGCTTCATCCGCGCTGTTCACCACCGAGCATCGCTCTGTACACAACCAGCGCCACCTCAGAAAGAATGAGACGCGGTTGCAGATCACCATGACCTCCAAAGCTTCAGCGCAGTTTCAGGTGTTTCCCGGAAAGGGGCTGGGCTTTATCAGCATGTTTGACCCTTCATGCCTTCTTCTCTACGTAGCTAATACCGCATAGCTCTTGGTGCCTCCCTCCACAATGTATTAACTCGCGTCAAATCGCATCCTCAAACCTACCCTGCAGTCGATATCGCATACTCTGCCTCTGATCCGCTTCGCAAGCCGGTAATCTTGCAGTTGCCATCAAATGGCCTTCGTCTGCGGTTCGATGGGCCTGATCAGCGGCTCCGACTAATCGAGGTGCTGGACTTCTCGAAGACGACATTAATCTATAAGAACCAAGAAGTAATGAAGGGCGTAAAGCCGCAAGAGCCAGTCGTCTCGCAGCAAGGTCCGAGCTTTCGCCATATCTACAATCGTCTGTTCGGACCTTCTTATCCAGGAGAGTATACCCCTCCGATGGATGGTCATTCACCGTATGGCACATATGTCCTGTCGTATCCGGGTGTTGCGTTCTCGTTCCCTCTTCAGAACTCGGCATGGTCAGAGCAGTGTGACTTTGTTGCCTTGCTATCATCATCAGCGGCTCTTTCAGCGACTTCTATGGCAATATTCCAGGGAGCTTCATGGCCGGAAAGTCGCAACAAGTTATTCTCGCAGCAACCACAATATCCTCGGTCTCCAGCGTTGGTTGGTAAAATCCGTGACTCCGTACCAGACGAAGTCGAAGAGTTCATCATCTTCGGTGCCGGAAAGTTGGAGGTTGCCCGAAGATCCAGCCCTCCGACTTATATTACCCTCTCGGAGACGACTCCTCAGGATCTGATCGCTGAATTTGGACCACCAGACGCTATTTATCGTAAAAATGATCGAAGGATCTCCATACACCGGGCTGCCGGCGCAAATAATGTGGCGGGTGCGCTTCAAATGAGTCCTTCTTTAGGTAGAGGGATGGATGTCACCGATACTGATCAGTCTTCAAGCAACAGTGTCACTGATGACTCGGACGAAGAGATTTCCCCGGTTAGCAATGTGGATCCCTCATCACTTCCTACAGAATGTTTCTTCAATTATTTTCACCATGGTTTTGATGCCTTTATTTCGTCTCCTACTACAGCTGGCCCTGCGTTTCCAGGATCCGACCTCCCCGATCCATCGCCTCCACCTCCTTCTTCTCAGCTAGTTGTTACTAAGATCATCTTGCATGGAAATGTTCCCGGTTCATATCCATTCAATCGGCACCGTCGCAGCCGTTGGACAATCAGCCTCAACCCGTTGGGCGATGTCGTGAATTCGGAAACTCCATACGACAGGATCTCTGAGAAGCTCAGAGAGCTCTGGAAAGGATCGTATGCAAGCGCTGCTGAACAACGCGCATTGCAACGCCCCATGGTGCTGAATCGCGGCTGGGGCGATAGTCCCGAGAATAGTGTCGAGTTTCTCGGTGGCTGGGAGGAAAGCACCGGTAGAGGTCAGAGAACAGGCCACGATAGTCACGATGGAGGACTAGGGAATACGGAGTTGTTTGGATTCCCCGGTCTCTTGTTTGAGGTTATGAAGAATGGGGCTGTAAGCTGTTTGACCATATATTGACGGGGCCATTGGTTCTGTATAGATTGGAGTTTCGGGCTTGTCTACCACTTTACGAGATATGATATTTTTAACTTGATGATACCTTATCTAGCTGGCTAATGAGAATGTCAATGAACATATTATCAATTGAGTAGAATTATTTTAACTGTGCCGACCCTACTATGGAGATCCTTCATCGGAAGAGGTCGTAGTCCAAGTTTGGCCCGTCACCTGGCGCCCGCAACTATTTTCGGGGGAAGAACCTCATCCATCTCCGCTCCTCACAAACCCATCTCCATCCTCCGCACGCGATTCACCCTCACGAAAAAAAAGAGGCAGGATATGCTACAGCGGTAGTATGCCGGAATTGCCGCGGTCGCTCGTACGGTCGTGGTCGTCGACTCTTAAACTCCCCAAGTCGACATTCCCCGCCCGCGTCACACCCGCCGACCAGACGAAGTACCTGAAACGATGCACTGACGAGCTCTACGCCTGGCAGCGCCGGGAACGGCCTGCGGACCGACCGTTCGTGCTGCACGATGGACCGCCGTACGCGAATGGCGAGCTGCACGTCGGCCACGCGCTCAACAAGATTCTGAAGGATATAATCTGCCGCGTGCAGCTGGCGCAGGGCAAGCGCGTGCGGTACGTGCCGGGCTGGGACTGCCATGGGTTACCCATCGAGTTAAAGGCTCTGGTGCAGCAGAAGGAGCTTGGGGAGACGGGCGGGTCGATTGGCGCCGCTGCGATCCGCAAGGCTGCGCGGAAGCTGGCGGGGAAGACGGTCAAGGAGCAGATGAAGGGGTTTCGGAGTTTTGGTGTGATGGCGGATTGGGAAGGCCACTGGAAGACGATGGATAAGGAGTTTGAGAAGCGACAGCTTGGGGTGTTTCGTGAGATGGTCGAGAAGGGATTGATTTACAGAAGGTTTAAACCTGTGTACTGGTCGCCGTCTACGGGGACGGCGCTTGCCGAAGCGGAATTGGAATACAAGGATGACCATGTGTCTACAGCTGCTCTGGTCAAATTTCCTCTGGTTTCTCTACCTCCCACGTTGGCTCAGGATCCCCTGGTGCAAGTCAAGGACCTCAGCGCTGTTATTTGGACTACTACGCCTTGGACGCTCCCCGCCAATGCTGTTATCGCCGTGCATGAGTCGTTGGAGTACGCAATCGTCCAGTCGGATACTCATGGTCAACTTCTTGTCGCGCAATCCCGGCTAGAATATCTCGAAAACCTGCTGAAGGAGGATTTGACCGTCATCATCCCCTCTATTCTTGGTTCGCAGCTAGCAGATCAGACCACGTATCGACCGCTGTTCAAGTCAGTGGAAGCGGAGCCGCAGCCGATCATTGCTGCGGACTTTGTGACTGCTGACTCTGGTTCGGGACTGGTTCATTGTGCTCCTGGGCACGGCATGGACGACTATGAAGCTTGTGTTCCTCGTGGCATTCCTGCATTTGCACCGGTTGACGATCAAGGAAGATTCACCGACAAGGCCATGCCGAAGGACCCCGCTCGATTGAGCGGGAAGAGTGTCCTCGGCGACGGAAATGCCGCGGTCCTTGAATACATCGATTCGGAGGGGTTTCTCCTCGCGCAGCATCAGTATGAGCACAAGTATCCTTACGATTGGCGGTCTAAGCTCCCGATTATCATCCGAGCCACCGAGCAGTGGTTCGCGGATGTGGCCGATATCCGTGGTCGTGCGGTCCGAGCCCTGGAGGATGTCAAATTCGTTCCGGCTTCTGGTAAGCAGCGCTTGGAGAACTTCGTCAAGAACCGGAGCGAATGGTGCATCTCGCGCCAGCGTGCCTGGGGCGTGCCAATTCCGGCTCTCTATCATCGGGGTACCGGCGATGCTGTGCTTACCAAGGATAGCGTCTCGCATATCATGTCTGTGATTGAGCAGCGCGGGATCGACGCGTGGTGGACCGACGATCAGAGCGATCCTGCCTGGATCCCACCCGCACTGCAGGGAGAGTCTGGACCTGGCTACCGACGTGGAACAGATACAATGGACGTGTGGTTCGATAGCGGTACTAGTTGGGCCGAGATCGATATTCCTCCCAGGGACGGACACCCGGCGGACGTCTACCTCGAGGGCACCGACCAGCACCGCGGCTGGTTCCAGTCCGGGCTTCTCACTTACATTTCACATCAGCTTGCCTCGGGGGAGACTACCGCCCCTCGCGCACCGTTCAGAACCCTCATCACCCACGGATTTACGCTCGACGAGGAAGGACGCAAGATGAGCAAATCGATCGGAAACGTGATTCATCCCCAGCCTATCATGGATGGTACTCTGCTGCCGCCGCTCAAACCGAGGAAAGGCAAGGGAAAGAAGCAGCAAGAGAACCAAGGCCCCGTCTATGACGCACTGGGCCCCGATGCGCTTCGCATGTGGGCGGCCGGCAGCGACTACACTCGAGACGTCGTCATGGGGAAACAGGTGCTGCAAACCGTCAACACCAGCCTGCACAAGTTCCGTGTGACCTTCAAGCTCCTTTTGGGGGCCCTATCCGACTTCCAGCCGTCCGACCAGCTTCCCTACGGTCAATTGCAACAAGTCGATCGCATGGCGCTGATGCACCTCTCCGAGATGGTTCTCGCTTGCCGCAAGGCATGTAACGATTTCGAGTTCTACAAGGCTGTCAACGCCATGAACCGATGGGCCAACCTGGAGTTTTCTGCATTCTACATGGAAGCGATCAAGGACCGGCTCTACACGTACGGAGAGAACAGCATCAGCCGACGCGGCGCGCAAACGACCCTGTTCCACATCTATCAATACCTTCAAGAGGTACTGGCGCCCATCACTCCCTTGCTGATCGAAGAAACCTGGGAACATGCTCCGGAAACCATCCGATCGCATTGCGAACATCCCCTGAAGCGTATCGCCTCGCCACCTCCTGTCGAATGGCAGGACCACTCTCTTGGGACCGACTATCATGATCTCGCGGCGGTCAGCTCCGTGATCAAGGCCCTGCAAGAGCAAGCGAGAAGCAAGAAACAACTTGGCTCTTCGCTCCAGTCCTTCGTCCATCTCGTACTCCCCGAGGATAATCCATCCGACTCCGCTCTGCAACGAACCCTGTCCGAGCTCCCTGATCTCTTCGTTGTTTCCTCGGTGACGGTTGGAGCGCACGGAGAACCGCTCCCAGCCGCTCTCGCAGAAGCGGAGTGGCAGTACAGCGAAGCATATGAGCTCCCCAGCGGCGGGAAGGGCGCGGTGTACGTCTACACACCGCCAGCAGGCAAATGTCCCCGCTGCTGGCGCTATGTGGTCCCCGAACCCCAGGCCAGTGAAGAGGCGCTGTGTGATCGGTGTGAGGATGTTGTACAAGAGCTGGATGCCAAGGTCCAGTAAACGCATACCCCATTTCCACGGGGAGAGTTCTGTGATCTGTCTGTACTATAGGCGATTCGATTTTCAAAACCTGATTCTTCTGTACAATACAATGGCCATTATTGATCTCCAATCATCAAACCTAGGCAACTTCGCTATCCGTGGACAGATAAATCAGGGAACCCCAGTATTATCTCATATATTATCCTGTTGTTGGTCCATAGTACGTAGACGCAAGGAGTGGGTGCAGACTGCGGTGGCGACGACTGGCCGGGGTGGTGGTAGGCCAGTCTGCAAATGTGTGAGACTTTCCCCGGCCAACTTGCATCGTCCTGTTCTTTTTTTTTTTTTGGGCGTCCTCCTAGTTACTTCCCAGCTAGAACATCTTGACTGTGTGCTGTGTCTGCGTGGGGTTTATTCATTATTATTGGCGCCATTTGTGAATCCTTTTTGGACCATGCTGAGGAAGTATCTACTCCTAAAGGATCATGACGACACCGTCGAGGTCAGCATGACGCCGAACCCTCGTCAACACGCAAAATGGCGGATTCCGGGCACAGGCAGGAAAGAAAGAAAGTGGATGACGCGGATTCTGTGCCACGGTCTTCTTCTCCTGTACTTTTTAAAAAAAGCTGCTGCTTGACGTGTCGATCCTCCATGCACTATCTACTCTTTTCTTTTTAAAGTACTGTCGATTGTCCGATCCGATCACCATCCAGATCGAACTCATCTCTGCTGTCTGCTGTCTGAGCTATAAAAGAAAGAGGGAGAAGCTGCTGTCGACTGTCCATACACCTTGCGTGTCATTATCATATCTTCATTACTGGCAAGATGATTGAATCCATGATGTCCCACACGAAACAACCACTTCCTTGGCCGACTACGACCTCGTCGGTAGGTCCGGTGCCAACTGTTATCCCCGGGAACGAGCCCATCTATCAGGAAATCGGAGTGACGGGAAAGCGGGCATTATGGTAGGGAACACCTCGTCTCGGTTGATTGATAGGCCAAGGAGGAAACACGAGCTAATACCTACCGGTCAGGGTGGTCACTGTCCTCATGGGAGTCTCCTCTCTCGTCTTCTACACGCTTAGTGCTCGGTTACCCTTGGTATGTGCTATGTGCTAAGTGCTAAGTGCCCATCAACAGATCAGTGCTAACTCCTCTCAGCCAAAGCGCGTCTTCCACACTCTCGTCTCCATCATGACCACCATCTCCTTCATCACCTACCTTGCCCTCGCCACCGGTAGCGGCATGACCTGGAAGCACGACTCCATCACCCGCACCCACAAGCACGTCCCCGACACCACACAGGATTACTTCCGCCAGGTGATGTGGCTGCGCTACCTGAACTGGTTCCTGACCGAGCCCCTCGGCCTCATCAACCTGTCCCTCCTGTCCGGCCTGCCCGGCGCCCACCTCCTCGTCGCCATCGTGGCCGACTACATCATGCTCGGCTCGGGACTGCTGGGCACCTTTGCCGGCCACACATCGCGCAGATGGGTCTGGTTCACCATCAGCGCCCTGGGATACCTCACAACCGTCTACCATGTCGGGATCAACGGGGGCAAGGCGGCAAACAACAAGGATGCGCAGACCAGACGGTTCTTTGCGTCGCTGTCAGGCGTGACTCTGCTTGTGAAGGCGCTGTACCCGATGTATGTGGTCTTGTCTTGGCAATTTGTTGCAAGCAATGTGTAGCTGACGTATATTTAGTGCTCTTGCTGCTGGTCCCTTGGCATTGAAGATGAACGTCAACACCGAGACCGTCATCTTCGCTGTCTTTGACATCTTTACTCAGGGGCTGCTGGGCTACTGGTTGATCATTGCCCATGACAGCTCCCCGGGAATGTAAGTCATTTATAGTGACATGCCCCTATATGCATGCGACTAACAGTTTCTCAGTACCCTCTACGCTGATGGCTTCTGGTCCGGAGGAATCGGCAACGAGGGCGCCATCCGCATCAACGAGGAAGAGGGAGCCTAGACTTCTTCACCTCATGCACTACACACAAAAAGTGCAGATTTAATGTTCATGCAACTACACAAGGCAAATTGACGACGCGAGGTTGTGATTTCGGGGTTATGATACATCATTTTTGCTAAGCGAGATGGTCCGAGGTAATAATGCGTGTTTCCCTTTGCTATGTGTATCTAGCACTCAGTTGGTCAGGTATTTCCCTCTTGAGCGATAGGAAGCAAGAATGTAAATCTAGCTATCAGTCAATCAAAGTCATTTCCGTGACATATGCCTCCCATGCAATCTGCAGTGGTACAACCAACGGTAACCCTAGATATGTATACACGTCCTCCACCCATCGCTGCCCCCCAACTGTACATTACGAGCCCGAACCAAGTGGAAATCGACTGCCTGATTCCTCCCTCTTCTGTCCCTTCAACTCCCCAATCCTGCGCAACAGACCCCGACCCTGACCCTGCAAAGCAGAGAAAGCCCAACCCCCCTGCACCCCGCGATACGGGCCCTCGCCCACCTTCCTTCCCCCACGGAGCTCAACAACCCTCACCTCGCGACGCACATCCACCACCCGCGCCGCAACAACCCTCTCCGCCTCGCGCGGATACACGATCCTCACCCCCCTCATCGGCCACGGCAGATAGAACCCCGCGTCCACGCAGTAGTCCCTGAAATGGATGCAGCGCAGCCGCGCCGGGTCGAACCAGTGGATGAAAGGGTCCGCGTCGACCACGAAGTTGGTCAGCGTGAGTGTGCGCAGCGGGAGCCGGTGCGGCGTGCGCCCGACCGCCATCGCGCGGACCTTGGCTTTCTCGAACGCCGTCTTGTCGAGGTACTCGCCTGCGCCGAGGTGTGGGTGCAGTGTGCCGGCGCCGAGATGGCCGCTTGGTGGGGGGTGGGGTTTATCACGTCAACTTTTTGAATATTCGGTGAAAAGATGAAGGTTGGGAGGGAGCGGCACTGGGAGGGGTTGAACTCACTAGTATACAGGCTCGCCGTAGTGCGCCGCATCCAGCGTCCATCCGCCCCTGATATACGGCCATCGCTGCCCGTCTTCCCTGCGGCGCAGGCGCGGCTCCAGCGCCATCCCCAGCTCGAGCTCCTCGAGTTCTGGGTTCAGCCACGCCGCCTGCCAGATGTATCGTTGGTAGGACTGCATCATCCCGGTGAGCTTGAGAACGCGCAGGCCGCGGAACTGGCATAGTGGTGCCAGCTCGTCGAGAGGCAGGATCGTCTCCTCGGTCTCCTGGTCGGGTCTGACGGGGTGGAAGAGGTCGAGAGCGAGTGTGGGTAGGGTTCGTGGGAGGCGGGACCAGGTGGCGCCGCCGCGGAAGTGAAGGAGTGGGTGAGTGGGTATGCCTAGTTGCTGGGGTGGCAGGTCAAACTCGCTCTTCTCTCGTTTCTTGCTCTTGCTGCTGGCCATGTTGAAGGGGGTGCGGAGGAGGGCGCGGTGGCGACGGGTCTCGGAGGAGATTCTGGGGGCGCGAGTTGGGGAGCGAGACTGGGAGCGCAGGGGTGGGTGCTTGGTCAGATCGAAGACACCGCTTGGGGAGAGCGAGTTGAGTGTGCTGGGTGAGGGTGAGTTCAGGCTCAGGGCATCACTCATGCTAAAGCGACGGCGCTGCTTCTTCACAGGCTCGTCCTGCTTCGCGCTGGTCCCGAGTAGAGGGTTTCTTGGTGGGCTCGGAGCGAAGGAGGGTTTGGTGTGATGAGTTACACTGCGACCTGGATGTAGGTGAGGTTCAGTAAGTAGGCGTGTTACTAACTTGTTGGAGTCTTGGAGGAGTAGAGAAGCATGGAAAGCTTACTTGCTTCAACGCCGTCGTGGATGGGCTGGTTGAATCGCTCAGCGTCTTTCCAGAAATCCTTTCCGAGGAGTGTTGCTTTCCAGTGAGATGGGAAGTCTTCGATTCTGTTTGTGTCCATTTCAATATAGATGTGTTGTGCTCATGTCGAGCTGAGGATGGTTTTCCTAGGATCAGAATGGAAGCGAGGATAGAAGTGATGTAGAAATGGTGAATATTACTGAAGGGTCTGGGGAATAGTCTGTAGAGGCAGCAGAGATAAAAGACAGGAGGAGGCTTCTGCAAGCCAGCATCTGGATCATTGTTCACGCAGACTCAGCTGTGCCTGATAGTGAATGTTGTCTTCTTGCTTGATCCTCCTCTTGGACATATTTGAACATCATAGAAAGGACAAAGAACGGCTACTAAACGAACTCACTCTCTTACAAACCCTAGCTACCTCAGATTTGGCCCTTAGCTCATACCCTCAAAGCCTTTGTCTTTCAATCCAAATCCTCCACAAAAGGGTGCATAGCTTATCAAGTCGCCTTGCGTTGATTGATTTCTCAGCTGTTCCCAAATAGGATGAAGCACCCGCTACAATCCATCACAGTGACTCCTCCTCCTAAACCTCAATGGAATATTCTCCCTCATCGCCAGTGTCAGCACCGCTACACTCTCACGCAGCACTCTCTCCGCATCCAATCGAGCTCCTGGACCGTCATCTGCCAGCTCGACCTTATAATCGCGAAACAAGACCGCCAACGCAACAACAAACTCAACCTGCGCGAACTTTTTCCCCAGGCACGCGCGGAATCCATCGCTGAATGGGATGAATGCACCCCGGGTGGGTTTGTGGACTGTGGCGTACTCCAACCCCGGTCCCGCGAGGCCCGGCGTGAGGGTGTTCTTTGCGAGGAAGCTTTCCTGATTTCTCGCGTCCCATCGTTGGGGGTAAAACTGTGCAGCGTCTGGGCCCCAATATTCTTCCAAGTAGTGAAGGGAGCTGGAATTCAGGTTGATGTTGGTAAAAGGTGGTAAAATGTATTCCTTGCCATGGTATTCGAGTGGGTATGGGTTCTCGGACGTGGATTTGGGGACTGTCACAACTGGTGGGTAGAGGCGCATGGTCTCAAGCTGTGCATCGGTCAGCAGATGTACGCATAGACGACTGGTTTGGAGCCCACCATGATGCACAACGGGGCAATGAGCTGGGGAAACATGCGAGAGTAATCCCACTTCGCGACGTCGGCAGGTTCTCCCTGCGCTGCCACTAGAATGCTCTCATACAACCAGTCCTGTACGTCTTGATGAAGAGCCAAGAGCAAAAATGCGAATCTCAGCGAGGTTGCTGTTGTCTCGTGTCCTGCAATGGTGAATATGTGCATGTTTCCAATGATCTCCAAGTCAGTAAGGCCTGAATCCTTTGTCGTGCTGCTGCCTGCATCCTGATTTCGAGATAATAACAAGCCCTTGATCAGATTCGGGCTACTGTTGGCCGTCTTCTCGGGTGCTGCAGTGGCGATCAGCCTCTGCAGGTATGCCTTCAGATCTCTGTGCGCCTCAAAGTCGGGCTTTAACCATGGCACCAATGCTCGAGGGATCCATTTTGGCAGTACAATGTTGGCCAGAACAACAGTCGGGATGTTCACATTCATATAGGCCATAACAGATCGAAATGTGAAGCCGAACCCCTTCGGTGGTATGGCAGTGTCTTGGAAAATATCATCAGGGCCGTCGATTGGATTCTGGAGAGATGGTTTGAAGGGTAACCTCACCCCGAATCCAGCTCCAGACAGAACGTTTAGAGTGAGATTCAAGAAGTCATCCCGGGTGTTTGCAACCACAAACCCCTGCTTATCATCTGGTGAGTGCAATCTTTGCCAATGGTCGATCATTTCTGTCGTCTGCCGGATACTCTCCTGCCAGACCAGCGCATTGTTCTTCTCATTAAATGGCGGCGCTGTATGCCGCCGGTGATGAGCCCACGCTTGATCCTCACACTGCCGCATATCAGCTGCTGTAACCTGAGAGACTCTCAGCCACGATGCGGATAAACATACCGTCACTAGATTTGGTCCGTACAGGTCCAGAATCTCTTTGTCTAGTGTTACTAGAGGCTCGGCACCTTGACTTGATTTGCATAGGGTGTCCATCACTTACTATACTGCCATATCGGCTTTGGGAAGCTCTGGCGAGCGTTGCATATCTGAGTCACAACCGAGGCATCCGTAACATTGCAGTCGATCTTCTCCGCCGTTACGATCAGGTACATGTTTCCAAGCTCCTTTGCCCGCCGATCCTTGACGGTCCACCGGAAGTCGTAGGTCGCATCATTTACAATATCAGCGAGCCATCCGGGGAGGTGGTAATTGATGGCATCTGCAAACCATTTGAAACCGCACAGGATCTTCAGCGGGATACTAGCACTGCCAGAAACAGGAAGTACGATATATGGAAGTTTCGTGCGCCGAGCCAGTCGGATATTCTTCAGAAGCCGACGGAAATAATCCACAGCATATAGGCCTAACAGGCCGAGGATGAGGGATGAGATAATCATGGTGCTCTGTGTACCTCCTCCGTTGAAGGTGAGGTTTTGCATCCATTTCAGCTCATGTCAACATGGCACACTGATCGCTAGATAAGCGCCCCGCTTGGGGCTGACTGGCGCTGCAAGGGGCCCGTGACCATCGTCCCCTGCTGGAATTGCCGCTGTGCGTGACTAGAGTACGAGCGTCTGAGTTATCATGGGGCTGTGGATAAATGCAGTCTTTTGGTAGACACCAAGGCCATCAGCTTCGTCGCAGACGGCAGGAAGCACTAAGTGATTTCAAGTTGCTTACAGTATCGAGAGCCCATTCAATTCACGGCAGGATATCGCAGCATTTGAAGGAGGAAATAAAACCAACTTGCAAAGGACAGAAACTATCGTCCCTTTCGTACTAGTATTTACATATCTGACGAGACTCGTGAGTATCAACTATGATGAGGTCTGATGAAGTGGAGAAAAAAATATATATTTCCGCCCAGTATCTCGGTACTAGCCGTAACACTATAACTATCAACTACCAGAGCTCCACTATTGCCAAACGCCATGCTAAGATCCATCTTGTCTACATGAGGAACTGTGGGCATCGAGCAGGAGGTGTTCTGGTGAACTTCTGATTCCTGCTACGAGCCGATGCAAGGATCATATACGTGATCATGGACTTCCCGACGTTTCTCGCCTTAGCGAGATTCGGACGTCTTCATCTCTGGATGGAGAACTAATTCAACAACTGACTAGAAGAGATGCATTGGTGTAGCATACTCCGGAGTAGAATTGATTGGAGATCCAGAGGCCTCAAATACCAGAATTATATGATGACGACTGCTGCTACAATTCATACGAATCTCACTCAACTCGCCGGCCGATTGAGATGCCGGATCCAAAGACAGCCGCGAGGATAGTAGTCTTGACTGGCGAATGGGTAGCTTTCATTGACTCCACGCTATTTTGCTTTTGTTTTCCCTTCCCGTGATAAATACATCCATGGACACCATCATAAGTAGCGTAGCCGACTGTGACCGAATGCAAGTCCTTTTCAGCATCTCCGTTCTTCCAGTCAAGAAAGAAAAAGTTGGAACCCGTAGGAGAATAGTCCGATCAAAAACAATCATGCAAAATTTATCCCGTCACAGCACTAAATTAGTACTTCTTGCCCTGGCGCAGAACATCACCGAACTCCTCCAGAGGGCTCCGGATGAGCTTAGTCTCCTTCCACAGGTTGGGGGTGAGGAAACCGTAGGTGTTGACGACGGCAAGGAAGGTAGCCTTGAGGGTGTTCTCGAGGGTCTTGGTAGAGCCGGAAGACGAAGTGTAGGCGTCCTGGACACCGGCAAGCTGGAGGAGACGCTTGACAGCGGGGGAGGCAACGAGGCCGGTACCACGGGGAGCGGGGATAAGCTATTGATCGGGTTAGATCCTTCAAGACACCCTACACAATTCGGGAATCGTTTTCAATCGGAAACGTACTCTGACGGAGACGGAACCACACTTGGCGCTCTGCTTGACGGGCAGAGAGTGAGGCTCACCGAGGTTGGTACCCCAGTAACCTCTCCGGACGGGCAGAACGCTGAGCTTGGCAATGGTGATGGCGGCACGGATGGCGGTAGCGACTTCCTTGGAGGTCTTGATGCCGAGACCGATATGGCCCTCGGAGTCACCGATGAGGACAACGGCCTTGAAGCGGGTACGCTGACCGGCACGGGTCTGCTTCTGGACGGGCTTGATCTATATTATTCGATAAACCATCAGCAACTGCGCAATTGCAACTCCTGTATTCTCGTCCCGCAAATCGTTCATTTCCCATCATATCGAAAAACCCCCCATTCCTCCTTTCCCCAGCACAATTGCCCTAGACGACATCGCGAATGAAAATTTGTTTCGTTTCGTACCTTCATGACCTCATCCTTGAGCTTAGGAAGGAAGAAGTCGACGATCTGGTACTCCTTGACGGGCAGAGAGTGCAGGTAGATCTGCTCCATGCTGGTGATCTTGCCGGCCTTGACGAGACGGCCCAGCTTGGTGACGGGCTGCCATTCCTTCTCCTGCTCCTTCGCGCCGCCGCGACGGCCACGACGACCACGGCCACGGCCACGGTCACCACCACGGTCACCACCACGGTCACCGCGCGAGCCAAATCCTCCACGTCCACGGGGAGCGGCGTCAGCCATTTTGTCTGTTGATGGCGATTTGAAAAATGAACCGGGGGGAGAGGTGTAACGGACGGGAGGTGTCGTTCGGAGGGGTTGTCGACGTCGAGGTTGACTTTTCTCGCTATCCACAGCTGTTTTGGGCGGTACGAAAATTCGCTGGGCGGGTGTGCTAAGCGAGTCAACAAGCCCTACGGACGGAAACCCTATACCCTAGCAAGGAACACCAAAGAGGTAAGCTGATTGGGACCCGCATCATGTGACGGGTGGATACTGGACAGCTCTCTTACAGTACAGTAAGGTAGACTCTGAGTCTTTTTGGACTTTTGAGATGTCCTCCTCCAATAGTATTGCGGGCGTGGCGCTGATTTGTCCATGTTTTGCTCTTTTGGGTATTGATCGCGGTCGCAATGCTCTTATCGGTGTAAGAGTCGAGACTTATCAACCACTTCCCATGTCGCGCACCTGAATCTGAGATTCTTCTATCTTATCCGGTGTATACATCATCGCTCTGTTTCTCTCTTGCTGTCATCGGGGAAACTGTATTTTGATCTGTCCTGATCGCATCCGTGTCAATAAGATTTATCTTGCCTCTTTCACAAAATGTTGCGGTGGTATGCCTCTATAGAACAGCACTTCCTCTGATTCTTAATAAGAGGTGCTAAAGCTCTGTTCTAGGTATCAAGCTAAGCTGGCTAAGCAGCCCATCCTCACTTCCAGTATCACCAGTGCTGTATGATTGCCTTTTCTGCGTCACAGACTATGGTCTTGTTCTAACAGAGGATAGCTGCTTTTCGGTTGCGGAGATGTCCTAGCGCAGCAGGCTGTTGATCGTAAAGGCTTTGAGAAGCATGATTTTGCAAGGACCGGTCGGATGGCTCTATACGGTGGAGGTGAGCCGCTGTTCTCCTATGCCATTGCTGTGGCTTCATTCTCGAGATCGTCTATGAAGAAGCGTGGCTGATTCGGAGACAGCCATATTCGGACCGGCTGCCACTACATGGTATGCATTTCTTCAACGGAACGTCGCCTTGAAGAGTTACAAGGCTACTATTGTCGCCCGTGTCATTGCAGACCAGGCCATCTTCACACCCGCCCACCTCACCTGTTTCCTGACATCCATGGCAATCATGGAAGGCACCGACCCTATCGAGAAATGGCGCACCAGCTTTGTTCCCAGCTACAAAGCCAATCTCTCAATCTGGCCTTTCGTTCAGGGCGTTAACTTCTCAATTGTTCCCCTAGAGTACAGAGTCTTGGTTGTCAATGTGGTCAGCTTGGGTGAGTCTTCTATCTCTACAGGTTTACTGCATGCTTGCTAATATTTCCGGACTAGGCTGGAACTGCCTTCTGAGCTTGATCAATAGCGGCGAAAAATGAGTTTCTTTTCTTTGCAGGCGTTGAAGATACATTCCACTGTACAACTACCCCAATGGCTTCGTCCATTCTGTTTCATCGCTGGTTGGGTAGGGCACTTTTTCTCTTTTGGCATGGGTGCATATTTGATGTTTCATCGGTTCAAGCGAGCGACATCCGGTTTTTGACAGCCTCCTTGTTTTGAGGCTATTCTTCATCAGTATTATTTGGGTCTTGATCGTGCTTGGTTTCCGACAAGGCCATTGGGGAACGCGGCGCACTCTCCCTTATGATTCACCTTTGGTTCATTTCATCTTTAATTAAATATAGATAACTAGACGATGGAAATAAAACTCAGTGTTCCAATTTACTTACTCCTTGACCCGAACGACGGTAACTATTTGGGCGGGCGTCGTTGTTAGGGTTCAGATCTGATGGCCTATTAAAGGCCCAGAAAGGGAGCGTGTCCCAAACAGGTAAAGTAGCAGTTCCAAGCTACGGCATCTCCAAACGCTTCAAAACTTCATTATTTCTTTCGCAAGCCTCCAACGCCGCCCAACACGACCATCGCCGTGATACTGCCTGGAGCAGACAACTGATAACTGCGTGTTTTCTGCGCATATCCCGATCCTCTTCCGCCTCGCCTTCACGAAACTCTCACCTCTGGATCGCTCCTTCCCCGCGATCCTGGTAAAATTTGACTTAAAGACGCACCAAGGGTTTTCTTCGCCCCTCCGACAACCCAGTCATCTCTCTCCGGTGCCCAAAAACCGCATCAGCTTAATTCTCACCCATTCATCACCTTTTTCTTGATTCTTTGACACCACGATCATAATGGCTGCAGTCGCTGAGAACGGACCTGTACCGGTAAACGACGAGAACACCGCTCCCGTCGCCGCCACCGAGCAGAATGAGAAGACCGAGCAGACAAATGGCGACACTGTCACAGTGTTCCACGACCCCGAGAACTTCAACGTGAAGCATCCTCTCATGCACGAATGGACACTCTGGTTCACTAAGCCTCCCAGTGGCAAGGTATGGGACCGACGGCGACCGGTGTGATGATATAACTTTTAACTTTTGACCTGCAGGGAGATAACTGGAACGATCTGCTGAAGGAAGTCGTGACATTCAACTCGGTGGAGGAGTTCTGGGGTATCTATGTAAGCTATTCACTCTTCGAAGTTCTGGCTATGAGACATGCTGACTCCGTTCTCTCTCTTTCATCAGAACAACATCTCGCCCACTTCTGAGTTGGGCCTCAAGGCAGACTACCATCTTTTCAAGAAGGGCATCAGACCCGAATGGGAAGACCCCCAGAACAAGCACGGTGGCAAGTGGTCATACCAGTTTAAGGACAAGCGCTCGGTACCTATTGATGATCTCTGGCTGCACGCCCAACTGGCAGCTATCGGTGAGACTCTCGAGAACGATGGCGACAGTGAGGTTATGGGTGTTGTTGTGAACGTGCGTAAGGGCTTCTATCGTGTCGGTCTATGGACACGGACGGTTGGCAAGAGCATTCCCGGAGACAAGAACGGCCGGACGCCCGCTCAAGGCAAGGAAATTCTCGAAAACATTGGTCGGCGCTTCAAGGAGGTTCTGCGCCTCAAGGAAGCGGATGTTGTCGAATTCTCGGGCCACACGGATAGTGCACACAGCGGTAGCACCAGAGCCAAGGCGAAGTACACTGTCTAAGCGACCATCTGGACAAAACGCCTCTATTGACTTACAATTGCTCCAAAAGAATGTCTTTCCTCTTGTGATGGGATGATTGGGATTTCTGCGATTACGGACGATGATGAACAAAGTGATAGCATGAGGGACGGATTCACGGGGAGAGACAACCCCTACGCCTGACGTTGGTTCTACGCATTTCGCAGTTCTGGCTGGATTGTAGCTGCTGACGATTTGTATCTTATACTCAAAACGCCTTTCTGACGAGTTTTATACCAATTTCCTTCTGAGGTTCCACCAAATGAAGAATAAAAAAAGCAACAAAAGCCCACCTCATTTCACTTTTATATTCGGGCTCGGTTGACGTCCTGACTTTCAAGTTGAACAGTTTTATAGATATTAGATACGATTTAGCAATAATGATTCCACTATCATTTGTCTCTTCTTCTCTTCTTCTTCTTCTTCTTCTTCTTCTTCTTCTTCTTCTTCTTCTTCTTCTTCTTCTTCTTCTTCTTCTTCTTCTTCTTGTCAGTCTGGATTTTCGGGCGATGAATGCCTAAAGGCGAGGTTTAAAACTCGTCATAGTAACGTCTGTAAAACAACAGGCTACACTCAGCATCACTGTTTTGTGATGCATTCGCTCATTGTGAAGCCGATAGGCAGCCATCCAGACCGCTAGACATTTGCTGCCTTGTGTATAATCCTCGACATTTATATCCATCAATTCTTCTCCCTCGCTCGATTCCTTTCTTCTCCTCTTCAACTCCCTCTTTTCCCTCTCCTATACCCATCCATCACTCTTATATTAACACACCCCTCCCACCATATCCAGCACACATGCCCCCATGCAACCACGCCCACTACCAACCCCCTTTCCTTGTCTCATAGTTAGATCTATTCTGAAAGTTCTCTGGTCCTTTGGTCGGGAGGTTAGGTTGGGCCAGAGGCATGCCATCTGCTGTCATCTACGTGCTACTTATACCCCCTTCTCTCTGATCTATTCTGCCATTTATACACTATCTATTGTTTGGATCTAGTCTGAAAGTCCTCTGGTCCTTTGGTCGGGAGGTTAGGTTGGGCCAGAGGCACGCCATCTATGCTCTATCTATCCTTTGAATCTAGTCTGGAAGCCCTCTGGTCCTTTGGTCGGGAGGTTAGGTTGGATCAGAGGCATGCCATCTATCCTGCCATCTATTCTATATATACTTTTTACGGCCTCACCTAACTACTTCAGTGTTCACGGCTATCTACCGAATCTACTACTTTCGAGGACCTGTGGCCCTCGGTTGGGTGGTTGGGCTGGGCCTGGGACCTCTCTCTTGACATCTACACTCTCTATATATATATATATATATTTATACTGCGTACGGCCTCAGATCCTATTCCGACTTTACGGCTATCTTTCGAATCTACCAGTTGGTCCTTGGTTGGGCCAATGGCATGCCATCTATCTGACATCTAGTGTACATAAACCATTTACGGCCTCACGATCTCTCTCCCGACTTCTACTGACAGCCGTCTATCTATCTCTCGAATCTACTACTTTCGAGGACCCCATGGCCCTCGGTTGGGTGGTTGGGTTGGGCCTGGGACCTCTCTCTCTTGACATCTATCTATCCATTTACTTGTCATTCGTATGGACCTGTCCTCTGGCCTTCTTGTTCTTGATTTCTTGAGACTTTGTTGCTCAGCCATCGACTCGCTGCTGAGCCCCACTGACAAACTTTTTTATAGGAACTCCGGGCCCTTGGTTGGGTGGTTGGGTGGGCCTGGGATATCGTCGAGATATTACTAGTGATACATCTATCAGGTCAGTTGATGCTCATCCAATTCCGGGTTATGCGAGAGGCAGTTGGCTAAGTCTATTATATCTACGCTGAGGTTCGAGTCCGGGTTGCGCGTTGCTGGATGGCATGGTTGATGTCTGTGGTTTTGGATTGGTTTGATTCGGTACATGTCTGAGTACGTAAGTGGTCTTGCTTCTTTCAAGTAAGCTGAAGCAATATTGCTAATTGGGCCAGATGGGGAGATAGTAGGTGGGTATCGATATTCGCTGGGAGGAGAGTCTTTGGCTTGCTTCCGGGCAAGGTTAGGTAAAATGGTCTGCTTCTCTGTCGTGTTGCCTTACTCGTCTCCCGACTGTCCCCTTCATCATTTGGGATTTATATCACCAAGCCATCCTTGATCTGACCAACAAGTATCGACTGGGGATAGTCCACGTTTGGAAACGAATATTCTAAATCCCAATCCTCCCGACTGACGAAGATATATGTTGATCGACTGTCTAGACGTAGGTAGTATACGGATTATGAAGCTGAAGAGGTGCCGATGTCGGACACGGCGGCTGATATACTATGACTCACCACAAGCAGCCTGTTTGTCCCAGAGCCCAGGCCTACGAGAGGCTTTGAAAAATATCGATGCATCAGCCTCAGCGGACTGCCAGCCTGCCGGAAGATGTCCGGAGTATGTAATGGAATCGGGGAGTTCATGCTTTCTGTTCGACATGACACAACGCGGTTGTCATGGAGAATACAGCGATGGCGAGCTCCGAAGGATTAATTTGATAATCACGAGTGTTAATTCGTCAAGGCTTGACTAGGACCCTTGACTCATTGAACAATCTGACGGTGAACGGCTAAGTCAATGACTCGATAATCAGGTCGTCTGCGTCGGCAGTGGGGAGCCGATGAGGGACCAATACATGAATCGTGATTCGTGACATGGTCAATGGGCGTGATCGTCGAACGGACGGGCTCCGTAGTTGGTTTAGAGTGATCTTCATCTCATCAGCTTCTTTAGCCACATCGAAGTGGCCGTGAAGTGGAGGATGCCGACGAAATGCCGCAGGGGCAGGGGAATTTAAACCAGCTCCGATCTAGAGGACGGGGTCGATCCCACGTCTGTGTCCTAGATAATATGCCAGGGCCCAGGGTCAATCTGACATGCAGATCATCATGCAAGCCGCAGACCAACAGGAGAAGCAAGTTCAACCAGTTATCTATTGGATGGGAACGGCATGGATATACCAGTTGTGAATCCTCCCATCCCAATCCAATCAAGCAATATGTGATATAGTTTGAATCTGGAATAAAGTAGATAGCTACTACTGCTGGCACCTCGCGCCTGCAGTGCATACTCCCAAGACTTATAGCCAAGAAGTCAAGAATGCCCAGAGTCTTAACACTCCCGCCGTCGCGCAGCACTCGTGTCTTTACTGGCACACGGCTCCAGGAGAGAAACATTGACCTCTACAGCGATATCTCTTGAGTGACATTGGCCTATCTCTTCATCTCAAAGGCCACCCGCCACGACACGAGACTGTTGGCAGCCACGATTTGATGAGGTTGGTGTGCCACCCCCGTCACACTGACAGGCAGGCCGTAAATACGATGATAGCAGCACGCCCTTGGCGGGCGGTGGAGGCGATGGTCAATAGATCGGCATCACCAACCGGGCGACCGGGACGAGAAGATTAGGGCGTGAGTGGCCCTGATGAGGCCGTGCATTGGACAGAACGGATGGCTAATAAGTACACAAGCTTGCGATGAGCACGCAAGCGATGACGGACCGGGGGTGGTGGAGGAGGGCGAAGTCGGAGCGAGAGCGGCCTGGCTGATAAGGTTGGAATACTTAACCCGCGTGGTCGCTTCCCCTGGAGCTGGAGCTGTGGACGGTTGTCCTGCGTGAGTCCGTGGATTTTTTTCTTTTTTTTTCTTTTTCTTTTTTGTCTCATCGATTTGAAGGTTGAGAAAGAAAGATCCCAGAAGAATTCAGAAAGCTGTTTGCTAAATCCCTTGCGAATGGATGTCGGAAACTTGGACCTACTCTCTCTTCTTGCCCTATGGGTTACGCAGGACAGAGGAACAACAATCAATGTCTTGATGAACACTTGACTAACACAATGACTGGCACATGCCCACTAACCGCTGTCCAGACTCCAGGACCCCCTTTTTCTCATATCATTGAACCTGTTCTGAGTTCTGAGTCTGAGTCTGACCTCTGACCTTTGACCGATCGGAAGTCCGATGGAACTCCAGTCCTGCCCGTCTCCACAGCCGACCTGCTGCTCAACGACTCGACGATTTAGTACCGCGGCTGGCTGGTCCGACGCACGCGGTGCATAGAACAATAAATAACACGCACAGTTCTGCTGCCGTGAGCCTGTGAGCTGTCTTGTGAGAGTTCCTGGGGTGACAGGTCAACCGGCCATTGGCTGTTATTTGTACATTGTCTCCCAGATCGGATGGGGCCACACCAACGAGTCAACGACAACTATCTATGTGGATGGTGCCCTCCGCAACCTGGGGTAACGTTACAAACGTGCAGGGGGCGACAGGATATGGATCACAGATGACCATTACTATGGAGTGATTATGGAGTGATTATGGAGCATGGAGAGATCAGGTCGAGTGTTCGAGTGTCGAGATTCGGGAACTGTTCGCCGACTGGGAGAATGGAGATGGACTTCATGGTTCTAAGACCTGACCATTGACCGTGCATCTCTCTTATCCCCAACTTCCCAGCCTCTTTTGCCGCTAACCAATTGGTCCCACCGGTTATCAAAGGATGCTGATTGATTGATTGATTGATTGCTGACTACAGGGAATTCGTGATCGCAATGGCCCAGTATTTGTTTAGTTTCGATTGCTGATGCTGGTGCTGATGCTGATGCGGGGAGATCCGACGTTACAGTGAGGCACGTCCGGAGTACTAACTACTTTGAATACGAGGTGTCATAGTGAGGGATTTGGCCCATCATTGCTGTCTACCTTACCTTAAGATATCTATCTATGTCCTGATGGGTTGATGAGCGCGATACTGATGGACCGCTGCAGCTGCGAATGAAAGAGGCCGTGCTTATCTTTTCTTCCCACCCAAATCGGCCCTATATCAATCCCCGGTCAGCTTTTGCAACATTTATGTTACCTAATTTCCGGATACCGTTTGATCCCTGGTGGCAACCGAGCGAACCATACCACCCAATCATCTTTCATTCCCGTGGCGGCGGAAAATTCATGACTGACCTTACATGCTCGGTACCTCAGTCGGTAGTACAGTATTTTACGGGATGTTATTATATTTGATTCATTTTTTTGGGCACGCGATTCGAATGGAACTAAGGTTTGTGAAGGGAATTTCGGATGATACGGCGGGGGAGAGGGAGGAAGGGAACCGATTTTTTTCTGTCTGTCAATCCTCAATAATCTTTTTTTTTTTTTTTTTTGTACTGGGCGTTGGCGTCTGGATGCCACGGAAGAAAAGAATGTGAGACAGACAGAGAGACAGAAAAAAAAATATGCTATTATCAGTTCAGAAAGATGAGTCCTTCATGTCATTTTCGTACGACTATTTCTCTCTTCGAATTTCGATGATTTGCTGCTGATAACAGAGATGGATGCTATCTACTTTACCAGCGTGTGCCTGATTGCCTTGTCTTGCTCCAGTGGATCCAGCTAAATGCACGAGAGGCGAACAGGAATTCCATTTCTTCCAGGGCAGTATCGGGTACGTGTCTAGTACCAATCTTACCGTACAGAGTACGGAGTACAAAGACTTAGGTACAGACCCCGGTACCTTCCATACTAAGTAGTACTAACTACTAAGTCCTCAGTGCTGGTTGGCTCCGACGAGCTTGAACTAAATAGTAGAACCAATCCATTGACGGAATCTTCGCCTTCGAGAAGCAACATCAAGGGCGGTCCATCCCGGTCCCAGCCAATCATCATGAGTGTTGGCGCGGTACTCGGCTGATGCTTAATACTTGCTTGTCATTTCTTTGCTCCAACTTGTGAGGTTACATCGCTCCCTTCCGTCGCCGCGCCAAGTGATCTTTTATTTTATTTTTTTCTTTTTTCCTCTCTTTCTCTGTTCCTCTCGGATGAATAGAATTATTATGAATAATCAAATTCGCCTCGCTAGAACGGGGACTAACTATGCCACTATGGCACCTGGGAGTGGGACAATGGGACCGGGGACATGGGAGTCCCATCAGTTTTCCAACAGACCACTCACCAAACGGGGAGTCCTTTCTAATCTCCGCCGATCGTTGCTGACCAGGGTCGCCTGAATCAGAAGGACAGACGGACAAGAGAGACAGAAAGAGGAAGAGATAAGAAGGTCCCGCCTTGACATATCCTTTCCGCCCACCGAGTATAAGGTCGTGTCGTCTCCCCCTTCTGCGCTTCTCCTCCGCACGACCTTCGCGAGGATTCAACTAGCCCAGCTTTTCCCCCTCCCCCCGGCTTGGGCTCATATTTCCAACATGTCTACCAGAGATCACGAGGTTGAGGCTACTCAGTAAGTCTCACCAATGCTTTCCTTCTCTCATTAAATTCCCCTTTGTGTTTTCCCACAGCGCCTGACTATTTCTGCGTTAGACCTCACCAGGACAATTTCGTCTCCGAAGCTGCGCTGAACGAGAAGGATAACTTCTCCGTGGAGAAGGCTCTCGCGGACACCCCCGATGGCGAAGAGCCCACTGAGGAGGAGTCCAAGAACCTGCGCCATGTCGCCGAGAACCTGCCCGTCTCCGCCTGGCTGGTCGCCGTTGTCGAGTTGTCCGAGCGTTTCACCTACTACGGCATGTCCGGTCTCTTCCAGAACTACGTCAACAACCCTCTAGATGGCAGCCAGGGTCGTGGTGCTCTGGGTCTGGGTCACCAGGGTGCCACTGGTCTGACCACTTTCTTCCAGTTTTGGTGTTACGGTAAGACAAGTTCACCCACGTGGAGAAAATTCCCCGTTGTCGCAAGTCACTGATGACCCGGGGGGTTAGTCACTCCTATTCTGGGTGCCGTCGTCGCCGATCAGTACCTGGGCAAATACAAGACCATTGTGCTCTTCTGTATTGTCTACTTGGTTGGTCTGCTTATCCTGGTCTGCACTTCCATCCCCACCGCTCTCGAGCACGGTGCGGGTCTGGGTGGTTTCGTTGTCGCCATTCTCGTCATTGGTCTGGGAACCGGTGGTATCAAGAGTAACGTCGCTCCTTTGGTATGCAGACTCCCCTCTCCATCTGTGGGCCCCAAGACACAAACCTTCATACTAACGATATTTCCTCCCAGATCGCCGATCAGTACAAGCGTAAGAAGATGGCTATCTCAACCACCAAGAAGGGTGAGCGCGTCGTCATCGATCCCGCTCTGACCATCCAGCGTATCTACATGATCTTCTACGGCTGTATCAACCTGGGCTCTCTGTCGCTGCTCGCGACCCCCTACATGGAGCGTGATGTTGGCTTCTGGTCCGCCTATCTGCTCTGCCTGTGCATGTTCGCCTGCGGTACCCTCGTGCTCATTGTGGGCCGCAAGTACTACGTGGTCCGCCCCCCACAGGGCTCGGTCATTACCGATGCCTTCAAGGCCATTGGTATCATGATCGTCAACCGCAACATGGATGCTCCCAAGCCCAGCTGGCAGGCCGCCAACGGTGGCACCCGTACCAACCTGCCCTGGGACGACCACTTCATCGACGAGGTCAAGCGTGCTCTGGTCGCCTGTCGTGTCTTCAGCTTCTTCCCCATCTACTGGGTCGTCTACGGCCAGTTCTCCGGTAACTTCGTCACCCAGGCCGCTCAGATGCAGGGCCACGGTATCCCCAACGATCTGATGCAGAACTTCGATCCCATCTCCATCATTGTCTTCATCCCCATCCTGGAGACTTTTGTCTACCCTCTGATGCGCCGTATGCGTATCCGGTTCCGCCCCATCACGCGTATCTCGCTGGGTTTCGTTGTCGCCTCTCTGGCCATGATGTACGCCGCCATTGTGCAGCACCTCATCTACTCGGCTGGTCCCTGCTACGACCAGCCGCTCTGTGCCGCCTCCGAGATTGATGGCACCGCGTTCGGCAACAATGTCCACATCGCCATCCAGACCCCCGCCTACGTGTTCATTGGTATCTCCGAGATCTTCGCCTCCGTCTCCGGTCTGGAGTATGCGTACACCAAGGCTCCCCCCTCGATGAAGTCGTTCGTGCAGTCCATGTACCTGCTTACCAACGCCTTTGGTTCCGCTCTGGCCGAGGCGCTGACTCCCGCGGCCTTCGACCCCGCCATTCTGTGGATGTTCGTCGGTCTGGCTTGCGCTTCCTTCCTTGCCGGTATCCTGTTCTGGTTTGTCTTCCACCACCTCAACGCGCAGGAAGACGACATGAACAAGCTGGACGCCGACGACCCGGATGCGCCTCCCGCCCGCGTGGAGCAGGAGAAGCAATAGAGTTGTTGATTGATTCCCCCTCTTCTTCCTGTTTGTGATTTCCTTGTATAGTAATGTTTTTTTTTTTTTTTTTGTTTTTTCCTTTCTCGTTTTGAACTCTTAATGTCTTGGATATTATAAACGCCGGACGAGCTCTAATCCGACCCCGCGCGGGCCCGCGTCATAGCACCTGCTGCGCAGATGTGAGCGAATGAGATAGATGTACATAAATGAGATACGTTATGACGTTTATTCCCTTGCTTGCTTATTGCTGTAGTCCATGATGAATTATGAATGAGCCTCAGATTGATCCCAAACACTTGAATCACTGGATAGATACATCTTAATCACTGCCCTACAGGCACCGCAGTAGCAGACGCAGTAGGTATCCGCCACGCGAGCAGCGGATGGATACCTCGCGACACAACTCTGGCCTTACTAAGTTACCTTATCTTGCTCCATACCCATGACAAAAAATAATCGCTAATCACCAGATCCCGATGAGGGAGGGAGGGCCGGATGGGTACGATGGGTACGGGTGGATTCATTCTATCTGGCCGGTAGAAGACAACCTCTACGCGTTCTTCAGGCATGTTTCATTATTACCTATATTGATAGCCGATAGTACCACTCCACCAGTCCACCAGTCCAGTGAGTCCACCAGTCCACCAACGGTAGATTGATCCCACCATAGAGGAATAGGCACGGAATTACGGACATGGTAGACATGATCCATGGAATATTAATAGTGATTAGTGAGTAATGAGTACGGATAGCTCTTGCAGAGTGCAGACGCTGTACTCCGTAACACAAACCACAAACTCGAAGGTTTTTTTTTTTTTTTTTTTTTTTTTTTCTTCCCACTTGTCCACTAATCAAGCTTGGCTTGGCAGGAGTCCCAGGTGGAAGCTTTTTGTGAGGAGGATATTTGATTGACTTGACTTGGTCCAGTCTTGCTTGAATTATTATTGCTCCGTATTCTCATTCAACTACAGAGTACGGATAGATACTAAGAATCTTATGAATTGGAGGATTTCATTCCGTGTTGTGTGTTGTGCCAGTGTATATCTAGTATCTCCCACACTTGCAGATACTCAAACTACCCTGTTTCTAATAAATATATGGTATAGATATGGAGCATATGCTTGGGGAATTTCAAGGAGTAGTGATCACTGATCACACTTGACTTTGAGCTGTCATTCTCTCCTAGGTATAGACTACGGAGTAGATAGGCTAGTCCTGTACTGTACTCCTGTGAGGATATGAGGATATGAGGCCCTTGGGTTCCTCCGCTTCATGTCCGGTTTGTACCACTAGACCAGATAGTCGCTACCAGTACCATCTCTGCGCTGAATGACACCGAGCTATTATTGCTAGAGTTTAGATAGAGCCCAGAGTCCAAAGCGAATTTTCTTTTCTTTTCTTTTTTTTTTTTCAAGGTTCCGGGATCTCACTGACTAGTAGTGGCTCGTGAGTCGTGAGTAGTAGTAGTCAGGTAGTCAGGTAGTCAGGTACGGAGTGTAGACCACGAGTACGAACCACGAAGTACAAAAAACTACGGATATGGATAAGGATATGGATCCCGGAGACCAAACTTTCAAACTCGAGGGAGTGATAGTACGGAGTACGGAGTATACCTGGTTCGTTCCTCTCGGCTGGAAGTTCGGCATGCTCGTTCTAGATCTTTTGGCGGTTCAGTGATCGGGTGTGGGATTCGGTAGAGTTCCAGAACTTCGAGTCTTTGGAGTATCGGTTTCCCCCCCCGAAAAGATGGAGATCAGTTTGTTACGCTCGGCATTGGCATTGGCGTTGGTTTTGATCTGGGGGTGCTGGGGTGGCGTGGGATGTAGAGTGGTTTATGATGGATGGGTAGGAAAAGGCATGCGGTAGATAATGCACGCCAGCACAGTGGGTGTATAGTTTAATAACTGTGGAATGAGCTTCTTCCGTCTCCAAGCGTCAATTGTAAATGCGATCTTGATGAGAGACAGCGATGTTAGTCGAGAAGCTTAGCACGCACGCCACTATCTATCTATTCAGATGTTTGAGCTATGATACTGCCTTTCTGCCGTGGGAGTTCCTAGCAATATGGGAAACACTTGACGGTACAGGTTTGCAGACATATTATCATCTAGACGATATTTCCACTGGAGCTATTACTGCCGAACACGTTTGTGTTCGTGCTGGTCATAGTTTTCAAGGGAAGTGCCCTTGTCTCCCCTGAATCGGTTTGAGACCATCGCAGCAGGAGAGTCGAGTGCAGGCCAGTAGGAATATACACAGAAGGTTATATTTCTGAGCTTAGGGAGGGCAGGCTACCCCCACTCTCATCGCTCTGGTACCGAGGCGAAGAAATTGTTAGGAAGTAATCGATGCTTGAACGCGTTAAGAGTCCTGTGGATGCAACAGGCAGAGACAGACATAGCCAATGTGTCAAACTCAAAGCTTAGAACGGTCAAGCCACATAACTGGGCTGTGAGCTAGAGGATTGCTAAATATAAGCCGAGCCCAGGCAGAATCCAAGCTGGAGACCATTCAGAACGTCGCAAGGCCCCCGAAGGCTGAAGGCGAAGCAGCAGATTGTTACGTGAGTGGATGGAAGTGTTGTGGCAAGTGCAACTAAACCCACCTCTTCGTGCATGATTGACTGACTGACTCATCAGGGTCTGAGCCTCTGAGAAACCCACCTCCAGCAAGAAGTGGCTAGACTGGAGTACTCCAACTCCAAGGGCTCGGGGAGACTGTGCTGTGGCTATGTCGCATGAGGTTCCGACTGCGAGACAACAGAAAGTGGCATGAACTTGCGATGTATCAACGAGAGATGCAGATGACACAGCAATTAGACAGCGGAAATGAATCGACTGCTCCGAATGGAGGTGATCCAGTGATAGGCCAGTCGTGCAGAATTTTGACGCTGTTTAGCTTCTGTGGGGAAACGGTGCAAGGGACAGACTCGTCAGTCGTCACTCGTGCCAGTCATGAAGTGGGATGCTGGAGGATGGAATTAGTATCTAGTAGTATCTACTACTACTAGGAAGAGAGGTTCCCTCTAGTAGTAGTCTAGTTGTATCTATTGAGCTGTTCTGATTCTGATGGTCCATCTTGCCAGGCTAGGCTCTGCTCTAGTCTTGTATTCAGAATGCCAGATTGCATGGCTATGAATGCCTGGATAACATAACGATGACGTACAGACTCAACGTCTGTCATACTCATAGACAAGGCAAACTTCATCCCATCTTCTCCAAATCTTTCTGAGTTCCCAGCTACCGGCTCTACCGTACCGCAGGCATTGTCGCCGGATGCCGGAAATGGCAATGCTCGGGATGGGCGGGATACGAGCTGGCCAGAATACTGCCTCAGTATGGGAGAGGAAGAGCTTGAAAGGCAACAAGAATACCATGTCTTGGAGAGCTGGATTCTGGGAGAACTGGGAGGAGTGAGGTTCTGATATTCTGATATTTATGTCACTATCTTGATAACGAGGTGAAACAAAACCATCACCACTAGACTATCTCTCTAGTTTCCGACCGTGGTGTTTCAGCGTTTCACAGCGCTTCATTTGGCAGCGAAAAAGGGGACTGGATGATCATCCACTCTGGTCTGTGCACGGCGCAGCATCCAGAAGCCCCCTACTCATCTCATCTCAAATATGAACATAGCTAGATAGAATCAAGTAGCTTCAGATACGAAGGAGTAGCCAATATACCTATTACCTACAGAGAAGGATCTTGCAAAGAAAAGCATCTCACGCGGTCTCTGGCAGAGAACCTCTACAGCTTCATAGGCCGTCAATCTATTGCGTATAGCCGCCTGATCGTCATCACTTTTCTCTTAATTTTATTTTTACATAGTCAGTCTTTGCCGTTTTGCGGACCCAGAACTGAACACTGGACTCTCAAGCATTTCCGAAGGAAGTTCAGAGCCACTCAGCGCTTCCTGGTGAGAGATTGAGTCTGTTCTTAGCTGTCCGTCCGCCACAGTAGTCTGTAGTTACTATTCGGATTGACTGCTCAGCCGCGTTGTCTTGTCTCACACGGTCACACCCCCTCGATCATCTTATTCATTTCGTCTCTGTCTACCAATCGCTCATTTTTTTCCCTTTCTCAAAACCTAAGGGAACGATTCCAATCTTCCACTTCTCCTTTGTTAATCCTACCCTTTTCTTCTTTTTTTTTTCTCTTCCAATTGTTCTCTTTTTTATCTCCTTTACCCCCATTTCTCTATCTCTCTCTCTTCTGCTCCGTACTCCGTTTTTGTCACAAGTCGGGGAATTTGAGTCGAGCTGTCGTCCCGCGCATTTGGTCCAACCGTCAAACTCCTGAATTCCCGAAACTGCGCTCACCCTTGGGAGACCAGACCAGACCAGACTAGACCTCCCTGAAAAAACATAATCCGAAACGAGACTTGTCCGATCCAAACGAGCTTCTTCTCACTTGTTATTCCAATACCAATTCGTAAATATTGACATAATTGCATCATGAGTGTGAGTTCCGCCAGCTGCGACCCCCTTTCCCACCCCCGCGGACTGCGCTTACCTCCCAATGATCATGTACTAATGGTGAGACTGCGTCAAGTATTCAAACTCCGACTACAGCAACTCCCAGGGAGGCTATGGCCAGTATAACCCCTACGGTCAACAACAGAACAATGCCCACGCCGGCCAACAGCAGGGTTATGGCCAATCTCCCTACCAGCAAGCCAACAACATGGAGCAGGGCAATGGTAACTATGGTAGGCCCTATCCGAACGCCAATCTTTTGACGTCTGTTTCCCTAATCTCGATTTTCTCATGCAGAGATGTCCTCGATGGGTGAAGGGCAGCCGTCCGGCCCGACCGCGATGCTGAACAAGTGCAAGGAGATCAATGACGGTATCGCCGACCTGCGGGCCAAGAGGGAGGGCCAGCTCGCAGCCGCACAGAACGCTCTGCTCGATTCCAGCACCGGAAAGGAGGACCAAGCCTCTCGCCAAACCCTGGACTACATCGAAGACGAAATAAACAACGGCTTCCGCTACCTTCGCGACCTCCTGAAGAAGATCAAGCAGACCCCGGGATCCGGAGACACCCGTGTCCAGACCCAAATCGATGTGACCAGCCGGAACTTGCGTCGCGAGATCGAGCAGTACCAGAGGGCCCAGTCGGATTTCCAGAAGCGGCTGCGGGAGCAAGTGCGCCGAAGATACGAGATCGCAAACCCCGGCCTTTCTCCCGAAGAGGTGGAGCAGGGGGTTGAAAATGTCCTCGTGGGCCAGGAGCAGAGTTTCCAGGTGCGACTGCGCAATCTTTTTTTTTTTTTTTTTTTTTTTTTCAAAAACAAAAGCTAGGGACTTGGGACATTTACTTACGCTCTTTTCTATAGGTGACCGGCAGCAGAACCCGTCAGGCCAATGATGCCCGCCAGGCTGCTTTAGAGCGATCTGCCGCTATTCGCAAGATCGAGCAAGATATGATTGAACTCGGTCGTCTGTACCAGGAGGTTGCCGAGCTGGTTCACCAGCAGGAGCCCGCTGTGGAGCAGATCAACCGGGGCGCCGAAGATGTGGTCGACAATGTGCAAAACGCCAATACCCAGATCGATTCAGCTATCAAGAGCGCTCGCAACGCAAGGAAGTGGAAGTGGTACGCGCTGCTGATCATCAGTATGTATCACCCGTACTTTCGCTATCGAAGCACATGATACTGACGCATTTCCTCTAGTTCTGATCATTGCCATTGTTGTCGGTGTTGCTGTCGGTGTCACCCAGGCCAACAAGTCCACGAAATAATCAACCCTTGACGGGTTGCTGCACAATACTGCTCGCACAATATGTCTTTCGACTGCTCATCATGATGTTCTACATATGCGCCCGTTCGATAATATCTGTTTCCTACCCCCGTGCCGCGATATCCCGCGTTCTTTGATCTCCTGTTCCTCCTCGATTCGTCGTGCATGTCCATGCGCAAATGGGGACAATCGCTGCGAAGTCCCAAATCACGACCCAAACAAGCCCCCCTCTTGCTCTGTGACAATCTACCCGTCTCAAATGAGCCGCTCGAGGATCGTTCATTTCCACCCCCGAAGAATTTCCTTGTGTACTTTCACTTATACCACTTCCGTCGCATATCTTCAGTGTTTCTTTATCTGTCACTTTGTTCTCGTTTTTCTTTTGAAAAAGCACGACAGCTTGCAAGTTTCTTCTCATATTCCCTTGGTTCTGTATCGTCGGTGAATCGTGTATAGCTGCTTCATGTCTGGTAATCTGCGACTTGATGGTCCGTCGCTACCTGTTGACTAGGATACGCATGATGCTGTTGCACGTGTACATATTAGATCTGCTTCTCTCGTCGTTATCGTTTCTTGGCGCTAGAATTTATGTAATAATCCAATATTTCTAATTCATTACACTGGTATATGTACACCGAACGGGGAAAGCCTTAAAAGCACATCGGAGTCTGCAGAGCGACCCCATCTACGCCGACGCCGGCGCCTGCGCCCGCTCCTTCTCCCTCTGCTCCTCCTCAGGCGTCTTCGTCTTCAGCTGCAGCGCATGTATCCCACCCTCCCGACTCATCTCCTCCTTCAGCAGGCCGTATACCATCCGATGCCGCGCGGGCTGCATCTTCGATTGGAACGTAGACGAGGTGATCGTAACACTGCAAGACGTCAGCCCAACAGCCCTCATACATACCTTATTCATCCGCAGTCACTCCCCGGGCAGTATTGTAACGTACTGGAAATGCGTCTCCTTGGACGCGACGCCTTGCATCGGGGCATGGTGGGCGTGCTTGTGCGAGTCGTTGCGGATGATGAGTGTGGTGGGCGAGAACGCGGCAGTGACCTATATATGCATAGCATGCGTGAGTGGTCTCATCAAGCGGAGGTAGAAGGTGGAAGGACTCCGTAGGACGAACCTTTTCGCGGATCGTATCCTCCACCGGGGTCATGGACGAGGATGCCATTCTGATGCTGCTGATGGCGGGCAGGCGGCGGGGGAGGAGGCCTGGTCGGCTGCGGAGGAGGAGCATTGACAGACGGGTGAGGAGGAGGTTGTTCTGTGGATTTGCTCGGGGAGGCGAGGTGCTTTCGTTTTTGTCGATGAGAGTTGTATGGTCTGGGGTCTGGATCGTGATGCCGGAGATGCTGTTTTGGGGATAGCGTCGATGGGGGTGTCTGGTGGTGATATCAGGTTTGGTTTGCTCCGCATCTGCGCTGCGGAGTACTTCAACTTGATTCAACTTGATTTCGGGGGTCGGGTCAATTTGTTTTGACTGTCGGAGCAGCGAGGAGACATCTTGTTAGTTTGAATCAATTATCTATCGGATGAGTTCTGGTTGTTCTAACAAGCTAACCCCGATCAATTGTGCAGGTTCCGCTACAGAAACCGCAGAGCTCCGGAGCTCGGTCCATGATATCAACCACCGTGTCGAGCGATTGCTCTAGCACCACTTGATCGCCATCATCAATCTCATCTCGGAGAAATACAGAAGGGAATTGGATGTCTCACATCTGAAGCACTACCTCAATATGCAAGGACGCAATCTGATGTCATTGCTTTCCCGGGGCTCCCCCTCATCTCTTCGGTCCCTCCGAGAGGCATTCGCTTGCAGGCCCCTCACCAGGCGATTCCAAAACTCAGCCACATCAACGGCCCTTCGCTCATTATCGACGCTACCGAACCTGCCTCTCTTCCGTGCGCTCAAATACCACGACCCTTCGAGCCTCGCCGTGGTTCACAGCGCGTCTGCGCGATCCTTCGCATATGGCAATCTGGTCGCGGACGTGCTGCAGGCGAAGGAACAGCTGCTAGCATCTGCGGGGGAAAAGGCAGATTCGCTTGCCGGGGAACGAGTTGCATTTCTGGCGGAGAATAGCTACGACTACGTAGGTACTGTTTCCTACTTTGCCCCGTCCCAGCGCTCCTGCGGCTGTGTGTTGCTAACACGATCCAAGTAACGCTCTTATCTATCCTTGCTAGCAATGCAATTGCTCTTCCCCTCTCCCCGGCTTTTCCTGTCGGCGAGCTGAAGTATATCCTCGACAACTCGCAATCCAAGGTGCTGGTGTCTACCCAGAAATATGCCGATAAGACTCAAGATCTGCTCAAGGCGGGATTAGAGCGGCAGCCTATACTGGAAATTAGAGACAAGGTCAAGGTGGGCGCGGCGGGCTCTGGCTCAGCGACTTTGGAGGACATCGAGAGTGGAAAATCTCTTGGTGGAATGATGCTTTATACGTCGGGGACTACGAATAGACCGGTATGATCATTTCCGCGTTGTGTCTGTGTCTGTTTTGCGGCAGGACGCTAACTACGGGTTAGAAAGGAGTGCTTATCCCGCAGTCTGCACTCACAGCCCAGGCGTCCTCACTTCTACAGGCGTGGAAATACTCGCCCGAAGATCGGTTACTTCACCTTCTTCCTCTCCATCATATCCATGGAACGGTCAATGCCATTATCACGCCCATCCTGGCTGGATCATCCGTCGAGTTCATGTTTCCCTTCAACACCGACGCTGTCTGGAACAGGCTTGCCGCACCATTCCTGCCGAATAGCACAACACCCGACAAAATTACCTTCCTTACCGCTGTGCCGACCATCTACAATCGGCTTCTTGCAAGTTTTCCTGGCCTGCGTCCTGAGGTCCAGGAAGCTGCAAGACAGGGGATCTCGCCGGAGAACCTGCGCCTGAATATCTCGGGCTCCGCAGCCCTCCCGACACCTACGAAACAGGCCTGGCAGGACCTCAGCAACGGCAACGTTCTCCTGGAGCGCTTCGGGATGACCGAGGTTGGAATGGCTATCAGCTGCGGACTCAATTTTGCGGATCGCGTTGATGGAAGTGTCGGTTGGCCGTTGCCATCTGTGGAGGCCAGATTGGTGGACACGGACACGAACGAAGTCATCCAGCCGGGTGAAGAACTTGGCAGCAACGGCCGTGAACGCGAAGGAGAGATCCAACTTCGTGGTCCAACTATCTTCCAGGAATACTGGGCTAATGAAAAGGCCACGCAAGAGGCCTTTGTAGAAAGCGAGGATGGGAAAGGCAAATGGTTCAAGACTGGCGATGTTGCTACTCGGCGCTCCGTGGAAGATGCTGGTAAGGGGACTAGTGGCGAATGGGCGAAGGGGCCGATGTTCTTTATCCAGGGCCGACTGAGCGTCGACATCATCAAGACGGGTGGAGAGAAGGTCAGCGCTTTGGAGGTCGAGAGAGAATTGCTCTCCCTGTACGTCTATCCATCTGAGGCAGCGTTTATCTCTCCGAACTAACCTCTTGTAGGCCCCAGATCACCGAGGCCGCAGTCGTTGGCCTCCCGTCCGAGCAATGGGGCCAGAAAGTTGCCGCGGTTGTCGTTCTCAACCCCGAAGTTGCAGCCAAGACCGGCCGTAATGGCAAGCCTTGGGGCCCGCTAGACATGCGTCGCGCTCTTAAAGACCGTCTAGCCAGCTACAAGATGCCCCAGGAGATGAAAGTCCTCACTGGGCCGATCCCAAGAAATGCCATGGGAAAGGGTAAGTGGTTGACTCTGGTTTTCCCGGCCCCCTTTTCTCCCCGGCTATTGTATCCGAAAATAGGCTGATTTTTGGATTTTGCAGTAAACAAGAAGACCCTTGTCAAGGAGGTCTTTGGTCTTTAGCCGTGTCGGTTCCCATTCTATGGAGCATATATTGTATGATATACATTGATCAACGACTGTACATGTAGAAATCAACCGGGATGTCACAGATTAAACATCTGTATCGGAGTCTTACCGACTGTATCCTGATGAAGAGCGTGCAATCGTATTGCGTCCCGGTATATGTGAGGGATGAAGTGTTTCAGAGCTACTCTCACCCATCCAATTCTTCGGTCCAATGCGCAAAAGGAACGAAGCTAAGAAATATGGAGTCTTCCTGAAGAGTGGGCTCTCTTGTGACGGACTGCTTATATCTATCTATCTGAGACCTGCAACGAAGTTCCTGCCGATCGTCGAATTCTTCCGTCCAACAGACATCTACCATTATAGGACGTCTCGATCGGCAGACTCCGAATCGAGCACGGAGGACTATTATCTTGGAACAATAATCTCGGCGCCTGGTCATTCTCCAGCGAGCCAGTCGGGAAAGTTCTGCAGCGTTTTAGAGCCAGGCACGTTTCAATTTCCCAAGACATTCCCCGGACCCCCAAGTGTGGAGATATCTGTCTGGCACGCTCTTTCCTCGGCTATTTTTCTCCAATCAACAAAGGGTAATCTAATAGACATTGTGAGGAGTGCGACCTTCCTCTTGCTGATCTCAATATGAGATTTTTTGCCTTGAAACAGCCGGAGCAGCAGGGTGATATCTTCACGATTGTCAGCATGAATTGGGAGACCGTAACGGGTTGCGGGCACATTCCGGACTCAAGATGGAATATGCCGGACATCAACAATGTCCTCAGGGCAGCTGTCCTGCATCCTGGTGGGATACGATGTCTATAAAGATGGCGTGTTTTTCCTTTTCTGGCGAGGCTTGAGTTGTGTCAACCACAAGTACAAATCCTTTGATTGGTATCGCAGGCCGATTCCGTCGCAATCATGGTTCGAACCTTCGCAGTGACGGCGCTGGCTCTCCTTCCCCTTGTTGCTGCTCAGCAGATTGGCTCAACTAAGGAGGTGCACCCCCAGCTCACCACCTACAAATGCACGTCCCAGGGCGGCTGCGTCAAGCAAAACACCTCGATCGTGCTAGACTCTGGCTCCCACTGGATCCACGCAAAGGGAGGCGAGGTGTCATGCACGACCAGCAGCGGGCTGGACCCGGCACTTTGCCCGGACAAAGAGACCTGCGCTGAGAACTGCGTGGTCGAAGGCATCACGGACTACAGCCAATACGGTGTGCAGACACGCGGCGACGCCATGCTGCTCCGCGAGTACATCAAGCAAAACAACCAGACCAAAGCGCCTTCGCCACGCGTGTACCTCCTCGACGAGGACGGTGAGAACTACAGCATGCTGAGGCTGCTGAACCAGGAATTCACCTTCGACGTCGACGTCTCCAAGCTACCCTGCGGCATGAACGGCGCGCTGTACTTCTCTGAGATGTCCGCGTCGGGCGGCCGCAGCGCGCTCAACCCCGCCGGCGCTGCCTACGGCACAGGCTACTGTGACGCACAGTGCTACACCAACGCCTGGATCAACGGCGAAGCCAACACCGCCAAGGCCGGTCTCTGCTGCCAGGAGATGGACATCTGGGAGGCCAACGCGCGCGCCAATGCCTTCACCCCGCACCCGTGCAACTCGACCGGCCTGCTGGGCTGCGCCGGTGACGAGTGCAACTCCGTCTGCGATAAGGCCGGCTGCGGCTTCAACCCCTACGCCCTCGGCGCCCGCGACTACTACGGCACCGCCATGACTGTCGACACCACCAAGCCCTTCACCGTCGTCACCCAGTTCCTGACCGCCGACAACTCCACTACTGGCGCCTTGAGGGAGATCCGCCGCCTGTACGTGCAGGCCGGCCAGGTCATCCAGAACGCGGTCGTAAAGGTCGACGGCCGCACCGTCAACTCCATCACCGAGCCCTACTGCGCCTCGCAGGGCGTCTTCGAGGGCCTGGGCGGCCTGCGCCGCATGGGCGAGGCCCTCGGCCGCGGCATGGTCCTCAGCATGAGCATCTGGAATGACGCCGGCGGGTTCATGCACTGGCTGGACAGCGGCAATTCGGGCCCCTGCAGCAGCACCGAGGGCGACCCGTCGCTCATCGAGAACAAATATCCCGATACGGCGGTGACGTTCTCGAAGATACGCTGGGGAGATCTTGGGACGACCTTTGCTACCCGACGTCTTCATTAGGTTTGCGTTATCTGGCTAACCTTGTACATAAGTGTTTTTTCCCTCTTCTCCTGTTTTGGATTTGTACATACATAGCTTCAATACCATGGTGGCTTCAAATCGCTTGCAGTTGAGTTGAGAAGAAAAAAAGTCACATCACAGAATGGGCGAGCCACCATAACCGCTCGTTCGCTGTTTTGCAGCCACTGTATGTGGTAGAGTGCTATCGTACACGCTGATCTATAACTATACATGGCCCGGAAACTGTTCATACAAAGATATATCCGCACGGAGGAAAGAGATGAGAATGAAGCCGACACCCCTTACAACTCCTATCCCCAAAAAAAAGGGAATCTTGTACAAAACATGGACTGACCCATCAGTGACAGTTTAACGAAACTTGTCGCTCGCGTTCTCAAATCTCACCGCCACTCGCCAACCCGTTCAAAATGCTTCAGCACCTGCGTCGCCTCCACGACGACAATCATCCGGGAGAGATCGACGGACGTGATCCTGGCGGTGACGATGCTAAGGATATCGATGTCCGGCATATTTGGCGCGAGGATCTGGCAGCGGACGCCCAGCGACGTGATGACGCCCGAGTATCCCTGGCCGAACTCGGTGCCTGCCATCGGGGTGCTGTTGTACGGCTTGTGGACCAGGCAGGTGAAGGTCTCGGGGAGGTCGCATTCGCCGAAGTAGAAGGCGCGGAAGAGGAGCATGCATGCCCAGAACTGCTTGGATGCGGTGTCGCAGTCTCGGATGCGGTTGGACTTCCAGCGCGAGCGCGAGATGTACTCGTCGACGTCGGCTTGGGAGAATGGCAGGACTGCCGTGTCCTGTGTGGCGTCTAGCTGGCGGCTGTGCTCGTGTTCGAACCGGAGCGCCGCTTCAATCTGGTAGTGGGCGATGAGGTCGATGTATCGCCGGAGGGGACTTGTTGACTTGACGTAGGTGTCGAGGCCAAGGGGGATGTGGGGGACGGGCGTCGAGGACGAGATGCCCTTCGGCGCTGCGTAGTGCAGCCATCCCTGTCCGCCGTAGCCGGCGGCGTTTTCGTTCGTGAGTCTTGGGTACTCGGGGTGGTACCAGGTTCCGTCGTAGACGGCCGGAATGTTACGCTCGGCGCACCACTTCCCGGAGACCCAACAGGCGAAGTTCATCAGGGTGGAGATGAGATTGCGCTTCGTGACGTCGGGCACTTCGTGCGGGTTGGTGTTTCCAGAACGCAGCTGGATGATCGGGTCACCGAGGAAGTAGTGACCATTTGTGACGTCCATGTTGAAGGGTCTCATGGATTCGGTGCCAGGGATAACGGAGACGGACGTGTCGGGTCGCGAAGGCAACTCCATTGCTCCGTTCTTGAGCCGGTATTCTCGAAATGCGAGCATCAGCTTCCGTAACGTATGGAAGGTATCCTGGTCTTCTGGTGTCAGAGTGCTGCGCATCCCCTCGCGCGAGTGCTCCTTGGTAAACTGCCCGCCCACCGCCAAGACTTCAGGAGAATCAGTACTGGGCTCAAAAAGACTTCGCAGCTTGTCATGCGTAATATAGATCACATTCCTGGCAATGCCATTGGCGATCTCTGTTTCAAGAACTTCTCCCTGAAGGTTGATCTTGGCGCTGAATGTGAGGGTGGGACGACCAGGGGCCAAACTGAAGTGGCTCTGCGTCAGCGAGCTGGGAAGCATCGGGTATGTACGCTCCGGGACGTAGAGGGTCTGATTACGCATGGCGGCGTATTCCATGATGGTGCTGTCGCGGTTGACGAAAGCCGACGGGTTGGCAATGTGAATACGTATCCAGAACGTGTCGGTCGAGCCTGGAACGCGTTCCAGGGAAACTCCATCATCAATCTCCTGCGCATCAGGGTTGTCCACGCAGTAGACCGCCAAATCGCCCCAGTCAGTCCGTAGGCTCTCCATACTGTCTGACAGGCCTTCCTTGTTGAGCTTCTCGCACGCTTCCTGAACGTTCTGCCACATCGCATCCGACTTTTTAGAAATGCCATGCCCTGGCAGGGCTAAGCTCTGATCCAGTAACCGCAGATTTTCCCATGGAGCTATTACCCCTAGTTCTTGCAGAAACAATTGTACCGTCGACGCGTTGAGATCGAGGGTCGTGTACATGCCGGTTGCGCGCATGATATAGGAACCTGTCGACCTCAAGCTCCCAGAGGTCATTCTCCTGGGGGGTATGCACCATAGCAAAAGGTATTCGATAATCTTCCGATCGTTGTCGTTAAACGGTTCAGTCGGCATTTCGCGATACACCATGGGTTTTCCATCTTGCCCAGGCTCATACCGCTGGGCTGTCGGACCAACACTTGCCATCGTGGTTGGTGACCGTGCCCTTCTGCTAAGTGCTATGAGACGTTGAGCCTTCTGGAGAAATCTTTGCATGGGATGGTCCGTAATTTTGGGCACATCCCGGCCCGATACCCTGCCTGTCGCAGCACGGAGGAGGTGGTCCTGATGTTCATGCGTCCATTGCACAACTTGATCCAGGACTTTGGCAACTCGCTTAGGTTGAACAAGGTAATGGTTTGTGAACAAGGAACTCCGGTCATTCTCAATAAGAAATGGCTTTCGACGCACGGCCTGATGCACGGCGAAGAGGATCGTTTCATCCAGCTCCTCCTTGTCCTTACCCAGAGCCTTGCAAGCTAGTTCCTCCAGGGTGTACGCCAACCTATCTTCCTCATCTGCCACAGTTTCGTGAATGTTGTCCAATGTTTGCGCATGATCTCGATAGAACTCCTGGAGTTTCGTGTCGAAGTCAATCATACTCTGCAGCAATGGAGCGCCAATCGGTCTCGGCACTCCACCTTCAATGGAGGACTGCATTTCGAAACTCAGTTGCGCAAGCTTGTCCGGGAAGTGTGGCAAGAGGGGAGCAACCAATTCTCGAGGAGCGAACTGCTTGACCACGTAATCCAGGTCCTTACTGTGAGCTATTCGCCATTTCCCTCGTTCTGTGTAAAATTGCTGCTGTTTTTGGACGGATCGGACGTAGATCGCGAAGCTCAACAGACCATCCACACTTTGTGAGAGCCGAAGGTTAGCAGGTGTAGCACGACTAGATGGCCAGATAGTGTCTCACGTACGAGCTGATAGCCACCAGGTCTCCAGGCTGAAGATATTGATCCATCGCTTCCCCCTCTTCTCCGACATGGGAAAAATCTGAATGGTCCTCGTCAACTGCTTGCAATGCATCACTCCCAGCATTAAAGACCTCTTTGCTATCATTCAACATATTCCCAACCCAGGGGGCGGAGGGCTCCAAGGGATTCGAAGTCCCTGGACCTCGGATAGGGTCCAAAAGGTTTGGATGCGTCTCCTGCCATTTACGCAAATAATCCCGAATGTTCTTGTTTTCCTCGAATTCGGTTTTCAGAAGGATATCTTCAACAGATGTGGTCGACTTGCCGGGTGTTTGTCCAACAGAATTTGTCTATGAGGCCTCAATGTCAGAATATGAGCCACATAATACCTCAGAATTTGTCCATACCTCAATTTCTGTGCTCAACGTCCGGCGAATGAGCAATCGGCTATCTGATATGCGCCCCCAGGCATACTGCTGTGTCGTATGTGCAGCTCTCGGGATGGGGCGGTCGCGTCTCAATGATCGGGTCAACCCAATGAGCCTATGAGACAACTGCGTCCTTGGTAATAATATAGACATCGCCAACAAGCATCACGTAACCCAGGTAAAACTCCCCTAGTCCTCAGAATATGTAGATTCGCCATTCATTTGACGCCATTGAAAACTTGCGGTATTTTGCCGGCACTTCCAGAGTCACCGCCCTGGCGGTCGGAGCACCAAACCCACCAATAAGTCGGCGGTGATCTGTTTGCTGTTCTATACAATATTAGGTTGATCTTTTTCGACTTCTTCTGATCATTCTGACTTCTAGGGAGCTAGTGCATCATAAGACTTTCTGGTCTTTCTCCAATATTACAAACCACTGGCTGAATACCTAAGGCACATCAGTCAAGTCAGCTGTAGTTCGGCATGCGATCTTACTCCTCCATACTCCATATCTCCCGGCGACTAGGGCCAGATTCAGGCTACGGATTCTGAAGCAAGACTGTCCAGCAAAATGACGATCACAACAGTGCAAATACAGTTATGAATCTGTACGAAACGATTGCCGGATGAAGGGAAGAACTACTACAACCCTCGGTTATGCACTATATATGATGTGACTTCCACCGTCTACTTGATGTTCGTGGCCCATCGTGCCATGATTTGTGTTCATGGGTTCGCGTTGGGGAGAAAAAACACAGTGATTGCTCCATATTCTCCGGATGATCAGGCACTGATTATCTATCTATCAAGTATCCATGCAGCATGCCAGCAATAATAGCATAGAAGACTCCAGCGGCCACGCTAAGTGTCAAAACAATCAGGGAACGGAGCAACCTAAGCCCTAAAGTCTTAGAGGCTTGCCAATCCTTTCCTTAATTGTTTAACCGAGTCATTCTGGAGGTTTACTCCTGTCTATCACCATATCTATCACGGTCTATCAGTTTCTAAGTGCTAACCATCTATCATTCCTCTGGTAGCACCTGCTCTCGGGCAATTGAAGTCTCAGACTCTCAGTAATCTGGAGTGTCAAGGCCCCCGGGAATCCTTGATACCTGAGCCGCTGAGCGCTTGATGGACAATCGTTCAACACTTGCGTTGCATCTATTCCCCACACCTTAGTCCACTTGGTTAATTGGCTTGACTCACTTGAGCGATCCTATCGTCCTACTCAATCAACTAGGCGTTGATCATTCCAAACATAGCCTTCTGATCTCTGATCTCTGAACCCTAAAGTTAACAATGGCTCCCTGATTAATGAGTGACAGCCGGTAGCTGTGTCACCCGGTTTTGGCAAATGGTGCTGGATCTAGTTATCAGTCAATCATGATTCAAGCGTGCAATCTCCTGGCGAATATACAGGTCTTGCAGGAATGGCAGAGGGGCTAACTAGAACCCTGCCACCTAGCAGGCTAGCACCATTAGCAACTATCTAGCAGAAGAAGGTGTCTCTTGAAGCGAAGACCAGGATAGTTAGCCTTCAGGATTATAGGATGACCGCCGCACAAACTCCTTTACTACAGGAGATCAACATCTCGCCATTATTGGGCGAAATCATAAGGTCGCAATACGCGATACGACTCTATTCAATATGCTTAATGCCTGCAACTTTGCAAGTGCAAGCCTCTTGACGATTCAAACAAGGACCGCCTTGTTGATCCTGAAGCTAACTGTTAGCGTGCATACGGTCTGATGCCTGAATATGTTCTCTGCATGGACTTACTGCGGCCTGCGGGAATGTCCTTGCCACATTATTCCCCCATTGGTAGGCGTCCTGGACAATCTATCCAAATATATACTACATCTAGTGTTTACGGCATTTTCCACCCTATGATTTCGTCATGTCACGGCCTAGGACTACTCCGCAATAGGGGCACTTTGCCAGGTTCCCCTGCAGTGTGACGGCGTGGCCGTCGTGAGGAGAATCTGGAGCCATGGACCCATGGCAGCTCGAATATGGTGAGACACAGTCTTCTTGGCGGAGAAATGTTCTTTTTTCCAGTTTCCTTGAGGCATTTCGCATCGCCTTCTCAAAATGGAGCACCGACTAAGGCCCAGCAGGTCCAGTAGTCGGATATCTTGGGGCTACTTCTGTTGGCATGTATATATAGACTGAATTCCGTCGTCCCCCCTGGAGTTCGTTTGAGCGACTCCGCGGCCAAATCTGCGTCCAATTCATCTATATACAGTTTTGGCGTTAGCCAGCTATTCCGGCGTCATGGCATTTGGTCCATCATGGCGCACTGCAGTGGCGCTCTCGATGGCTACTCTTGCTCATCTGGCAACTGCGGATATTTGCTCGGTGATCAAGCAACAGGGCACCGAAATTGAAAAGCCACTGACTCTCGCCTACAATGCCGAGTTGACAAAGTACTGGTCCGCTGCTTGTGGAGACCTTCGGCCATCATGTATTGCTGCTCCTTCGAGTGCCCTTGAGATGTCGGCTATTGTGAAGCAGCTGCATAACTTTGACGACCTTTTTGCGGTGAAGTCGGGTGGTCATATGCCCAATAATGGCTTCGCGAGTGTCCAGGATGGACTTCTCATCTCCACCAAGAATCTTGACCAGGTGATCTATAATCCCGAAGATCAAACTGCAATCATTGGTCCTGGTTTGTCGTGGGAGGATGCTCAGAAGGGTCTAGATGGCACTGGCCGAACCATTGTTGGTGGGCGTCTTGGTGGTGTCGGCGTCGGCGGCTATATGCTTGGAGGTGAACCAATATCATTGCCTTGCGAATGTTAATTCTTTACTAACTGGGGTAGGCGGATTGAGCTTCCTGAGCTCCCAGTATGGCTGGGCCGCTAACAACGTGGTGAACTTTGAGGTTGTCCTTGCCAATGGGACGGTTGTTAACGCCAATGCGAAGGAAAACACTGGTATTCAGCACATGCATTCTATTGCTTGAGCATCTGGCTGACAGCAGCTTAGATCTTTTTGCGGCTCTCAAGGGAGGTGGCAACAACTTTGGCATCGTCACCGCATATACACTCCAAACACATCCTCAAGATCACAAGGTGGGTTGAGATTCAAATCAGAGGCTTGATTAGCATGCTAAACCGTTCAGGTTTGGGGAGGAAACTATGTCTTTACTGCCGACCAGACCCCCCAGGTCCTCAGCGCTGTACGCGATTTCACTGAGAATTATCCTGATGACAAGGCTGCCATTATCGTGACCGTTGAGAAGGGCTTGCTGATCCACACGTGGATCATGTTCCTTTTCTATGATGGACCTGAGCCACCAGAAGGGGTCTTTACCAACTTCACTGCCATTCCTCATACCAGCACCACCAAGACCTGGGATAGCTATTATGACCTGGTCCGTGATACTTCTCGCTACTTCGATGAGACAAATACTTACATTGACGCAGCTCAAACACAACGATCTCTTCATTCTGCAGTAAGTCTTCCTTGGACTCTGGCTGCACAAGTACTGACCTGTCTATAGTGGCCAACGGTACACCATCGCTACGGAGACCACTCCCCTGCCGAATAAGACAGTCGGCGCAGAAGTCATGCAGGGCTACTACGATCACTGGCTCGATGTAGCCAAGTCCGTTCTGGATGTGACCGGCGTGATTGCGTCTCTTGCATTCCAGCCGATGCCGCGCACGATCACTAGCAAGGCCAAAGCCCTGGGAGGAGTAAGTTCAGACTGCTGCTGTCCAATGCTGAAAATGTAAAAACTGCCCACTAACCTAAACAAGGATCTTCTTGACTTCCCGACCGATCAAGACTACATTATCATCGAGCTGGATTACTCCTACGCTTTTGCCATCGATGACAACAAGATTGATGCTGCCGTTCAGCGTCTCTATGGTGGTTTCGACAATATCATCAGCGCCAACATTGACAAGGGACTTTTGCCTGATGTATACCGGCCCCTGTTCATGAACGACGCGTACTTCCGCCAGGACTACTGGGGTCGCATCCGCACCAAGGAACAGGCGCTGCAGACCAGACTCAAATATGACCCTGATGGGTTTTTCCAAAAGAGAACAAGCGGGGGATTCAGGCTTCGCTAGGATGTTGAGGCGATCCATCTATACAATCCTCCTTCATTGGTACATCCAATGTCACACATATCTAATGATCCGGCCTTCTATATATACTACATAACTGGTTACTGAGTGTCCACTGACAAAAATAGCATTGCCACTATAATCGAGCGATTCAAGGCCGTATACGATAAACTTGGACAAAGCATAACGGAAATAGCTATAGCTATAGCTGAAGCTCAAAGCTCATCCACAGGGACGTAGCACGCACTGAGTAGTCATGATTGGTCCCTAAGACTGCGACAAAGGTACATGAAACCGACCCAGCGCAGCCTCCATCTCCCAGAAGCCAAGGTAGACTAAATACTTCCCCTCCCTTGTCTCTGTATCAGGTTCATTTAAGCTCGTGTGGCTGTTGGACGAGAGCACGCCCGCGGAGCGAGCAATGACATCCTGCAAGCGCCGGGGTGGAGCCCAGACCCATGTCTCCCGCCATATCAACCCTTTGTACGCAATTAAATCCCCAGCACTGAATATAACAAATTAACAACAAGCAGCCTAGAGGGAGGTGTGCCGCTCTGTGCCGCGTGGGGTCTAGACCGTCAAGCGAGGAGGTCAGTCAATCAGGACGTGAATTGGTCTGCGCGCTTGTGGGATCGACGTCTTTGACGCCCTGTGCATGCGCAGGGCTGTCTTTCTGTCCGTCTGTCCAGGATGTTGGGACGGGTCTGGATTCAGGATCTGGGTTCTGGGATCTAGAATCAGGCGATTGCTATAATTATTCCCGGATGGGGTTGTGTGTCTTTGTGTGCTGCGGCATGGGTGGCATAAAAGGGTGCATTGTCGCTGGTGGGACTGGGTCTTTGTTTCTGAAGATCATAAAAAGAAAAAGAGTCGTCAGAGATATAGAGAAAGTATCCTATTATTACGCTCCTTTCGGTTTATTGCTGGGTTATATATCAGACGTTCATTCCATTACCGCTTTGCTACCTGCGGTGTTGTTGCTCTCGGCTTATACACAAACCTCCAGTCACACGCTCTCTCATCACTATATACATATATACACCATCAACCAGCCTTATCGCAATGGCACGATACGGAGCCCTAGGCGCAACCTTCCAGATCGCCCGCATCGTGCAGGCCTGCTCCCTCATCGCCATCATCGGCCTCACAGCCAACTTCATCTCAGAGATCGTCTCCCGGAAGGCGACGCCCCCAAGCGCCTTCATCGGCACAATTGCCGTGGTTAGTCCCCCCATACCCATCTAACCACTTCTTCCCCAGCAATCGAACCAAGCTAAGATTGAAAAAAGACCTGCATCGCAGTAATCTACTGCATCATCACCTCCATCCTCTTCCTCGACAACATCCTGCCCTTCCTCGCCAGCGCCGCCCTGGACACCCTCTTCCTAGTCGCCGTCATCGTCGTCGCCGTGGTCCTCGGCCGCCCGCTCTCGTACCTGCAGTGCGACGTCATTGGCGATCTCACGAGCGCGGGTTCCTCTGCGTACGCCTTCGCCACAAGCCTGAACAACTACCTCGACCATCTGGATGGCACGGTGGACTACCGCAATTGGATTGCGGCGTCGAGGGGGGTGTGTCTGGAGGCGAAGTCGATTTGGGGGTTGAGTATTGCATTGTGGTGAGTTCCAGTCTCTCCCCCTGCTCTTTCTTTCTCCTTTAATGATGAATGATGCTGATGGGTGTAGTATTCTCTTTTTCTTCTCTGCAGTCTGCAGTGTCTGTCTGTGGCGGCAAAAGAAGGCTGCTGGCGCCGGTGAAAAGCTGGAGGGATGATTTGATCATGTCCTGTCCTGTTCGGCTAGGGCAGGGCAGGGGCTGGAGCCACACGCGCACCAGACGATAGAGCCAGTTTCGGTTTCTGTTTTTCGGAGGAAAGTAGGGTAATGATAATGGGAGGGAGACATTTTTTTTCTTGCTCTGCTGGTTTTCTTTCATTCATGTTCACAGTTCACGTTCATGTTGTCATCGCATCGCAGTTACTTGTAACAAGCTCAACCGCACGAGCCTTAATATCAACAAGCCCCATCTACCATTTCTACCAGAATCCAGCATCAGCATCAGGATTTAGTATCAAATAGCAGCCCTCCGCTTTACACACATACCTCAACTTCCACCAACCCTCTCTCCCCCAATCCCAGCCAGTCCCCAGTCCCCAGTCCCCAGACTCAGCGGAGAGTTTTGGCATCGAAATCACCCCGAACTAACAGGCGGAATAATCGCGACCTCATCCCCAGCCTCAATCACGCGCTCCGCATCGGCCTCAACGTCCACGTATTCATCGCCCAGACTCACGCCGCAGCTGGCGAGGATTCTGGCGCGGATGCCCGGGTAGCGCGCGTCGAGGGTGTCGAAGAGGGCGGAGAGGGGGAGCGGGGCGGGGAGGGATTCGGTTTGTTTGTGGGTGTAGGCGGAGGCGGAGGAGAAGTAGTGGATTTGGAAGGTGGACATTTTTGGGGGTGGGGGCGGACTTGGTTTGTAGATGAGGTGAGGATGGAGGGAGGGAGGGAGGGAGGGAGGGAGGGAGGGAGGGAGAAGGGGTGAGTTGGGATGGAGGAAGAGGGAGTAGAAACTAGAAAGGAGTTGGAGATGCGGGATTGTGGTGGTGAGTGTGGTGCGGGGTTGTTCTTATCGGCACTCCACCGTGATAGGCACTGGACCAGGCATACTGAGTAATTCGACGTTACAGATTAATATTTCACATATGTGAAGTGAACGCGGGAACTGGAGGAAAATTATCACATTGCCAGTTGCCATTGATATACTAGTTCCCCGTCAACGCCCGGAAAGCACCCACCAAATCCCTTCTCAGATCCTCCCAATTCTCCAACCCAATACTAATCCGCAGTAACCGGCGATCCACCGCAGCATCCGTCATAGTCCGCCACTCGATCAGCGTTTCCACGCCCCCAAGACTCGTCGCATGCTGGAAGAAGGCCAGCTTACTCGGCAGCTTCCTCGCAAAGTCCTCCTCGCGCATGGTGATCGAGAAGACCGGCCCAAAGCCGCCCGCCATCTGCTTGCGCAGCCACCCGTCCTCATCCCGCTGCAGACTCGCATGCAACACATTCGCCAGCGCCGCCTGCGTAGCCGCCTCGTCGCTGCCCGGTGCCGGACTCACCGCCCGTAGCGCGCCGTCCAGCCATGCCACCAGCGCCGTCGCGCTCTGGCTCTGCCGCTGCACGCGGATCTCCAGGGTGCGCAGACTGCGCACGCCCAGCCAACTCTCCATGTTCCCCATGACGCTGCCGAGGAACAGGCGGTCCTGGAAGAGTTTCTTGGCCCAGTCCTTGCGCTGGGTCGCCAGGACGCCGCAGAGCACGTCGCTGTGGCCGCCAAAGTACTTCGAACCGGAGTGCATGACCAGGTCCGCGCCCCAGACAAACGGGTCCTGGAGGCCTGGGGGCGCGAACGTACTGTCGACGATGAGGTAGGCGCCGCGCGCGTGCGCTTTCTGCGCGTACGCGGCGATGTTGAACGCCGTGCCTTGCGGGTTGAGCGGGGTTTCGAGGAGGATGACGTCGCCGGCCTGCAAGTGCTCGGCAGGGCAGTCGAGGTCGAGCTTCTGGAGGCCTGTGAGGCGGCCGAACATCTCGATCACGCCGTGGCAGCCGTGGTAGCCGTTGCCGAAGGCGATGCGGCGGGGGTTGAGGAGGACGAGGGCGGCGTTGAGGGCCGAGAGGCCGGAGGAATAGCTGATGGCTTCGCCATTGAGGAGTGACGATAGAATAGTCTCGAAGCGGGTCGGGTTGGGTGCCGAGAGGCGAGAGTAGACGTGGCTGGTCTTGTCCTGGTCATACTGGACGACAGTCAGTACTCTAGCTACCTACATAATAGAAACCAAAGAAGGTAGGGACTAGTGCATACCCCGCTGAGATCTGTCAGTGGTACCAGATCGTCGGGGTTGTTGGAGTATCTGAAAGTCGTGGAGACATGAAGCGGGGGAGCAACATCGGTAACTACATTCAGCTCGTCATCCGCATGGAGCGAGAGCGTCGAGGCGCCAATGTCGGGGGGGAAATGCGACATCTTGATCGTTCTATCCGTAGACAACGGGACCAGAAGGGAGATACAGATAGTGTCTGGTCAATCGTGGAATTGGAGAGGCCTTTTGAACGATGGAGATGCCCCACGGTTGAGGGGGCTCCCACGTGACGCCAGTGCGGGCCGACGGGTGGAGTCTGGAAATTGCGTGATAGACAGATAGATAGTAGTATGACAGTGGACAAGAGACCCAGGATAAGTCCAATGATAAGTGAAACAGGGGGTATATGGCAATAATAGCACCTGAGGAAGTTGGCTTAATGTACAAAAAGGGCGCGGGGAAATGGCCGTCCTGTCCTGTCCGTAACTTCGTAACCAGCGAATACTCGGCCAAAAGAAATCACCGCCGAAGAGATCCCATCCGGGACGATTCTCGAACTGTTCCAGGGACCGCGGCCTGGAAAGCCGATCGATCTGTGGACTTGTTAGCATCGGAAATCCCATCCAGACATTTTCTGGGAACATACCGGCTTCAGAGTCAAAGGCAATCGCAATATCGTCATGCTCAATAGGATACTCCGGCATATCTAGACAGACGAAATCCGAGGCAGGGTCGTCCTCCGTTTTCGGGAGCGCGAATTTGGCGTCGACAAGTCGGATGCAGAACTTGCCAGAGCGGCTAAAGTTCTCAAGAACATCTGTCCCCTTGAGAACGAAGTTCATGCACTTTCCATGGCTGAAATCGGCTAAGAAAGCAACCAGCTGTATCACCTTCTCCTGCTGGACGACCTGGATACGAGCCAGCGTACATTCCCATTTCTTATATATAGGGACCACCATCCGGCGCCTTGAAATCATAAACGACGAAGCGAGACTAGGATGCGTCGTTAGCCCCGGCGAATGGAAGCAGCAGAGTCTTAAGACAGTACATACCCATCGAATAACACTTTGAACCCAGTCACAGCGGCTTGGAAAGCATGGAGGCCTGAAGACAGATCAGTCCAATCCGGAAAAAAAAAATATATATATATATATATATATTCCTAGGCAGGCATAAAATACCTTTGAGAGATGCAAAATCAAAGCGGCGAACCATGGCTTTGGTCATGGAGATTTGCATGAAATTGGTCAGTTTGTCCGTCAACTCGGGAGACACGAGATTCTCCGCTACGGATAGGGTCATATCCTGCTGTACCGGCCGGTATAGACTAAGCCCGGTTCGGTTGTTGACGTCCAAGCCTATTTTAAGTTCACCAGGACCTAAGATACAATCAGTTTGAGTTCCCGCACCGGTGCAATAAGTTGAGCATACCCAAGTTGAGGCGGTCCGTCACGGAGCCCCAATCGGTGGCTATGAACGCTCGCAAGTTGTCAGACAAGATTGTTGGGCCATATCCGTGTTCCGCCTGCGGATCGGAATCGTGAATGACTGACACATTGCCAGCGGGAAATTGAACATGGGCCTTTGCCGGTTGGCCATTGAACTTATCCGCTGGTTGTTCTATAGTATAGGCCCGCAACGGTATATCCGGTATCTTGTGTTCGTCCTCCTTCGCGGTCATACCCAGGAGCAGAGCATGCATGGTGTTTCGATCCTGAGCTTCTTGAAAGGTCATCAACATCGACCGTGTTCTACCGTCTTCTTTCACTTTGAGCATGAGAGCCGGCGATCCATCTTCTCCCCGAAGGAGGCCGAAAATGATCGGGGTACCATATCCCAGGATATGGCACACGTTGCTCAAGGTTTTCACCTTGGGACTGGTGAGCACGGTTAAACGGAAACCCCGATGGACACTCCTGCTGCCCGTGCCCTCCGTGATCGTCGCTGATCGCTCGAACAACCGCAGACGGCACCGCTCGACCGGCTCGGCAGGGAACGATTTGGGCGCCGCAGGATCCATACAGTGGAACATCTTGAGCGTGTTCTCAAAAATCACCGACTCGCCGGCTCCCGGCGCTAGGCTGGCCTCGGTCTTGAGAGTATATTGGACGATGTTCCAGAGATTTTTGAAATCGTCCTCTTGAAACGAGACATCCAGCTGGAAGCCGCGGGGCAGTTTGACGCGCATGGAATGGGACCTCACCTGCCACTCAACATCATCCCAAGTCGGCCCCTTCTTCCGATCCGATTGGATCATGACATTGACCAATTCGCTTTGACTCGTGATGGCCGCGAAGACATACCAGTCCGCACGATCACGGAGGATAGACAAAGAACAGGAAATGGAGAAATCCTCCTGGGTATCATCTTCCCGCGAGCTGATGCAAGCCTCGACAAACATACTTCCATAGCTGAAATGACGGCTCGTATCCCCGAGCGGCATCATGTGCGCAGTACTTGTGCCCTTTTCAGATGTATCCACCAATACCGATCTGGTTGCTGCGCCGGAAAGCACTGCCGAAACGTCAGGAGCAAAGAATGGGTACCGAACCCACACACTCGTGTCTGCTGCCACGGCCGCGCCCTCCTCAGAGGCTATGATAGCGAGGATGTTGTTTCTCTTGATCGACATGGCCAACGACCGCAAGTGGCTCATCGTCGCCTGGTGCAGGGAGAGACATTCCGCCAAACGAGTATCACCGGTGGTGCTTGCGACTGCCAGCAGCGCATCGATGCCCATGGCTCCATATCTAGTGAGCTCACTGTGCCCCGGCACAATGTTCTCGTTGATCCATAGGGCTTTGCCGAGATCCAGCACGGCTTGCTTCACGTTTTCCACCGTGCTTCGCGGAAGGGTCCGCTCTCCCGAGCTTGACGGTCGGGATCGCGCATACGATTCCAGTCGTTTCTTTCCCCGTAGGAACCACCATACTGCGGCTCTCATCCATTCAGCAAGAGAGGTCTCCATCACAGGCTTCACCTGTTCCGCGGAACGGCGGATGGGAGTCGCATATTGTGCTACGTAGGCCTTCAGATCTGTAAAGGCAGTATCGCCCAGTTGATTGGCGATGGAACGGAGAGAGGCTTTCGGTGGTAGTGCCGGTGCGGTTCGTGCGACTTCACGGCCATCTCTGCTCGGAGGGCGATCTTGACCCTGTGAGGTTGGGTCCCGCGAGCCAGGCTGCAGCTTGACAGGTGATAGGGTCCGTGATTCTGTACCGGTGAGGAGCGCAGAGGGCAGATTTGACTCAATGGGGCTTGCATTCCCCCGGTGAGCTCCCCCTAGGCTCGGCGGATTTTGAATAGGTACCCCTAGCGCTTCGGAATCTGTTTCAGAGACTGGTGGCGTTTCGTAGAGGGACACAGGACTATCTGGAACAACAACTCCCGCGGGATTCTTCCTGGGCTGCACGTTATCTTCGGGGGAGGAAGGGTCATCGTGGTAGCCATGCTGCAGGGCCCGTCCTTCTTCCGCTTGCATCTTTGCTCGGACCACCTGGGCAGAAGAGTCGGTGTCGGGTGAAGCTCGGAAGGACAGGCGAGAGCCAGCCTCGCCAAGGTTGAGCGTCATGAGGAATTCCTCATCCTGAGGGCTTTTGATAAGCAATGGTTTCCAGCTGTTTGCGTCCGAACCTGCATTGGTGTCTTGTCGCTTGGGTGCGTTCACATAGGGAGCGCGATCCATCGCTCCAACCGACGTATCGACTCGCAATTGCGGCGTCTTGGACTGGGTATCGCTCCGACGGCCTCGATTCAACGAGATCTCGGCGGTGGGGGCTTCCGACTCGTCGCCCCCTTCCCCGATCACCTCTGGTCCTTTATCCGAGAACCTCACCCTCAAGCCCTTGCGAGCACGGGCCTTCCGTGGCGGCGATGGAAACGTGGAAGGAGGATAGATCTCAGTTGCGGAGGAGGGATTCAGGATCGGGGACGCATTGGACAGGTCCTGCGCGGAAGGCCAACGATGCGAGATGTCTAAACGGGGTTTCTGGGAACCTCGACCAGTCGCATTCGCGGGATGTACGGCGTGCGAGACAGATTTCGAACGGATCGGGGCCAGGAAGGCTTCCACCTGCTGATCAGCCGTTGACCGATTCGTCTTGTCCCTCGAGAATAATTTCTGCTTCCAATGTTGCTTCTTCACGACCGGTTTTGGTTCGGTTTCCAGAAAAGCGAAGGGGTCGTTTGTCGACATGTTGGCGGGTGTGGGATCTGGGGGAGAGTCTTAGGCGGGTAAAAGATCGCAACGACGCATCGCAAGCCAGAGAAGAGCTTATATCTCTCTTTGATCTCTAAGCGCTGACCTCGGATCAACAAGGGGGCCGACTGATTATTGGAAGAATCGGGGAGGTTGCAGGGGGAGGGGAGTGTCGTGTGTGTGGGGGATTATTGCGATAAGGAGCGCGGCCGAATCCAACAAAGGATAAGAGGTGATTCCTCGCAATAACGCACGAAGGGGGATGTTTTCTTCTTTTCTTCTTCTTTTTTTTTTATCTTTCTTTTTTTTGGGGGGGGGAGGTCTGTCGCCAGATGAAAATGGTTGATTGCTTTTTGAGATCAAGAGAAGAAGCAGCCCAGAAGAGCAGGCGACTAGAGTAATAAGCTGCAAATAATATGGTTGGCTGGCTAGTCACAAGTGAACAAGTACCTAGATAATACTCTTTCACTCGGGGAGGGAGGCGCGATTGCGTTACGCTGTCCGGTGGAGTAGTTAAGTATCTAGGGGACAGAGGGATCTACCAAGACCAATTAAATAAGCATTCAGCAGAATAGAGTGAGGGGGAGGAGAGGACTTCGGGGAAAGAAGGGGGGAGGGGGATTTTTTTTTCTTAAAGGGCTCCCTGAAGAAGTTGTCCTGGTCTACTACCTTTGCAACTAAAAAACGAGGTTTGAAGCGATTGATCGTGCTGGAGGTTGACAAAGGCAAGGACGGGAATTGGTAGATAGGTAGATAGTCGTTTGAAAGAGTTCCTGAGGTTGCCAAGCTGGACCAGCAGCTCGTTGTCTGTTGTCCAAGGAAAACCCCCAACTCTAATTGGAGAATGAGAAGAATAGGGGGGGAAAGAAGAGGAAAGTAGATATCTAGTAGGTCTCTTAAGATTAATAGGTAGAGGGCGAGTAGGGTATCTACGGAGTACGGAGTAGTAGAGAATCAGGATGGGTAGTATCCAGCAGTGGACATGCCCCCGTGCTATGAGCCTATGCCTAATAATAATAATAGTAATCTACTAAATCCACCTGGGTGGGTTCTCCGCAATGCGCCCCCAGCGGTACTACGGAGTAAACTGCTATTGAAGTGTTACTATGTAAGTCGGTAGCATCTACAGAGCCGGTAGTACGGGGGAGGAATCAAGACGATTGATTGATGGTTCTGATCATCATTCATAGCTGACAGATTCAAATTTTCTCTACAGGAACAGCACGTACTGTACGGCAGTCTGGGAATAACTGATCCAGGTTGTTACTTGATCCGTGCTGCAAGTAGTCGGCCTGACATTAGCCCTGTTGCACAGCATTTTATGGCTGTGATAAGATGCCTGTCCAGTGTCCAAGTCATCTCCAGTAGTACCTACTAGACCTAGGTAGTAGTTTCTACCCTCGCGACTGAGACATTATTGATTCAAATCCAGAGGACCTTGTCACTATGGAACACTAGGTTGTAAGTACTACGGAGTAGGTACCTAGGACCTAGGTACTACTAACTACTAACTAGTAACTACAGTACCTACGGATGACTGACTAATAACCTAACTGCTGGCGACGGAGTAGTGGCTAGTAGTGGCGACTACCTAGGTCCTACTCTGTAGTAGGTATCGCAACTCGCAAGACCACGCCATCGACCCCAGCCAATCAGGGCCCTACCTACCGCAATTTCGCCGAGCTCAAGCCATCATCCTGAAACGGCGTTAGTCCTGTTCCGCTCAGGTCCCGCATTGTCCTGGCGCCCGTCTAGTCTGTTTTGGGCTGTGGTGGCTGAAGTGGATCCCTGAACCGTCGAGCTTTTGGGAGTGGGAGTTGGTCATGTTTGAGAGGGAAACTGTATGTCTGTATCAGTTTAGTAGTCCGTACGTACTGTAGTAGCAATCATCCTGGAGGGATAAAAAGAGTATTAGTAATAACTGGCGCTTATGCTCAACGACATTGCCAGTCGTCTCATCTGGATGAACGATGAAATCGATCCCAGCTTGTTACTGATTGCCATGGACACAGTTGAAAAGATCCCTTGCTTGCGATGAGTCCTTTGAACTGGTGTCCACGCAACAGCACCAAGATCCCTAGATACAGTTGCTGCTCATCAATGGCCATGAATGAGTACGCAATCAATTCCATCAGGGTCGGAGTGTTGCAATTCCATACTGGATAGACATTTGATGGATCCTGGATAAGAAGATCTTGGACAGGCCTCACGCGTCAATCCTTTCAAAGCGGAAAGCTCAGCTCCAACTCCTTCATGATCGACGTTGATGCGCATGTCCTGATCTCCATCAAGCATGTTGAATTGTCGATACTGTACTTAATATTGCTGTCCAGTGTCCACTCATCGACCCCGAATGATTTCATTCCACGTCAATTGAGCGAATTTCCCTCGCCGTCTATCAACGGAACTAGATAATCAACGCCCATTTCAGGCCCACGTTTCCCGTCCTCCACTTTGCGTGGATATTTCCTCCCCATCATACGGCTCGATCAGAGTTGTGAACTTGTGATCGTTGGATGGAGTACGTATCTATCGACATACTCCTCGTTGACACCGCCAAGCTCATCCTGTCTCGATTGCATTGCGGAATGTGATCTGCAGCCCGGCGCAAACATTAACAAGCCAGGTTGGGCTGTCGTTAAGTGATAATTGATACGCTGCAAGGCTAGGTAGTTCACTGTCCTTGTACAGTACAGTAACAGTATGGTAGAACCGTGGAGGATGCTTGAAAACCGGATTTCAAAAAATGGATTTGTAGCAGAAATAACTGACAAACCCTGGTATCCCATCCATCTTTTTAAGCTCGACAATTCTCCGATCGCCAGCTCGGTGAAGCTACCGAAGCTGTCATTCCTCAGTCTTCGTGCATACAGAACCAGAGTTTCGCACAGAGGATTACCGCAAGAGGGAATCTGTCCAGTGTCAGATTCCTCAAATGGAACCGCCAGGATGCTCTACATACACAGTACTTGCTGTGGCACTTGGCGGTTCTAAGCGCATTACTATATTTGTATTATTATTATTATTATTATTATTATTGACAAGAGTGTTGCAGTAATGCACTAGCCTCCATTGGTCATACAGCTCTACTGAGATGAGTCCTGAAATCCTGAAACCCCCCTAATAGGTAGATAGATATCTAGTTTCTACGTAGTAGTAAACTACTACGTACGTTGCGTTGGCAATTCACGAGCACTGCATGTTCCGACTCGGGCTCCCTTTTTCATCGGTTCCGGTAGGTGGGTTGGGCCAGGTTACAGATATATTAACATTGATGAATGACACCTGACAGGATCATACATAACTATAGATAGTATCCCAAACGCTCGTTTAAATCGATAGTACTCACTATCTAAAACATTCGTGAGCAGAACCTCTTCTCGAAACCTAGCGTTTGCTCGCAAGTCGCAACCTATGCCGGCCCGACTATCAACCCACCGACCAGCTTTTTCGGAGGCATAGATACAGGACATGCTTGATGGATTAACTCTTTCGCTTTCCGGTTTAGCGTCCTTGTCCAGGCTGGTAAAGCGAGGTCGCGACACTCGACAGGCTTTAGTCGACCAACGGTCGATCTTTTGAAAGCCAAAGTCGCTGACATGATCCCATTATTGACTAAACCGAGATGGAACAGACCATATGTTCCAACGCATGGTTTCAAAACTGCATGATTACAGGGTTATGGGTCCAGCGGACTGGACCCGTGGACGACCTCCCTTCTCAGCCTCCACAGCTGAGAACGGCTGAAAAGCTTTAGAATAATGAAGCTACGAATCGAGGAGAATCCCGATCCAGGACATCTTCCGAGTTTCGGACCACGGCACGCCAATCCTGGGTATAGCTGAATGTTCCAACCCCCGTCAACTGCTGCCAATGCCAGCAAGATACGATACTTAGAACCCAGGAATCTGGAATCGTTCTGGTATAGTCCTTGTCAGGTGTCCCGGGACGCAAGGAGGGACACATTGAGATCACTCACGCCTGGTCTCCTTGCCCGACAGTGTTAATGTGTTCTCTTTCAACAGGAAAATTGACACAGGCCATTGCATGATGATCTCATGAACCAAGGACTTGAGGTTGGTTCGGAGCAGAAAGTGTGTGATGATCATTGCTGCCATGAACGGTTGAACCATACCACTACCAGCTGAAGCAGCGTGGGGTTTGGCAACACCCACAAACCCGACGAATAAAGAAAGCCCAGCGTACAATATAAATAAGGAGTACATAGTACGGAGGACTAAACAGTCCGGGAGACCGGACCTCGACTTCTGCAGGCGGATGGTTACAACGTGTGGAAGTGTAGACCAATGGCCAGTACGCATCTAAGACAGGTGAGAAACGAGCGGTGGGAACCGACCAAGCCGCCACCGGTTGGTCTGGAAAGGTCACAACATCGAACTTGCTCACAGTCAGCATGAATTCGTGTCAAGATAAGACTGTTAGGGTGAACTAATAGCCTGTCGTTGAACTGCAATTAATCCCATAGAACGCTGAACAATAAACATGTAGTGCAACCAGACAATGGATATGTCCAAATTCCCCTAATTCTCCATGGTAAATGCCGTAGTAGTGGGAGCAACATGACTGAGACAATTGCAGGGCCTTGGACCCCGTCGAACAACAGACCTGAACCAGCAGAGTGAAGCAGGTCAGAGGTGGTTGCATAATGACCATTTCTTGTTCGGTGTTATTATTATCATTGGTAGTGCCCAGTGCCCACTGCCCACTGCCAACTGGGGGTGGCCGGGGCTGACTAAGGCTGGGTGTTTCCAAGTTTAGAAAAGCCACATCGGAGCGGCTCCGCCAGCAATAATTAGATAATGGACACCAGAGGGGAGCAAACATGGCGCAGTCAGGCAGTCAGGCAGTCAGGCCGCCCATAGGCTGGATTCCTGCCTTGGTCCTCCCAGTCCCCGGTCCTGTGATGGTGGACACTGCCCTGGGACAAAAGTAAATCCTACGGATAGTTAGTTAGACTAGACTATCATGGACGTATCCATTAGGTAGATAGTTAGTTTGTAGTCAGTAATAATAGAATTATAGAACCACTTGATAGAGTACCCAGCCAAAAGTACCCAGACTCCATAGCTGGCGCTCGCATTCCAACTTTTTTTTTTCTTTTTTTTTCTTTTTTTTTTCCCTTCTGTACTAGATCCTCGAAACGCTTCTTCCTCTTGAACCTGTCTCACAGCCGATACTCTCCGTGTTTACCATCTTCGCCTTTTTCGACCTTTTGCCTCCCCTACCCTCCGTTTCCGTGCGCCCGCCCACCCCCCCATCCCCTCCATAGCCAACCGTTGAAACATCCCCTAATCAGCGCATCAAGAGAAGCTCTCAACGGGAGTACCCAGAAGGCAATACCGAATTCAGAAGCCCAGCTCGACCGGGCATTAGCCAGCGGACCACCTTTGGATGACGCTTATTGGTTCTGCTGAATTGTCATCAACCGTCGATCGCCCTGATTCCTACCGATAGATTCCCGTTCCTCATCGTCTCTGACCGACCCTCAGATGCTTTGCTCGTGCAGTCTCCTTCGGTAGACCTATACATCATCCCAGACGCAGCTGGACATCCTTTTTTTCGACATCGTGGATTGATTCGCGGACGAGGGGGCTGACCTCCCCGAGGAGGTCCTCCCAATCGCACGAGCTGGTCGTGATGAATATAGACGACAACGCGAGGTGGTTGGAGACACGGCGTCCTACGGTCATCACCAAACAAGGCGCAGTTGACGTCTCGAGATGTGCAGGTCGGGCTTTACAGCGTCAGATCCGAAGTCGGTCACACGGGGTATGTCGACGACCGCGGCGACGGCGCGTCCTCGGAGCTCGAAATGATGGCATGCTCGGTTTCTTGTTGATGTTGTTGTTGTTGGTCTTGGTATCGCCGGTCCACTCGGCTCTACTGAATTTTGAAAACTGTCTGGATGCGTCCGTTATCGAATCAAGCCCAGCGCAACTACAGTTTGTCCCGTTGAATGTGTCGGTGACATTCGATCTGGATGATCCCCTCAATCCTCTCAATGTCACCGTCTATGGCAATGTTTCTGGGACGGCCGATCGGTCGTCGTCCTATCCGTCCCCCAGTGACCCGCAATGGTCGAATCCGAACGAGACCGTGGGGAAGATCGTTGACCTAAATGCTGCGAACAACAAATGGACCACTCTTCTCACCAATGTGGATGTTGTCAGCTTCTCCCCATACAGCGATGCGTCCCGGTTTTGCGACTCCGTTCCCCATAAATGCCCGTTGACGCCAGTCTTTTTCGGAAACGCGTGAGTCTCGTTCTTCTATTCGATAACCCCTCGCTCCATCTCCTTTTGACCGTAACTGACTGACACGACGTTTTCACCACTGAACAGGTCCGACCTGTCCACTCTGCGCGCCTTCACTATTCAGCATGACATGCAATCAACGTATCGTTTCTCGACCCTGTCCTCTAGATTCCGAATCAGATCGGGCAACTTCGCGGCTACAGAGCTTGGGTGTATAAGCGTGGACATCACGCCGGACCTTGGAACTTCCTTGAAGAATGCGCTGGCATACATCCCTCTCGTGATCCTCTTATTGGTCGGTCTCGGTACAATCTCTGCCGCAATATATAGTCCATGGGGCAGTACGAACCTCTTTCACTGGACAAGCAATTATGGTCGTGATGAAGACGTTCTGCGGCTTGTAACCCCGGGCTTTGGAGACTGCCTGCAGTATATTCAGTTCGCCGTCCTGACCGGCGCTCTCTCATTGAACTACCCTGGATATTACCAGCCAGTGGTCAGCCAAGTTTCCTGGTCCGTCCTCATGTTCAACCAGAGTTTTGTTCATCCGGATCAAGGGCGAAACCCTGTAGCCGATGGGGTTTACACTGTCAACGGGACCTACGGGCTTGATGTCTTGGACCAGCTCGTGGGAATGTCCTCCCCTAGCGACATCTGGCCGGGGATGATGGTCTGGCTGCTTGTGATCCTGGGGGTAGTCACGCTTTTGATCCAACTGGCATTTGCTTTGCGTTGGCTCCACCGCGCGCTGGCAAACATCCCCGAAGAGGATCTCCGTTCGAGAAACTTGCCCTTCACAGTGGGCAACGTGATTCGGATAGTGTTCAACTTTTTATTTCTCCCCTTGGTGTCCTTCTCCTTCTTCCAGCTGGTCATTGCTGGCAAGTCTCCGGCCTATTCCGTGGCCTTGGCCGTGGTGGTGATCATCGCTCTGTTGGCGTTCTCCATCTGGACGGTCCGGTTTATCGGGCGCACACGCCCCAAGTCTCACCTCTTCGACGACCTTCCTACTGTACTACTTTATGGTCCGGTCTACAACACGTTCTGTGATGACGCAGCGGCTTTCGCGGCCGTACCCATCTTTATCACCTTTGCGCGTGGCGTTGCGATTGGCGCCCTCCAACCCTCTGGCATTGCGCAAATTGTCCTCCTCGCAATCTGCGAGGTGGTCTATGTTCTCACTCTTGTGGCCTTTCGACCGTTCCCGCATCCTACATCGATGAATTTGTACCACGCATGTTTCGCCCTTGTCCGATTTCTCACCATCCTCCTAAACGTCGTTTTCGTCCCCTCTCTCGGGGTGTCCCAGGCCGCACGAGGCTGGATTGGATACATCATTCTGCTACTCCACGCCCTTGTACTTGTCTTTGGGTTTTTCCTGAATGCGCTACAAACCCTGATCGAAGTGATAGCCCGACTCGCTGGCGCCGGCGGCTACGAGGGTGGCGCGACGCGCGGCGGTCTTGTGAAGGTATTTGGCATGCGACAGCTCTCGCGACGACTACCCAGACGCGATGCGGCTGGGACCCGTCAGAGCATGGCGTCCGATGCTGCCATGCTCGCACACACGGATGAGCGTATGTCCGCACAGTTCGATGGTTCAAGACCTCGGAGTCTTTCCGGCAGCTCAGCGATGCTCTTGAATAGAGCAGCTGCGAGTGACGGCCGAGCGAGTGCAGTTTTTGAGTCAGGCAGCGCTCATGGAGGCACGCACAGTCGGGCCAACAGTAGCGGGTTGTACACTCCCACTTCGCTGGGAGGGTTCCAGGGCGCTGGGCACCAGACGACAGGTAGCAACTCACCGAAAAGCGGCCCGCTCTACGCCATGCAACCCCATGACCCGTACTACCGACCTCCCAGGCCTCGCAGGAATAATGAACGGGGCCCGTCCTTCGAAAAGGACAGGGCTGTCTCGCGCACGGTGTCTCGTTCAGGCAATTTCGGTGACGGGGATGAAGACCTGATTGAGGGTCCGTCGATTTCTGGAAGAGGTACCCCCGTGCCTGCATATATTCCGGCACCCAAGGACGATCTGGACTATGAAGATCCGCGACCGTCTCGGAAAGATTATGCCGTGCGTGAAGTCGACTTCTATTACGGAGTGCGAGGCCCCCCTCTCTCTCAATCTGGAACGCGGAAGTTGAAGACAGGGCCAGCGGACCCCACGGGACCAGTGTCTTCCGCGACAGGCTTTTTCCGAAGTCTTCTCAGGGGAAAGACCAAGGAGAAGGGCAAGGGATTCGAGGTTGTTCGCAGCGCGAGAGCACCGCCTCCTGGTCTCCTCCCCGAAGGAGAGCATTACAATGAACCATACACGGATGAGCCTGACGGGCGGGCCTCCACGGACCATGAACACCAGGCTGAAGACCACGACGCCGACAACGACCGTGAGTCCGACGAGGACACCAGTCCGAGACCCGAGCGACCTTCCATCAGTTTACCCCAGCTTGATATCGGTGGTGCCATCGAGCTTCCGAGCCGACTGGGGTCTCGTCATAGCTCGCAAGCGCCTTCTGTAGCAAGGCAGGTCTCCCAGCGACAAGGGTCTGTGGGTTCGGTGAACCAAGACACGGGTGATTCATCCCAGCCGCTTCCCGTGGTTGAAGAGGGTGTCTCGACAAAGAGCAAAAGTCTCACCCCGCAGAATGAGCTTGCCAGGTTTCCGTCCACTCAACTGCACCCCTCCACTGGGACTGGGCGTCTACCGTTTAGTGCTAACAGTTCGCCTTCTCGGGATCGGAACTTCTCGATCGCTTCCACGACCGCCTCGACCTCATCCAGCCGGCGGGCCGGAAACCAGTCGAACCCACGTCCATCCAGCGTGGGGTATGTCGCCCAGCATCGCACTTCGGATTACATCCACGAAGCCAGCCCCGATGAGCCCACTTTTACCGGGAGCGCGGCGGAGTTGGTGGACGAAGCTTCTCATCGTGGAGGCGCGCATTAAACGCGTCCGGTCCTTCTTGGAGTTTTCAAGCTCACGAATTTCCTTTCACTCCCATCATCCCTTTGCGATCTCTGTCTTCGGCTTCCAAAAGTAATACGTGTTGGCGTTTTCGATATACAATTGGAATTCCTTCCTTTTTTTTTTTTTTTTTTTTTTTCTCCTCTCGTCTCCATGACATTTAGCGAAACTTGATCTTTCCTCTTGTCTTCTCGCGCCTTTTTTTTTTTTCTTTTGATATACGTTGAAGTTGCATAGCAGCTTGTTAGATCGAATCGTCGTTTCTTTCTGGTACAAAAGCGCCCTGCTTGGGGTAGCCCTTCTGCAAGACGGGGCTCATCTGATTGTACATTTTGGGGTTTTCTTTTCATGTACGAGGTCTTCGGTAATAGTTCGTTTTAACTATATTTATGGGTCCTGGATTGGCATCTGTCGCGTCATTTATTGGAAACAAAACAATCGCATATCCTCTGCTATCGTGTGAGACTTGTGCCTGAAGTAGTTGATCTTAAGGCCTTGAGATCCGTAGATAATACTCGTAAAGACAGCTATGAACAGTGTAGAATTGCCATCAACCATCTATGAGACCTACTTCCGCGCACATGTTCTTCGACATCGTCTTTGATGTCGTCAGTTGACTTGGATATATTCTGCGCTGAGTGTCACAAACGCGGATAGTATACACCACGACAGCATATATATATATCGCCACGCGGAGTTTACTGCTGTCTGCTGACACCAACACCTGAATGAGGATGACAGCCAGTTCAATCAGTTGTCTCTAACCCAAGTCAATATATCTATTGTCTTATCACTCTAGTGAAAGATCCAATTGGAAGAATAGAGATCCCTGTTGTGAAGTGAATCTCATCTCGCCGCCTTTCGCAGAGCCCCCCCCCCCCTGCTGGTCAGACCGTCAGGCACAAAGCCTATAAACCTCCTCCTTCTCAGATCTGTTGCGCCAATTCTATGTGTTTTCTGCCTTTTTTAGATTTTTTTTTTTTTTCCTGCTTGACTCTGACCGAGATAGGGATTGGTTGGTTGATCCTCCGTGGTGTTAAATTCAACTCTGCTGTTATCTTGCCGTTGCTGGCTCGCTGTCACGAGACCCTTGAGAGTCAGTCATTCAGAGGCCCGACGCCGACCACCATCGAAGTCGAGGAACTTTCTTCAACTTCAACTCCCCGGAGATATTATTAACGGGTCTGTTCTCTGGACTCCCTTCCTGCACGACCACTGCAGATAGATAATCGAAGAGAAGAGAATTGTATACAGGTCTCACTGCACCTCATCCACCCCATCCAGTCCAGCAGCATCCGCGCCACAACATCACAACATCACCCCGCAGTCCAGTCCTCCCCCATCCTGGAATTTCCGCGCCACGCTGTCGATGACGGCCCGTCGTCCAAACGGCGGAGACTGGTCTCCTCTTCATTACTAGGAAGCCCAGCACCCCCATTCCATCACCCCCCAACCCTCGCAAGGTTTATGTCGTCGCCATCGTCGTCGAGTCCCGCCTCCTCCGCCTCCTCCGCATCCTCTCCGCCCGCCCCGTTCGCCGCTCCTGGCCGCCCCCGTGCCATCCCCAGATCCCATGCGAGTTCCGAGAGCTTGAGCGTCCCGCATCCCGACGCGCCGACTGATAGGCGGATGGAACGAAGACGGTCGACTCTTTCGTCGGGCTCGGATCGGAAGAGAAGGTTGGTGAGCCTTGAGGGGGATGGCTGGGCGCACCGGGCGCGGTCCGCGGCGATGATGGAAGCAGGACCGAGTAGTCGGCCTGCAGCTGCGGTGGATAGCAGGTCTATCCCCGAGGCATCGTCGATGAGAGCTGGTGCTGGCGCTGGCGCTGGCGCGGCGATTCCTGGTTCGTCTTTTGCAGCGCCCATTGATCTCTCTTCTTCACCGCCACAGCAACAACAACAACAACAACAGCTGCAGCTGCAGGTCCCTGCGCCAACGCGACCGCATAATACCCACCGGAGCTCGTGGTCGCAGAACGCAATCGGGTATATGGAGTATACACGGCCGCGCTGGCAACCGGATTCGGAGGTGACGAATTGCCCCATCTGCGGGGCGGCGTTCAGTTTCTGGTATAGGAAGCATCACTGCCGGAAGTGTGGGCGGGTGGTGTGTGCGTCTTGCTCGCCGCACCGGATCACGATTCCGAGGCAGTTTATCGTTCGTCCTCCGGATTCGAACCGGATACCTGCAGCGGCGCTCGTACCTGCGCGAGTTACGCAGGTCGTCGGCCTGGACGATGATGGCGCCGCACCAACGCCTGCTGCTTTCAACCCGGCGCTTGGCGGTGGAGAGGAGGTCCGACTCTGCAATCCCTGTGTGCCTGACCCCAATCCTGAGCCGCCTCGGGCTTATCCTGCCGTGCGAGGAAGCGGTGACCCTGGTACGGGTTGGGGTGTGGCCCCGCCGAATCAACCCCGACGCCGGTCCTATCATTCGTTGTCGACGCCTCTGAGGCAGTTTTCGTATGACGCATTTGTGAGTATACCTCCCCTCTAAGACGTGGAGTGATCCTTGTGTGCTGATCGGGTTGTCTCCTTTCAGACGGGGCCTCCGCCCTCTCGATTGAATCGGAGGTCGACAAGCTCGAGCGAGTACCAGAGCTTTGGCGGGCCGTTTGGAGGGGCCCTCCCCTCCAGTCTGCAGGAGAGACCGATGCGATACGGATCCTTGTCCTCGTCGCACACCTCCACCTCGCAGGTCAGCTCGTCGGCACGTCCCTACCTAGGCTACTTTCCTGCACACCGACACCTGCCCTCCCTGACTACCGAAGGGGGCCCGGAGAGGTCCATCAGCACCAGTGGGATCAATCAGGTCTCCCACCGGCGTAACTCCCGTGGATTCCGGCGCCAAATTCCCGAGAGGGACATGTGTCCCATCTGCAACGAGGAGCTTCCGCCGCTCGGCGAGAACGGCAACGAGGATGCTCGGGAAGCGCATATCCGCGACTGCATCGAGAGTCACGGACACGGACACGGCCGGCGGTCGTCATCGCGGGGTCATAGCCCCGTCTCTGCGCCTGCTGTCCCGGTGCGCATGCTCGCCTTCACCGCGACGGAGAAGGATTGTCTTGGCCACGATGGCACGGTGCAGGAGTGTACGATCTGCATGGAGGACTACGAAGTCGGCCAGGCGCTGGTCCGGCTGGAGTGTCTGTGCAAGTTCCACAAGCGGTGCATCGTCGAGTGGTTCGAGCGCAAGAAGGAGTGTCCTGTGCACAAGGTGTCTTGAGGATGCCTTTTTTTTTTTTTTTAATTATTTGGATCTTTTCAGTTTTATTTTTTACCTTTTGATCTTTGGTTGGGTTCCATCTACACGGAATTGATATCGGTTGGCTTAACAGTGCCCTTTGTCGTCTTCGTGGCGCGTCAACTTGGTGGCCATTGTCATTTTGCGAGTCAATAGAGCCAAGCGTTGCCTTGTGCGTTTGGCCTGAATTGAGGATTGGATCTTGCGACTGGCGTGGTGTTGCTGATAAAAGGATGGATGTCTTGCGGGCCAGGGCGATGTCTTGATATGTTTTTAGTGTTTATATATCCCCCCTCGAGTGTGCCGTACACAAATCAAATTGGATATCCCGCTGGTTTTCGGGGGTTCTTCTAAGGTCTAAAATATGTAGTATGTAGCTGGTTACGATGGGACTTGTGTATGGAGGTTGATCGGCCGTCGACTTCATTACAGTAGACCTTTCGAGCATGAGCCGAGTTGATATATGTATTTTATTAGATAGACTCCGAATAATAACAATAATAATAATAATGGAACAGAACAGAATCCATGCCAAAGTGGCCTAAACCAGTCTCAGTCCCAGCGCACAGATCAAATCTGCTTTGCTGCAACTTCTTCCATCCTTTTCTCTCCACCAAGGAAGTTAGATTAGATCCTCTTGCAAAACCACACTCTCGCTGAGATATTTCATCCCTCACAGACTCACAGACTCACAGTCACAGCACTTGGCAGTTAGCTTCTTTGGGAAGCCTGCCAAAGTCTGGATCGTGATCTCCAGATTTTCCCGCAGACACGCTCCCAAGTCCCAAGTCTTAAAAGCTCCACTGGGCGTCGGTCGTCGGTGGCCCGATTCACCGTTTCCCCCGATCGTGTCTGCCAGTGAGCAGGAGCCATCCCGATCAGTTGCAGTGCAGAGTACAGACTACAGAGCGACTGAAACGACTTAACTCAGGTAGGCTGAGACATTCCATCGGTGTGCAGCAACAGCATGTCTCGTTAACTGACAATGCCATGTGTTTCGACGCAGCCCGACTCCGTTGCTGCCCCGCAAGCAACAATGGAGATCGATCCGCGCCTTCACGCCGGCCGCGACAGGGACGCTCACACTCAGAGTCCCGGCCACGCAGCCGTCGGTGGTAGCACAAATCCCGGCACCGGCACCGGCACCAGCACAAGCTCGAACACGAACACGAACACGCACCCACGCACACAGAATGCCCTCCCCTACACCCCCGTCGCCGGACAGCTAAACACCACCACAGGCCCACCATCCCAACCCCCCACCGGCGAATATCCCGACCCCCCACCGTCCTCACACTTCTCCCCTAGCGAGCAACTCCACTCCGCCTCCTCCGCCCCCAGCAGCGGCCGCTACTACCCCTCGCCCGCGGCGTACGCCAGCGACGCGCCGCGCGGCGGCGAGGCGGCGTCAAACCCCCACGACCCCAACGATCCCTTCGCGGACCAGAAGCGGCCGCGCGCCTGTGAAGCCTGCAGACAGCTCAAGGTGCGCTGCGAGCCAGACGCGCGAAACCCCGCAGGGACGTGCAAGCGGTGCGCGAAGGCCGGCCGCCAGTGTGTCGTGACGGCACCGACACGCAAGCGCCAGAAGAAGACGGATAGTCGCGTCGCGGAGCTGGAGAGGAAGATCGATGCCTTGACCGCGAGTCTACAGGCGTCGCAGGGCCACGAACTGTTGTTGCAGGGGGCGCCGCCGCCGCCGCCGCAACAGCAGCAGCGAGATGTGCATGAGCAGCCTGGGAGACGGTGGCTGGGTGGGGCGCAGAATGGGTCGGGTGGGATGCCGCCCTCGGGGCCCGCTGGTAATTTGGCGGGGAATAAACGGTGCTCGAGTGGTGAGGTGAAGGAGTCAAGAGAAGGTGGCTCCATGGGGTCTGGGTATCCGCGGGCGTCGAGTCCGGCGCGGGAGCCGGCGCGGGAGAATGGGCCCTCGAAACACTGGCGTGGCCCGTGGTCGAGTCTGCAGCCCGGGTCCAGATCCGAGGCGAGCTCTGCAGAGGTGGTCGATGTGATTGACCGGGGCCTCGTCAGTCTGGCTGTCGCCTCCGAGGCCTTCGATCGATACATCAATGACAGGGCGCCCCATATGCCGTTTGTGGTGTTCCCGCCCGGCACGACGATGGGCGACGTGCGGAAGTCGAAACCGACGTTGCTCCATGCTATTATTGCCTCTTCCGTCGGGCCTGTCCAGCCCGATGCCCATCTCATGCTGCTCGACGATCTGTACAGAGTGCTTGCGGAGCGAGTCATTGTCAAGGGTGAAAAGTCCCTCGAGCTCGTGCAGGCCTTGGTCGTCGCGTGCCACTGGTACACGCCCCCGGACCATTTCGAGGAGCTGAAGTTCTATCATTTGACTCACATGGCCGTCACGCTGGCCATGGATCTGGGCATGAACCGGAAGATGCTGACTCGAAACAAACCGTTCCCGATATACAAAGAACTTGTCCGTAAGAGCTCGTTTATGCTGGACCCCGACTCTCCCGAGACGCGCCGGACGTGGCTCGGGTGTTATTTTATGGCTGTGCAGTACGTTCGCCCCCTGTTTTTGCGAAGAGGCCTCCCTCTATGCTGACCGTCTTTTGACAGAGTGGCTTTATCCTTGAGACGCGTGCTCCTGGTGCGATGGCAGCCGTACATGGACGAGTGCCTAGAGATCCTGGAGAAGTCGCCTGCTGCCCTGCCGTCGGATAAAGCGGTGATTCAATGGGCGAAACTGGCCCACTTGACCGAGGACATCAACTTTCAATTTTCGACCGAAGAAGCCGTCCCGAGCATGCCCTTCGATGATCCCAAGGTGCAATACACGCTGAAGGTATTCGAAAAGCAGCTGGAACAATGGAAGAGGGAGGTGTTGCCGGAGATTTACAGCTGTAAGTGGCTAGCTATCCTTGCTGTTCCAAGCTCACCACGAGTCCAGCGATCATGCAGCAAGCCGAGCATATTGTCAACATCTACATGTACGAGAACGCCATGCTTATCGACAGCGTCGATGACCAAAGGAAGGCCGGCGAGGAATACCCAGGGACCATCAGCGCGGCGCATATGAGTGCTCTCAGCCAGTGCCTGAGTTCCATCCAGCAGGCGCTGGACGCGATCTGCTCCAACGACATCAAAGACTTGATCTCGTGGCCCACTGTCTGCCTGGCGCGGGCCTCGTTTGCGGCAGTTTCGTTGATCAAGCTCTATTCCCTTGTCACGTTTCCCGGGAGCCAGATCGGACAGGTCATCGATCCGGCCAGCTTGAAGGTCGAATACTACCTCAACAAAGTCATCGAGCACTACTCTGCTGCGGGAGAGCTGCCTGGCGGTCGAACGCCAGGCAGGTTCTCCATGGTGCTTGCCATGCTGCGGAGCTGGTTTGTCAAGCGCAAAGACCACAACCAAGTGTTGAGGGAGGCCTTCGGGGCCGGACCTGTGTCTTGTTCATCGTTCAACCTCGGCGCGTCGGAGGCGGACAAAGCTCAATTGGTACGTTTGGGCTTTCATACAGCATGTTGCTTTGAGTGCCTCGCACGTACGTTACTCACCTCTCATGCAGGGCCAAACCCGCCTCCACCTCCTCAGCGAAGTTGCCATGAAAGACCCCAACAACCGCCCCACCACATCCAACCCCCCTCACCACCGACCCAGCTACGCCTCCCATTCCTCCACCGACCCCATCACCCACTCGCCGTCCCCCAACCTCCCTTCCACCTCCCAGCCCATTTCCTCGAGCAGAGCCAACGACTCGGACCCCTGGAGCCCCTACTCATCCTCCACACCAACCCAGCCGCAGAACGTATCTGCCCCCGCTCCCGCTCCCGCTCCCGCCCCCAACCGCCAATTCTACCCGCCCTTCACGAACTACCAAGACATGCCCCCCTACTCCGACAGCGCGAGCTTGATCATGCCGCCCATGAACCAGGGCTTCTTCATCCCCGAGCTGGGGATGCAGGTAGGGTTTGACACAGGGAACATGTTTGCGCTGGAGCAGTTGCTGGGCGAGGGGCTGTTGAATCTCCCCCTGCCGGCTGAGGCGGGCGGGACGGGGTATTATTGAGTATGTAGCAGTGCAGGTCAAGGAGAAGCTTTTGTAACTCCGTCGTGAGAGAGGTTAGACGAGGTGTAGATAGGCATATACGGCACTTGACGTTTTGTTCATGTTTATATTTTTGTATGTCTTATGTCATCGCTGGTAGTGCTATACATATATATCTATATACATATGCCCCATTCCACACCTACACACGAGTTACTAGCTCAAGCTGGTGGATCCGGCTGAGTTCCCTTTTGGATGGCGTATTGGCTCGCGGCCTTAGCCATTTGAGGTCCTTGGTTCTGTAAATCGTTTGCTATCCATCTGATCGTGAGTTGGATCTCAATCTTCATCATCTGCTTGATTTGTCTTATGATTTGCTGTATGACGTGCTGTCCTCCATGGGATCCTTGGTTGGTGATACACTGTAGGCTAGATTGGTTAGTTGAATAGTTTATGATACCTATGACGTCCGTCAAGGTTGGGGGTCCTTGAAGCCATTCCCTCGCCAGCTGGAGTGCTTCCAGGATAGCGCCAAGTTGGGCAGTATGTAGGTCTGTATGGTGGTCTGTCCACTGTTGTGGAGGTAGTGCTAAGGTATATACCTGCTTCGTCGCAACGCTCATACTTGGTTGCTGCCCAGTAAGATCACGTGATGAAACTTTATTGATTTATGGTCTTTTGGCCTCAAATGGTGAAACTGCCCCCTCACATCACCACCATGATTCTTTTCCATCACAACCACTCAAGTTGGAATACAGGTACCCAATATCCATCATAAGTAGCAATATGTTACTAACAATATTGTCCTGTAAGCTCCATTGACCTCTCTACACAGACGCCACGCGTAATGAATAATCCACTTTCTGAAGTGGCTAACGCCCTACGAGAACAAATTAAGGAAATAATACCTGAGACAGTGATAGGGGAGACTATAGAAGGACCTATAAAAGCTATTACTTCTATTAATTCAGAAGGGAACAAGACCTACTCTGGCATGCAACTTCATTCACTAGTGTTGAGAATGTTTAAGGAAATAAATATTAGAGAGGTATGCCAACTTAGTAATATCTATTAATATTAACTTATTAAATTTCAGGGCTGGGGCTGGAATCTAGGACACTTCGCGGTGCCGAAACCCATACGCAATAAATATAAACAAATGTACCTGGTCCCACTATCTGAGAAGACAATATTGATGCCTGGAGGACATCTAAGAGAGGGAACCTATACCTTCACTACCACTGAGCCTACACTTAGCCTAAACAGCACTGTAATATTTATTGTCCTGATTCGAAGTGTTGAGGGATGATAGCTTCCTCATACACATAGTCAAGTTATAAATTAAGAAATGCTTTGTCACATAGAATTAAGGGAACCTTTCCTGGTCAGATAATAATGACAGTTATGACAGAATAAGTGGGATAACAGAGAATATCGAAGGATCCTATGCAAAATGCTTGCAGATTTGTGGAATTTTCCTGATCTAACAGTGCTTCGCACAGCCAGATTGGAGGCATTAATGTCTGTAATAATTCCACTTTATATATGGAAATATTTTCAGTGCTGAGTAACAGTTTTCCCACGTTGTAATCCTATCTGGTAGGATCAAAGGGATACACTAGGCTCTGAATATTGAACTGAATGCTTTCCTCAAGTGGATGGATACCCTAGTGAGGGTCAAAGTAATTTATTATGTTTTAAGAGTTAAGCAACATATTCATACTACTTAAAATATTTTCACCTGGATAATAATGATGTATGGGAATATAAGGCATGGTAAAGCTGTTGTAAGTTTTTTGATTGAATATTTTCTATAGTGGCTGTGATGCTAGCATTGCAACAAAAGTTGCATTCTGAGCTTTAATAATATTTAGTATAGGGGTTTTGCTTAAGTCTAACTATTTCTCTAGAGAGCTGAAGGTGTTGGACCACAGCCTAGAAGGATTATCAGATTCTAAAATATGCTCTTATTATATTAGAGTCTAAGTGACTTTAGCTTTATTCAAGTTAGTGGTGGTCAGAGGCATTAAAAGTTTTTATATACCCTTAGTTCCTGTGGACTTTTTGCGGAGGCACCTTCATGTTGATTTTAAGGGAAGCCATAGCTTTGAATTTCCAGACTATTTAAATGGACAGGTGTTCAGAATGCATTTAAATGCCTTCTGCAGGTTATTTTAATACTTCTCACTATAGATTACTTCTCTAAACACAACAAGCGCCTCCATCTTAATCCTTTCTATCTTAGCTCTTTCAAAACTAGAACAAATTTAGCTAATATACATTTCACAAGAAGGACAGACTGACTTTGAGGTAGCTTGCAGGGGGGTTAATACTAATTCTTTTCTTGCCAGTGATGAATATTTTTTCCTATACTGTCAAAGATGAATACATTTATCGCATAACTGCTTAATATCGTTCCCAGGATAAGCTTGTCCTATAATATTTCTGACAGCACCAGTAAGAAACTTAACTAACTGGGCCTAAGAAGATGCTTGTAATCGCAATATTTCCCTTTGGATGATGTCATGAAGAATGATGAGAAGAACCCTACAGTGTGCAGAGACTTTCTTATAGTCCTCATCATCTCTGTTACAGGCCTCGACGACTTTGATCTCTAAACATTGCCATACCCACGCGCTCTCTGTACAGAAAGGTTCAAATCCCCAGAACTCAGCTAAGGGGTTGGAGACCCAGACGCTCAAAGTATAAGATCAAGTATTATTTTTCCATTGTCTTGTAAGAGCGACAAGCCGTGTTATTTGCTCATCTGATAGCTTCTGGTCTTTTTTAGACATCCATCCCCGGAACCATAGGTCCGCATCCATCTCAAAAACAGGAACACTGATCTGAAAAGAAGATGATAACGGAGCACCCTATATTAAATAGTTAGCCTTTTGCCCACCAACAAGTGCAGGAATTGCTTACAAGGTCCCCAATTATCATACAATGGCAGATTCACCCTGTTGGACAATGGCTGGGTTGAAGTGAGGTGAAACAAGATCAGTCTTCATACCCTGCACTGATCCCGGAGATCACTAGATGTCGTAGCTTGGGTATCAGGGCAATATGAATACTGATAGATACAGGCATGTAGCTTAGATATAGAGGTGTATCCTCCTCTTATTCTCCTACCCTAGCTCCCTTCTAGTAGCTATAAATAAGTAGATAAATATACTAGTTAGTATATATTATGCTATACCTATTTAGGTATAATAAGTAAGTATATTACTAATATAGTAAATACTACTCTATAATATACCCCCTAGCTTAGACACTAACTAAGCTATAGGCTCCTATCTATCTTAGTTAACTAATATACTAAATCTATCTAAATCCTTTAGATTTAGTATCTTAATAAATCTTTCTAGTCTCTCTCTATATAATACCTTAGTAAGACTATTAGTACTTATATTATAGGTACTAATCTATCTAATATTAATCTTACTAGCTTATATCCTCTCCCTTAACTGTGAGAACACTAGGTTTCATATGTGGAATATGACTAGTGTGAAAGAATAGATACTGTATAGCTTAGATTTTAAGAATTTAGATAATTTAGTAGATTAATACTAGGTTAGGATTCTTCCTCCATAAGGGAGAATTTACCTTACCCTCTACTTAGTAAGGGCTAACTAAGAGATACCCTTATATAGGTAAGATGGATATCTTACCTATACTATTAGGAGGCCTTATAACTACCCCCTCCCCTTATAGGCCTTAGTCCCTTAAGGCCTTTATAATCCCCTTATAATATAACCTTTATAGTTAGTATTTAATATCTTATAGTTCTCCTAACCTGTAAGCCTCCTCTGCATGGTATAATTATTAAAAAACTATATAAAAGCTTAAAAACCTCTCTATAAGAGTAAAAATTATAGCTAGTATAGAAAAAAGATTCTCTTATTACTTATAGAGGCCTAAAGTTAAAGGCCTTATAGCCTATTTTTATTATATAGATAGCTAATTAAGATAATTATATCTCCCTCTCTTAAAAGATAATATTTCTAGCCTCTTATAATCTTCTTTTCTTCTCTTCTTAAGCTATTATCTATTATCTATTATCTATTATTTATTATTTATTATTAAAGATAAGTAGATTCTATCTATCTTTCTTTTATTTTAAGTATCTTTATCCCTCTATTTATAAGTAGAGATAACTACCTCCTTATATAATATCTCTATATCTATAAATAATAATCTAAGTTACTTATAAGTAGTTCTTCTCTTACCCCTTAATTATAATAGGATCTTTTAAGCAGAGTATTATCATAAGCTTATTTTATATAATATTCTTATTTATAGATTATTTCTATAGCTTATAGATAGATAAATAAACCTTTATATACTTCTCTTTTAATAACTTTAGTTAACTTATAGATTTTATAAATATAGAATATTATATCTATCTCTATTAATACTCCTTCTTTTTTTTACTTAATCTATAGATTATAGAATCCCTCTTCTCTTAGTAATAATAATAGCTACTTCTCTAACTTATACTAAATCCTAGGTTTAGGTTCCTCCTCCTCCTTATTTAGCCCCTATATTAGGGTTCTATAACTCTAATATAGGTAGTCCCTTAGCTATTAAACTAGGTAAGCTACCCTATAACTACTCTCTATAGCTATATACTAATTATTCTAGTTAGGGGATTAATTTATTATTAATCCTCCCCCTATCCTAAGTAGCCTACTTATATAAGTAACTTAGGATATATATAAGGTTTGCAAAGGTCTATTATGTATTATATTAAAGCTACCTTTACAGAGGAACCTAATGATGAGAAGGCTCCTTATAAGAGGTCATGTAAATAGTTATATAACCTATAAAGATATAAATCCTGCCTATAACTACTAAACTTTAGAGTTTAGTAATAATCTCTTTAAATAAGGATACCTATATTTAAATCTATTTGTAATTATTCTTTTTTTATATTAGTTTCTAATTCTTATAGATTATAGATCCTTATATTTTATTACTTAAACTTTTAAACTAGTCTATTAGGAAAATAATATTATAAA